TACTTCACTACCAATAGCTACATTATTTACACATGCTGTTAGTCTTGGTTCATTAGTAGTATATGTACTATGTTTAGTAGGATCTCCCTTTTGTAAAATGACAACTTTTTGTGTGAAGTCTATGAGTGCTTTACTTTGTGAGAAAAAGTCCTCACCTAAAATTACATCATGATTTGCACTTTTGAGGATATGCATTGGTTGAACATATTCAATATCTTCAAATTTTAGAGGAACATTTGCCACACCCAGTACTTCTAGCTTGTGCGCTTCTCCCCCAGCCCCATATAACTCAATATTAGTTGGACTGATAGGACATTTCTTGTGCAAGTTCAATTTTTCATAGAGTGCTAATCTCATACAGGATTGTTCTGCACCAGTATCTACCAAGGCTTTGATATTATTGTCAACTATGTTTGTATGAATAATTATGTTTGAAACTGATCTTTGCAAATTAACCTTGACTGATTGAACTGCAGGGATGGCCACCTTGCCACTATCACTTTTCACTTTTTTAAACTTTTGATTGTCAACTTTAGTTTCAAGGTGCCCATCCCTATGAGGAACAGGCGCGAGTCCTCATTTAGCAACGTTTCGACACATATACGAATAATGCCCCCCGCGACCACACTGAAAGCACTGCTTAAACCTAGCATAACAATTTAATGAAAGGTGGTTTGACTTACCGCACCTCTCACACTGGTTTCTGCTTGATGAATTTTGCTGCATAAATTGTTGGTCATGTTGGGGATACCGTTTCTGTTGTTGCGTAAACTGTTGATTCCCAGGAAATTGGTTCTGTTGTTGAAACGGATTCTGCGGTTGATACTGCTTTTGCGGTTGGTACTGATTCTGCGGTTGATACTGGTTCTGCTGTCTTTGGGCACTTTGTTGCACTGGAAACTGGTTATTGTTGGCATAGCGTTGACCCATGGCATCGACTGTGACTGCAGCAACGGATAGCTTATCGACTTTATCCGTGAGAATTTTAATCGAGGCTGCTAACATCTCTGGCGCTGAATCTTGGGGCATGTTGCTATGAATCCTTGCGAACTTAACAGCTTGTTCTAAATTTTCAGGTTCTTTGAGCCTTACAAAGTTCTTTGTAGATGTATTCAATCCTTGGACAAAGAGTTCTTTAACATCCTCAGCATCCTTTTTTAGTCTGCTGGTATAATACATGAGCTTGCTGTGGAATTCATCCACAGACATATCATTTTGTTTGAGAGTATCCAATTTATCCAACAACTCCCATCTTTCCGATTGTTTGGGTGGGAACCTTTCTTTAAGTGCTTCCGTCAATTCCTCCCAGTCGTTCTTTGTATTTTCCTCTAATTGTTCAAAGTATTTTGCTGCTTCTCCTTTGACTAAAAGTGGGATTAAACTACATTTTCTTTGTTGGTTCCAGTTCTTTAAATTTGCGAATGTGTCAATAGTGTTTAACCAAATAATAACGTTTTCTTCTGATTTTCCATGGAATTTGTCCAATATTGATAAATCCATTGTTGTTAAACCTCAGGCAGCTCCACCAAAATATGACCGGGCTTTCTTTATATTAAATGTACACAATAGTGTGATGTTTTAATTTCTATCTTTTATTTATTTCACTTGTTTTCACTTCTAATCTACTGCTAAATCTAGTTATGTCTTTTTGAAGTCTAGGCCGAAAGTGACCCAAATCTCACATGGCATATAGTATATTCTTCAAAACCAGACATCACATGATCACTTCAAATCTGTTATGTAAAAAGTTTAACAATAGGAAGACTGCTTCAAATCCTAATTAGAATCCAAGATATAGAAATGTAAATTAAATGTAAATTAAAGAAACATTTGTAAGTCTGAAGATGCTCTGAACAATTGTAATGATTGCATATTTAATGTGAGAAACTGACCAGAGATATCCCAGGTGTACTACATGACCTGTTGTTTATCTAAATGCTTTTTGTATCATGTTTCCATTAATTAATTTACAAAGTAAAAACAAAGTAAAAGTATAAGATATTAATTATAAAATACAACATGAAAATCACTCCGTCACACATACCCTAATATCACCATTTTTCTTGGGTGGCAAAGCTATGCTACTCACCCATTTAGTAGGTTTGTCAACAGGTTTTATAACATTTTGAGATGTCATTTTGTCAAGCTTTTCTTTGAGCTTACGTCTAACTGAGATAGGCACAGTCTGTCTAGTCACTGTGTTCGGAGTTACAGTATCATCAGTTCTAAGAGTAACACGTCCAGGTAATGTACCAAAATCACCTTCAAACACGTCTTTGTACTCTGTACACAGGTCTTCAGCCGTCATTTTAAGAACAGGTGCTGATAAGAATTTATCATCATTTACAGTAATGAGGTCCATTAACTGTGCAGTCTTTGACCCTAAGAGAGGAGTCTGGTCATTTTCAACAACAATGAATTTTACAGAGTATCTAGTTTTTGTTTTGGGGTTTTTCAGAGTGAGAGAGACTTTTCCCCTGGGTTTATATGTAGAAGAGTTCCACATCTTAAGAGTAGTAGCAGTACATTTGATTGAGACATTTTCTGGGACATATTTCACAGGGAGGAGATTGGGTGTAGCACCAGTATCTACTTGGAAAGTAACAAGAGATTTGCCTACCTTCATTATTGCACCCACAGAGTCCTGTTTTGTCCGAGACTTTGCCATATTTATTGATGTTAGAGCATCAACATAGTCCTCTGATGAATTGTCTTCATCTGACGAGTCTTCAACAATACGCACACGCTTTTGCTTGGGGCATTTCGCTGCAAAATGATTCTTCTCTTTGCAGTTATTACAAGTACGACCCCAGGCCGGACAGAGTTCCTTTTTGAGCTTATGGTGCGTCGTGCAGTATCTGCATTTCCCATCTATGGCATCAGTATTAGCCTTCGGCTTCTTTTTCCACTTCATTTTGCGCACTTTATTCACTGTAGTAGATATAGATAGTCCTTGAATATTGTCCAAATGAAGTTGGGTACTTTCGGCACTACGACAGATGTCAATACACCGATTTAGAGTGAGATCACGTTCCTCCAGCAGACGTTTCCTTGTGGTACCTTCCTTGGAGTCTTTGATACCAAGCACAAGACGATCACGTAGTAGTGATTCACGTAAACAATCACAAAAACCACAGGTTTTCTGGAGAGCCTTCAACTCATACAAATATGTATCGAAAGATTCCTCTTCTTTTTGCTTTCTAGAGTTGAACTTATACCGTTCATAGGTTTCATTGACTTCACCAAGCGCAAAGTCCGTGAATGCTTTTATGATATCTTCAAGTGTCATCATCTCCGCATTTGCCAATGGAAGTCCATTATAGATTTTTAGGGCATCTGCTCCTATTGCATGTTGAAATAGTGCAATCTTGTATTTTTCACTTTGGCTTTCAACATTTGCCAGTATACAATAGTTTTCCCACTGTTGTTTCCAAAGTTTCCAGTTTTCAGAGAGATTCTCTATATCCAGTTTGTTTGGAGGATGAAGTCCACTGACTTTCTGATATCTACGGTCTGCTGGTTCCGTTTCGACTTGTAATTGTTCAGCTTCAGCCATTTTGAGCAAGAGTTCTTTTTATCCAGAGACTGAGTTATTAATGTAAAATCCAGAGAGACTTTTTACATTTTTAGAGTTTTATCCAGAGAGATACAGTCAGTTCTGCTCCGCTGCCGCCATGTTACATAATATTACTACATATGAAACAAGAGTCGAGTCATATAGTTGTTGTAATATCTATTTCTAATAAGAGCTGTTTATTGGTAGCTTACAAGCATACAAGTGAAGGGTGTGTATGTAATACAATCTAATAACAAACTATACTATCACGTGACATAGGATATGTTTTAAGAGGGGTTGTATCACAAGTACAATACAATATGAAACACATATCACCTTTGTTCCGTCAACCATGGAGCATTTGCCACAACATCCAAGAGGTAAATCATGGATCGAGAAAATGAATGATTTCCTTGTAAGTTCCAGAAGTTTCCAGATGAAAAATTACCGAACATATGTGAAAACCGAATATTTGTTCGTTGTTTTCACGATTTACAGGTTCGTTTGTTCTTCAATGTTTTGGTCTAAATTATAAAGCATCACCAACAGGTCTTACTCTATTAATCGACTAATACAGCAGACGGCTCATATTTCTACGTAGCATTTCATTCAGACCAATAGTGGGAGTGTAGATCACGCAGTTTCGTTCGTTGCGTACTTCACTTGAAATTGGTAATTTTAAATATTGACTACTTCACTTAGCTTGGCGGATGTAGAACATTGCTTAATATTCTTTTAATTTTCACACCAGACATGCTTGGTTGACACGTCAACAAAGTAAAGTTCAAGGGTCAATGCGTTATTTCGTGATAACTACAACGCCTTCCCTGAAGTCAACATTGATGAAAAATGAAAAAGTCGGAAAAGCATTTACGCTAATTTCTATCAAATGCTATGTTTATGCATCATCATCGACGCAACAAAGGTGATATGGTTTCATTAAGATTCGGGTTCTAACCTTTAGAAGGTAAGTCAGACTCCCAAACGTCAGCTAACTCTTATATTTAGCATGTTAGCGACGCAGTCAGGCCTTGAAAAAAGTAGTAGGTACAGACGGTGCAGACCCATAGCCAGGAATGGTTTTGGGGATTGAGCGAACCTTTTGATTGATTTTTTGGGCCAAAGTTGTCACAAGTGAACCCCCGTAGAATTTTTTAAGGTATAAGTGAAAAGCACCAGTGACAAGCATTTTAGTACAAGTGACAAACTGTAGCAAGTGTCCAAAGACAGCATTACAGTGCCAATATGTTTCAGACACAGAAACCTAAAGGAAAAAGAAGATATTTTTTGAGAGAACCCCCATTGACAAAAGGCTGTCTACGGGTATGTGACCCAGGGGTAGAGCTGTATAAAATGAGGTATAAAGTCAAAATATCATAACATTTACAAATTACATAAGTTACAAAAGTTTGTAGTGGGCGATATTAGGTGAATATACAATTACCGGCTGCATCCGCCACCGCACTGCCAAGGATGCATCCTATTTTGCGATCTAAAACTGAAGCCATATTAAGGCAATTCCCATTACACTATCTGAACTATTTATCTATTCTAAATACGGCATTATCATATATTATATCAGGCCCGTAGCCAGGATTTGCCAAGGGTTTGTTTGTTTATGTCCATCTGTAATAGGTGCTTTGATGCCACCTTTGTTTAGTCTCTGGTGCTTGTTTTCCACACTGTGCTATCACTTGTAAGTTTTACACTGATGGTTTGTAGAAGTCTCTTTTTTTTTTTCTTTTTTTTTTTTTTTATTTTACTTAAAATCCTTATCTAGTTGAACTAACATATGTGTTTTTAAAATTTTAAAATCTTTTGCTCTTTATGATAAAAGTTCTGAATAGATCGTTCAGTTTCCTGTTGATTTTGTTGGGGAGTTTTTGATTTTCTCCAGCCAGGGTTTTCAAGTCTAGTGTGTATATAATTTCACACTCAAGTAAGATACAGACTGCATCGTGAAGCACTTTCTCCCGTAATTCTTGGAGTTTATTGCATTTGAATAAATAGTGATCTATTGTTTCTGGTTTGTTGCAGTCTAGGCATAAGTTGGTGTCGTGGATTGGGTTAATTTTCTTGATATGGCTGTTTAATCTGGTATGTCCACTCAAAAGTTGGTTAGTGATGCAGAAGGTTTTTCTGTTCGATTCACCTAGTAGGGTTCTTGTCCCAACAGAATCAATAGACCTCTGGATGTATCCAACTTTTTTCGAGTTGTTATACTGCCTTTGCCACTTTGATTTTGATGATGTGTGTATTTGTTTATATATTTCACTTTTAGTAACTATTCTGCTATCTTGACTTAGTGCCTTAGCATTTAGTGCCGCCTGCTTGGCATGTTTGTCAGCCAGCTCGTTTCCTTTGATATCAAGGTGTCCTGGTACCCAGTAATAGTTAACTTTGATACCCTTTTGAGTGAGATTTTTACATGTATTTCTGATCTTGTTGATGGATTCAATTTGATTTTTGGGTATACAGGTCTCAAACGCAGAAATTAGAGCGGGCTGACAGTCGCCAAAAAGTAGTATATCCCTACACAGTGGTGTTTTATCAACGTATGTGAGGGCGAGCTCTATTGCTCTGACTTCTCCTATGTAATTGTTGCTAGAGCAGCTTATGGGACTTTCTAAGCAGATTGGTTCCCCTCTGAGGCCTTGCAAATATACAATGGCAGCTGCTCCTGTAGGGCCTGGGTTTCCTAGTGCAGAGCCGTCTGTGAACACTACAGTTGTATTGTCAGGGCAATTGTTAATTATGTCTGCTATTCTTTTACGCTGTGCAGACTTTGTTCTCGAGAATTCGTTGACTTCCCTTTTGACCTGGAGTTCCTCAAAATTGTTGAATTCTTTAGAATATGAGAACTCAATTTCCAAGTTGTTTAGCGGAGTGTTTCTGCAGAATTCTCTGAGTCTTGATTTGAGAATACTGAATGTTGTAGGTTTTTTCTCATTTGTAGTGTTGTTGGTCCACTGTATTAGTTCTCTGTGTATGGGACTGGAGTTCGTCTTCAGTTTAATTCTAGCAAGTTCTTGTGCTTGTCTGGCCTTGAGTAGTATGTCTAGTGGCAGTGTGTTAGTCAGTACTTCGAGAGTTTCTGTACTTGTAGATTGTAAGCAGCCAGTTGCTCTTAATAGTGCCTGTCTGTGTACAGATCTGTAGGCAGATATGGCTTTATCTGTAACAGTGGAAATTATACTAATTCCATATTCTAAGTTTGGCTGAACAAGGCTCTTGTATAGGTTGCAGAACACTGACTGTGAGCAACCTGTGTTAGTGTTAGTGAAATTGGATATCTGTTTCAGAGCACTGAAGCCTTTTCTCTGTCTTTCTAAAATGTGTTCATCGAACTTGAGGTTTTGGTCTAGAGTGATGCCTAGTATTTTGGTTGACTCTGTTACTTCTAATGAGATATTGTTTAACCTAATGTCAACTATAGGTTTAGTTTTTCCTGGTGGACAGAATACTATAACTTTGCATTTGTGCAAAGATATGCTCATATTCCATGTCTCGCACCATGATTGTAGTTTACTTAGGTCCTCATTGAGTGATTCTTCTATGATGTTATGGTCTTTCCCAGACTGCCATAGAATTATGTCGTCCGCATACTCTCCATGGCTTGCCTTTATTCCTGCTAGGGCGTCTGCGGTGTAAGCATTACAGAGGGATGGGGACACCACAGCTCCCTGAGGCAATCCTACAGTTGATGTCCTCAGCTCTGATGTATGTTTATTTACAGTTAAAGAGTATTGGCGGTTGTTCAGGTATTCCGAGATATAGCATAGGAGTCTGCCCCTCACTCCGTTATTGTAGAGCTTGGCTATGAGCCCGTCCCTCCACACCCTCTCAAAACAAGAGTCATAATCTATTGTTACCGCAATTACAGTCTCTTGCTTGTTCCAGCTTTGTTGCACCGCCTGTGTGATTCTGAGGATTGTGTGGTTACAGCTTCTGTAGATTCTGTAAGAGTCCTGGAATTCAGAAAAAAGGTTATTTGTTTCTGCAAACCAGACAAATCTGTCACAAGTTATGTGCTCGTAGAGTTTGCCCAGAATAGACTCTAGGGTAATTGGCCTGTATGCCCCATCTACATTATAGCTGGGTTTGGATGGTTTTGGGATCATGTTTTTGGGGTCAATTTTGAATTCCAAAGGCATGATCCCTCTTTTCCAGCATTTTTGGAAAAGCTTAAGTATTACCTTGATGAAATTCATACCTGCCTTTTTAATAAAAATGTAAAATATCTTTTCTCTGGGGTCCGGGGCAGATAAGCTGTTTGATTTGTTTATGGCTGTTATGAGTTCCCCAATGTGAAGATCTTTGTTTTCAATACTACAGTCGCTGCTATAGTTAGGCAAGCTGATTTCAAGTTTTTCTAAATTGACAGCTAGTTTAGAGCCGATCTCTATTTGACTTTGCCAGTTTTTGTTACAAATGGATAGCTCCTCTTTGCCGTATTTCACTAAAAATTCATTGGCAATTTCACTATCTGTTATTGCAAAAGAACCATCCTTTCGTATTAGTGGTTGTACACTGGGTTTGGTTGTACCTGACTTGTTGTAATTTTTGACAACTTTCCACATTTTATCAGTGTTTTTCGAGTCAAGTTGCTTGAACAGATTATACCAATATTGGTCTTTGTATAGATCAGCCATCTTAGTGAATTCATTGGCTAGTTTTGAGTATTTGTCCCAATTATTGGGATCCGACCTTTTATTGAAATTGCGTTTTGCCTTCCTTACTTCTTTTAGTTTCTTTGTAAGTTCAGGACACCACCATCCCTTGCTGTATTTACTGGTCTTCTTCTTCTTCAGAGTTTCTTCAGCAGTGGCAAGTATCGCTTCACATATGCTGTTGTAATCCTGGTCAACACTAGAGGAATCTGTAATATTAGCAAGCAGAAAATTAGCTTTTTCAGTGCAAACTCTCTCAAATTCATACCAGTTTGCATTCTTGAAATCCCATTTTTCTATGACAGGGTTTTCATCCTTCAAACCTATTTCAAACTCAATTAGAAAGTGGTCAGATCTTAGGTAGATTTCGCTTCTAACACACCAGTTGCTTATTTTGTTGCATAGGTTACCTGAAGTAATTGTTAGGTCTATTATCTCGTCACCCCTTGTTGGAGACTTGTTGTTTGCCATGTATAATTGATTTGAATTGATATAGTTCAAGAGTATATCCCCCATTCTATTGTTTTTTGTACAGTGCCATGAGATGTGTTTGGCATTAAAATCTCCTGTGAGGATTATGGGTAATGAGCCTTTTAGGGCAATATCGACAATCTCGAGCAAGTTGATCATGCCATCGTGATCTTCAGGAGGAACATAGGCCGAACATAGTAAGAAACTGTGATTGCCATTGTACACATTGGTCCACACAGCCTCGATGTCTGGTCTGACCAGGTCCTTTCTTTCTATGAATTTAACATCCTTGGATATTACAATTGCAGTTCCTCCTCCTTGTCTGTTAGATCTTGTTGATTTGACCCAATTCCAATGTTTGAGAATTTTGAATTTGGAAAAATCTGGGTGCCATATTTCAGATAAGCACAGAATTTTTGTGTCATTTGTACATAGTTTTTCAATATATTGAACTGAAGTGTTGACTGATCTAACATTGGCTTGGTTAATTCTCATTGTTAGTTGATTTGACAGGAGGAGGATTAGCAATATTGTTTCTATGAACAAAAGAGGGACACTTTGGGTTGGATGCTTTATGGCCCCCCCCACAGTTTGCACATTTGCTTGGTCTTTTGCAGGCTGTATATTCCTGGCTATCATCATGTGTGTTTCCGCAATTATGGCACTTTTTTGTTGCTGTGCATGTATTGGCTATGTGATTGTACCTTTGACAATTGAAACACCTTGTAACTCTGTTTTTAGCTGATATATGAACTTTTAAATTACAAGTCTTGTTGTCAATGATTATGTTTTTGCACAATAAATCATTAAGATCAGATCTACTGTTACATGTGACACTGATAACTGGCATAGGCTTACCTGTGTCAGTATAAGTAAGTCTTCTCACTGTATTTGTGATCCCAGTTTGTGCTGTAATTAGTTCTTCGATTGTAGAGTCAGAGAATAGTGGGTTCACATTTTTCACTATGCACCTGTAGTTGGAGTTGGGCTCGTGTACATGGATGAGATTCCCTCTGTTGTTGAAGGCTTCCTCCGGCCAGCTTCCTAGGAGTTCTTCCTTATCTTCCTCCCTGCAATAATGAATTGCTATACCTCCACGTGGCAAAGAGTAGCAGTATGCTATTTTTACTTTAGGTTTAAATTTATTAACTTCTTGTTTAATGCTACAACTATTTGTAAATGAGCTAGATTTTATGTTATCAATGATCAGTATGTTGGATTGTTTGTAATTTTTACTGTCAGGGTCAGTATCTCTCCAACTTTTGCTTTTAGGCTTGGTCTCTTTGGATAGATCTTGAGATTCTACATCATTGACTTTTTCAGAAATTCTATTGTCTGTATCAGTGATGGGCTTTTCTTTATCCTGAGTTTGAATATTTTTGACTATACACAAAGGACAATGGAAAGTTAAATTTTGTTTTTCAAAAATGTTACAGATTTGGTTTGTTAGCGAAACGCAAGCACTATGCCACCATTGGTCGCAATCGCTACAGCAAATCCATGCAATTTTTTGCTTTTTTCCTTTTCCAGCGGTGAGCGTTTTTTTGCAAGGGCAAGTGTTAGCATCCATTGGTTAGTGTTAAAAGCTAAGCTTGACTACGTATACAGCTGTTATTGATTTGCAAGGAGCTTTCTAATTTTTAGCCCAGCTGAAGGCAGATTTTACTAGCAAAGCGCAACCAAATTTGTGGGTGATATCCTACAGTATACTGAAAGCAAAATGTTTACAAGCAGAGTTGATCTGAAATGTGGCCTCGTCTAAGTCGAGTATTCCAGAGGTGTACAGTATCTATTCTGAAAGCAGATGTTAATTTTGTTGTGTTGCAGTGTACTCTGCTAGCACTGTTTCCTCTCGGTCACCATGTAGTGGGCCACAATTGTGTTCGGCACCATGCGTTTGGTTAATATTGCACAATGTGTGGCATTTATCTTGGCACAGTGTTAATCAAGCAAGAAAAAAATTAAAATTGAGCAAGCCTGCCTACCAAATAAAAGTACTAAATTATCTATCAATAACACCAAAAGCAGACGGCACACAGCTAGCTACTTAACTACTTAACTATATATAGCTACCTAACCAGTGGAGTTGTGTGTTTTGGGTGGTAAGTCTTCCAGAATGTGGAATGTGAGATTGTTTGCAAGTTAGGATTCTTCCTGTCAGTCTTCCTGTCAGAAAGTACTCCCTGTTTTAGGATTGTGGCATCTGTGTTAGTGTTTCCCGTCTGTGATGTGACACGTCTGGATGGCTGGATAGGCACACAAATGTAGCAGAGAGTCAATAGTATTAAGCAATACGAGTTTTCGGAACAATTCATGTGTGGAAATTTCCAAGTTCAAATTCAAGATGGCGAATTCAAATTTTCTTGTTCACTAAAAATTGACCTTTCCGATACGAATTTCCTCCTTTTCTGTACTCGTTTTGCGCTATCTTTTCTACGCTGAAGTTGCCCCAGGTTTTCACAAGTTGTTGTCGTGTCTTAGTTTTGTTTATATGGTTTTAATTGTGTAGTAAAATTGAGAAAATCACAAGAACTTCGCCCACATTCACGCTCTGATTTCAATATTTTCTATCCATGTGAACCCCCCCTATTCTAGGGGGGGTTCACATTTGACAATTTTGCCCCAAATATGGCTAAAATCACTTGAAAAGTGCTCAAAATGGTGAAAAACTGCATGATTTTGAAAGAATTTTTGGCCAGGGGGGGGGGTTCGCCCGAACCCTGCGAACCCCCCCTGGCTACGGGCCTGTATATTAGTTGAGACAATTTGTGAAGATTACTCCAACTAAATAGGCTAACAACCTCGTTTTCACAACCGGAAGTAGTCTTTTCCAAGATTCACACTCGGCTCCTATTTTTCGTTATCTCTCTTTGATATGGCATTCCGGGGATCTTCTAGACCAAATGATAATGGTTCGAACGCCCAGCAACAAAACTACACACAAGATGGTCGCTTGGTAAGCTGTGATGCTGCAAAAATATACTAACAGTTCATGGTCGATGATCACAATTTCTCAATAATTTTCTGAATCTTCTAGGCTAGGCTAGCCTTGAGCCTACATTGTAGAAATCTAGGCTAAGCTTAGCCTCATAAGAACTTATATCAACAGCTGATATCTAAAGTGGCCCACCTGGAAGATTAGTGGTAACCTGTCACTTGACCATTCCCCTTTTAGAGAGAATATTTGAATAGATATTTTTGCTTTTTTCGGAATAAGCTGTCGCGATACAAGTTCCTTAGCCAACATTGTAAGCTTAGATGTCTTGAATGATTCAGGTTCATCAGTTGAAATTTCTAGAAATTACTGATGATTGTGATTAGTGTGGCCATGCCCATGGTCAGGCCAATGAAGTGACATCCCTTGGTATTGTAATGACCCGAGGGTGCCCTGGGGGAATGACTTACTAACAAGCATAGTGTAACAAGCCAGATAAAGAAATTGAGAGAAAGTGTGCTAAATTCAATGCCCCGAGTTGGAATCGAATCTAGGAACCTTGGACCTAAAGTCTGATGCTCTACTTTACTGAATACTGAGCTATAAAGGCTTAGGCCACTACAGCTGGACTGTAGTAGCAACTATCAAGGGTCGTTACAGTATTTTATTGAATAGTTTTGAAACTGAGTACGAGACAGTTTGAGTTGAAATTGAATTGAGTTGAGGTAAATTAAATTGAGATGACTGGTACCAGTCAGAAAAATGAAATGACAGCTTTTAAATGAAAGTTAAAGTCTAGACTGTTTGCTATTTATAGTTTGAACTATAATAGGGAACATCTATAAAAAATTGAGTTGAGCTCTTTTCTTAAGTAACTCAACTCGATTTTTATACATGTGCCTGGGGCCTATGCTTTGAACAGTCTTCAAACCTCGCCTCAAACATTTACATATTGAAACGTTTCCAGAAAATAAAAAAGATGTCATGGTTTTATTTCAGAATGATGCCACAAGAGGAGCATGGCAGCAAACTCCACCACCTGCTCCTAAAATTCATGTACCCCCTCCCCCATTTGGTCCATATGTGGGAGAGACTCCTTTGTTTCCAACTTTACCCCCAGGCCCTCCCCCTGGGATTCCACCCGGTCCCCCTCCAGGATTACCCCCAGGGGGTCAATTCAATATTCCACCCCCTGGGCCAAGTAGTGACATGTCACAACCCCCTGCATTCAGTTTTATGCAAGGGCCACCCCTGGCCCCACCACCCCCTTTGAATGCACCATTTGGGGATGTTGACATGAGGGTTCCTCCTAATACCCAAACGCAACCACAACAACAAAATCCAGGAGTATCAGGATCACATTATGATAAATTTGACAACAGGAGTAGGTCTAAATGGGATAGAGAGACAGACAGAGACAACAGGTTAGTAACATAATGATAGAATGGATGAGATAAATCATCTCACCTTCCACATATAAACATATGAATGATGAAAGGTGTTTTGATTTGACAATATGATTTTGAAACCATAGGCTTATTTTCATTGGGACTCAGATTCAAATCTATTTGTTACATTCATATACAGGATCACCCTGCAAAAGCCCTGGAAAAAGCAGTCTGAGTCTGTAGAGCTTGAATATAAATGAGCACTAATTTTTGGGCCACCATTTAATCCCAGTATTGTATAATTATCAATTTAGCAAAAATGTACCTTGTATTTGCAGTTCTGGTAGAGGTCACTGGAGGTCAGTTCAAAGTTCAAGGTCACCAAGATCAATGTCCAGAGAAAGGTCATTTGACAGTGGAATCAGTGTGGCATCAAATAGGTAAGTTTACTCATTGTCTGTATAATTGGAATTATGCAAATTCCATTTCTATCTTGTCTTTTAATATCCAGATTGAGACCGTTTTTGAGATCCACTTATGACTTAATAATAGCTATAGACATCAACTGACATCTTTCATGTTGTAGTCTCGACAAGTTTGAATAATTAATTGTCAAAAACATGTACAAGATTTTAGAACTATTTTGACTTTTTCATCAGATATGACTCCAGTGCGACAAGGTCAAGGACAGATCACAACTCAAGATCCAGACAACGTGACAACATCAGATCAAGCGGAAGATCAAATGAAAGATCAAATAATAGATACCGATCCAGGTCTAGAGATCGCTCAAGAGAATCATCATACAGAGGAAGTGTTGGGTCCCGACCAAATAATTCAAGATCAGGAGACAACGACAGAAGGGACAATGATAGAAGGGATAATGAGAGAAGGGACAATGACAGAAGAGACGACAGAAGGGACAATGACCGAAGAGATTATTCAAGAGATAGAAAACCTGGGAGAATGGATGGCTCTCCAAGGAGACCACATGAAAGGTAAGAGAAGAATTAAAAACAGTTTTTTGTAAATTTATAGCAAATTTATTCGGCATTTAAGACCCTTGGAGCCTGCTGTTACCCTTGATGACCACTGATTAGGTAACCTGAGGTCAGGGTCAACTTTATGGGTCTAGGTCGTTCCAAGGTAAAGGTCAATAACTAGGTATTTGTTTGGATGCTCTATTCCACTCAAACAGGTAGATTGCTAGTAAAAATAATACTTCACCATGACAAAATCTCATATCATATCACTTCAGCCCAATAACACTGACTTTGTCTGATGTATAATATTTTACGAAGTACAACTGTATATACATGCCAAAGTTTCCTAATTTTTCAAGAAGCTAACGATTGATTTGCATAGATTAAATGACTTTTATGCCAAAAAATATAAAAATGCTGCATGTAATACTATCACAGAGCTGGATTCCCAAAATCAACACCTGTATCACCATTCTTACTTCAGAATAGAGAAAGGCCCTGAAAGAACCAACTCACCCCTATCCCGATATGATCGTCGTAAAAACCAGCCGAAATCTGAAGCTAAGAAACTCTTAGAAGAAAAGAAACTTCTAGAACAAAAGAGAGCAGCTGAGATGGAGAAACCCAAAGAGAAAAAGAAGGAAATGCCTGTGTGGGTGAGATGTGCACCTGCTGACCTTTACTTCCAGCGAGATGAACAGGTAATTTCAGATATCTCCTCTGCATAGTGAATGCTGCTCCTTATATTATTAACTTTGGAAGTCTATGTGTTGTATATTTGAGTGTATTTAATAGGAATGAAGAAAAAATTGCTGCTCTTATTTTAGAGGCTTGTGCTCAAATGAAAACCAATACATATTGGCGCCACTTAGAAAATGAAAAATTCCTAAAAACTTGACATACAACACACATTGTAATTTGACCAACTTTGGGCTGAACTGTTAAAATATGAACTTTGCAAATGAAATATGTATTAACCTTTTTGATAATGTATCCTAGACAGGCAGTATGGGAACCACACAGAAAATGAAGGACCTACAGAAAAAATTTGAGGAAGATCTACTACTGCGAGCCAAGAAAATCCGAGCTTCTAAACCAAAGCCAGATCCTTCAACTTGTACAACGAATCTTATCAGCTTAATGCATACACATAGTGCTGATCCAGAAAATCCAGGTATACATGTACCTGTACATGTATGACAAATATTTCATTCTAAAAACAAAATAGGCAGCATATCATTAAAACACCTTTCTCTGTGATTTAAGAGACTTGCCACGTAATATTGATCCATTTGGGTGAGCTAATGTTATTTCTAAACTTTGTTTTAATTTTAGTTAAAATGTTTTATTTTCTCAGAGTTTAATTTTGAGGATTTAAGTAAGTAATTTGAGTAAATTGAATCAGTCACCAGGGGTACCTTTAGTCTACTTGATGATGTCAACCAGATTATAGTTGCCTTGATCTTTGGTTGTAGCTGAAGGTGGAGAGAGTTCAAGTGATGATGATGACGATGATGATGTTCTGGGGAAGTGTCACTTTGAATACATGAGGAAAGAGCTTGAGAGAAAGCTTAATGATCCTGACCGTCTCCATGAGGATCTCTGGTTCAATGAACCTGGACAGGTAGGTTCTTTTATAAATTTGTTTCAAATGCTTTGGTATTAATAGCCATGTTGTACATGATGAGATGACATGAAATTATTATCACAGATAGTGATATTACACATTGGACATCCATTTTCATGAATTGCTTCATTTTTAGATTGTAAAATCTGTTTTAATGACATTGTGACATCTAAATGAATCAAAAATTGTCAAAATTTCTAAATCATTGAAAATAAGTCATATAATTTTATATTTTGTTAAAGTTCATTAAATTTGCCATCTTTTGGTATATAACACATAGTTTATCTGTTTGATCCTAAATTCTTACAGTGTCCCATTTTATTACTCACCCTGTATAATTAATTCATATTGCTTTTTACAGCAAAATGATGGCCCCTGGTGCCGCTGCAGTGCAGAACAGAAGGAATTTGGAATACGTCATAATATTTACCCAGGAGAGAAGGTGAGATCCTATTTGCTAATTGAACATTTTACGAGCGTGGTCAAAGTTCCAAAAATGTTAAGAAGTAACAGACCGTGGATTTAATTTCTTTCACGTAAATTTTGTTTCATTTTGTTGCTATTGATGACTGATGATGTAAATGAATTAACTTATTATTGCCCTCAAGCAAATTGGATATATTAACCCTCAAAAAGGAGTAACATGGATATACATGTTGTCTGCAACATAATGCCATTTTTGGCTCTTCATGTTTTCTTATTAGTCCAGTTGATGACAGTAAACACATGAAGACCCAAGCACATGAATTAGATTACCGATTTGGCTCTATTATATCTTGTTATCTTAAGAGTAAAGAGACTCTGCAGCCAATATAAAATGATTCTGATAATATGGGCTTTATTCTATTAAAGAACCACAAAATGTCTCCTCATATTACAATTGCAATGTAGAAAAGAATAGACAAAGAACAATTTGATATAATACACGTACATGATATGGTTCCATTGAATAGAGGGCGCCCAAGTGCAATCCAGACAGCAACAACGCACGTAGTCTCTACAACTATCACATCACCATGACACCAGAAACAAACTTTAAAGTAAGACACCCTTGTTTCATATCTTATTTAAAAGCAGAGTCAGAGATTAATAAGGCCAGGGATGATAAAATAACAAGTTACATGTACAATTGACATATCAATGTATTCTATACTATCTCAAATAAATTATCTCTGGAAAAATCCTTGAAAATCAAATAATGAATTTATTTAAGAGTCAATGTGCAAAAATGTGTTATTCTCTCAAATTATAAATGTTGGTACATAGTTTTTTAATCTTTTTTATCATTGCAGGCAAGAACTCCATCTACGATTAGTCATGATGGTCACAGCTACATATTTGAGGGCTTCTCATTGCTCTCTCATGCTCCTATAGGACAGGTATAAAAACACTCTATATACTCTGTGTCTCAGGAATATTATCAACAATGCTAATCTGAAAGATTTCTTATTACCTGTTCTAATGATGTTCAAGTTTGTCTTTAATAACAATTTTATTAATTCTTTCAGATCCCAAAGTGTTCAGTATTGAGGTACAATATTGACTACACCATACTCTGGAAGCAGGAGCCAGTACCAGAGGTATTTACCTAACAAAAAAAATATGGTGAAAATTCTTCAAAATTTGATGTAACCTCCTCCCATCAAGAAAAAATGTGCAATTTGACCACCTCAGTGCTTACCTTTCCCTTGTTTTGTACTGTAAGTTAAACTGAAAAGGAGTCATGATAATAGTTTTTGAAAAAACATTAATTTTAGAAATACACATGTTCTACTGCACTCCACTGGACTGTATGGTTCTGTCCTGAAGTAAATTTTTGGAAATGTCTTGATCTTAAGTTTTAAATAGGTGTATCAATTAGAGTCTTGGCTTAGTATGTAGATTTGACATGTTATATTGTATATTATTTTAGAACTTTAACATAAAAAGTGCAGATATGGTGACTGACTTTATCTACAAAGAACTGCTGGAATTCATAGATCTTGATTGCTTCGAAGAATTAGATGATGAAACTTGCCGTATTTTCCATCTTGTGCCACGATTTATACGAGAGCTTCCTGAAAATGGCAAGGAACTACTTTCAATTGATGCAGTTTTGAAATATTTCCTAGACAACAATAAACCATTGTTAGAGAAATCTGAGCTCCATCTATTGGCAAAATTAGAAAAACATGAATGGCAGGAGTTTGTAGATGAGGTTCAAGGAATGTTGGTAACAGTGCCGGGAATGCGACCAGGTGCATTTAGAGTCGACCAGATTGATCGACCAGTCGTAGAGGACAATGAGCCAAAGTACCCAATGTTGGTACATTTTGGTATGAGGCCACATCAACTGACTTATGCTGGTGATCAGAATTTTCAGAAATTGTTCAAGAAATATTTAAAGCTGAAACATTTATTGGCTAATAAACCAAAGGTGTCTATTGTTGATAAAGAGGCACTATGGGGCAAAGAGGATGAATTGTCAGATCTGAAATCAAAGTCGTGAGTACACATTCTCTAAGACTTAATACTATACTCTTAAATCTGTCATACTAGATAGATTTTGCAACTCACTTATGGCATATTTATTATTCACGCATAACATATAACTTATGAAGCGTTTGATTATGTCATCATTTATCGAGCAGCTCTATATGTCCATAATTGTAATAATCTTGCATATAGACGATGATTTGCAATAATATCGGTGGGAATAATAAACATGCTATAAGTGAATTGAGATCTCTCATGATTATAACTATGATCTTTGCTTTGACAAATAATAAAAAACAATTTTTAGTTTACCTGGGATGAGTCTGTTACATTTTTGTAGCATGCATCAATGAATAACCTGTTTATGCTTTAGGAGGGACAGAGTCTGAACCCGAAACATAATTTATTATTACATTTTGTGATAACATTTGAAGTTTGACATGATCCAAACCATCAGCATTTGTTTTTTTCAGCAACATGAAGAAAGAGATCACTACAGAGCTAAGTAGCGAGGGTTGTATGAGGACAGGAATTCGTTCTGATATATGCCAACACGCCATCTTTATGCCAGTTCTCATCAGCCACCTCCGCTTCCATAATTGCCTCAACAACTTAGAGGATATTCTGGAATATAAGTTCAAAGATAGATACAAACTGCAGGTAAAACTACAGGGTGTTCCAAATGTAACAGGACTGGTGCTGGCATTTTGTTTAATATGCACCAATCATCTTCAAAATTTTACGTAATGTACTTATATGTATCGTTACTAAAACTGCAAAGTTTCGACAAAATATATGAAACTCGGGTAGAGTTATTGCTGCTATAGTAACATGACATCGCAAAACCCGGGGCAACATTCCACGCGGAAAGTTACAGAGACATTAAGCATTTTGTACATCCCATATCAAAGTTGAAATGCAACAACTGGTGTGAATTACATTTTTTACATCATTTGATATTTCTATGTATCCTCTACTTTGAAAAGTAGGCTCCTCTTGGTCAGTACAAGAGTACTACTCTGTATCCATGACCCAAACACATGAGTGAACCCATTTGAGGACATGTCACGCAGGGTCGATTGAACAATTTGAAGAAGGTTATTCTCAACTTTAAAGGTCTTACAGCACTGATTAGCATTCTATTCTCAATATAAGTAAAAATTAGATATTGTATGATCAGAAGAATATGGTGCATGGTTTTAGACCTCAAGACCTAGCTCCTCTATAGCTGCATGCTCTTTAACGGTGACCTGCGGGCAGGCTGGTTATCAAGGTGGATAACTGGCTTCAAATTGGGTCTTTTCAAAAACTCAACCGTAAATTGTTCAGACTGTTATACATAGTGATATTTCAGGAAATTGAATGAATATTATTATTATGACGATGATGAAATTATACTTGAATCTGAGTTGTATAGCAACACCTGTACAACAAAGCAACTAATAAAATAAACAAGAAATGTTGTATTATAATAGGTGAATTAGATACTTTCTTCAGTAATACAAAAATATTAGATATCACATTTTCAGGAAGAATTTGCCCCGGGTATTGTGATGGCATGTTACTATAGTAACCATAACTCTACACTCATTTCATCATTTTTTCTGGAACTTTAAAATTTTTGTTGCAATACTTTAACGTACAATTTGTAAAAATTTGAAGACACTCGATGCAAAATTGACACAATGCCAGCACCAGTCCTGTTACTTTTGGAACACCCTGTATTGTTGTATAGATTTCAGTTTGCTCTCAAGGATTTTTTGAGTGCAAAATTCTTTTTACAAGATTTCATCATCTACAGCTGTTCTTTGTAACTATAAAATCAATTGCCACCTTTCTTTTAGCTATTAGGTATTAAAAAATAATGGTTAAATGCTACATTTTTCTTGCTGATCCATGATTCTTCAAAACTGCTTTTGTTAAATAAAGACCATTATTACATCACTGTCATATTCCTCACTCTCTGATTGGTCCATGTCCTACATGTGACTAAATATTCATCAAATGACTTTCGTTGAATATTATACAAATATTTAATTCTATTCATGTTATTCCATTAATGTGAGTGAGGAATATAACAGTGAATAATAAAACAAATATTTAATTCTATTTTTGGTGGATATCTGTGACACTTTCACAAAACGATATTCCAATAGCCATTCGGGCCTCATGGAATATCACTTATGAAAGATGCACAGGCATTCACTTTAAAAGAATTAAATATTTGTTTTATCATTTATGTTTCATTTAACTTAAGCTTGCATTGACTCATCCCTCACACAAAGTGAATTTTGGCACTACCTCAGATCACGGTCGCAACACACTCTCCAATTGCGGCATCAGGAGCCCTAACTATGGGACTGGTGTGGCAACCAAACTTAAGACTCACAGAAAGAGAGGTAAGTTAGACTGAATAATTGGATTAATAAATCAGGTCTCTTAAAAAGTATTACTATGCTACATCATGACAAATTCATATAACAAATTTGATTCAGAGATATTGTTAAACACCTTTTAGATAGTCATATATATTAAAGTATATGTTTTTGAAAATAACACATACATATGTAAGTTTAAACACATTAAATTTTCTCATCCAGATTAAGTTCTGCTTTTAATATTCAAATTTTGTTTTTTTTGTTCAGTCTATTCAGGTATTCTATAGTACCCTGGTTGGGCAGAATATAACACAAACTATCTGTTGGGAGGTAATGCAGCTTTGTACTAGTACCCAGTTCATAAAAATTCATTATTTATGTTTATTGCAGGTATAAATGTATTATTTGAGATAATGTCTCAAATGGGCAATGAACAACCAACACTGTCGGATATAAGTCACAATGAGAGGTATGAACACCTTGGAGATGCTGTCTTGGAGTGCATCGTCACGTAAGTGCATCATTTTATGGCCATCTTATAGTGAATGGTCATGTTAGTGCATCATTTTATTGCTGTCTTGAAGTGCATTATCACGTAAGTGCACCATTTTATTATTCCAACAAACGAAGTTCGGTAGGGATATAGTGAAGCCCTCCGTCCGTCCGTCTGTCCGTCCGTCAGTCAGTCAGTCAGTCAGTCAGTCAGTCAGTCCGTCCGTCTGTCCGGAAGATAACTCAAATACTAGTAGACGGATTTTCTTCATATTTAGTTGAAAGATGTATATTGGTAAATAGTTTTACGCAAAAAAAGATTTTTTCAAGATGGCCGCCGCTTTAAAAATGACGGGACTTTTTCGCAAAAATCATAAATTTTTCATTCCGAACCAAAGTAATTAATATTATTGTTTGAAATTTTGGTAGTATATTCACAACATTTATCTATTTCACATATATTCTGTGTTTTTCATCCTGACCCCCAGGGTCCGTGTATGGGGGGACAGGAAAACAGAAATTTTCGCTAATTTTTAGATCTTTCTTAAGTATAGCTTTATTATACTCAAATGAAAGGCAATTAAGAGTAGATTGCAAATATTGTATCTTTTTTTCTGATTTGAGCCTCGTAAAATTCAAAATGGCCGTCTAATGTACGATTTCGCAATAATTTTTTGATCCCTTCAAAGTATGGCTATATTATACTCAAATTGAAGGAATTTTGGAGTAGATCACAATTATGGTATTATTTTTCAGATTTGTATCTCAGAAAATTCAAAATGGCTGCTTTGCAGGAATTCGCAATTCTAAAATCTAATTTTTTCAATTTTAACCAATGTAATGAGTATAATTGATTGGAATTCGCTAATTGATATTTTGTTCGTTGGGATTTGCTACTTCGCGGAGTTGCCGTTATCTAGTTGACACATAGACCGTGTTGCATAGAAATATTTGTGGCTCTGTGTTTCAGTCTATTTGTTTCAGTGTTTATATTGTTAAGACAAACTGTTATGGAGTTCTTTTCAAAATGAGATAAATTGTTCCCTATGTAGGCTCTCATAACATAAATCCAGAGTATTTGTCACACTGAGCTTCCATTGACTTTCTTTAGAAATACAGAAGACAGATTAAGATGGGCATTCATAATTCATTTTGTCCAGAAGTTTCATCTACCATGTAAAATATATGAAGTGTTTATTTTATTTCAGTGTTCATCTGTACTTCATGTTCCCACATTTGGATGAAGGTGCTCTTGCCACATTTAGATCTGCAATTGTTCAGAATCAACATCTTACAGTATTAGCCAAGGTATGTTCAGAATCAACATCTTACAGTATTAGCCAAGGTATGTCCAGAACTGGCATCTTACAGTATTGGGCAAGGTATGTCCAGAACTGGCATCTTACAGTATTAGCCAAGGTATGTCCAGAACTGGCATCTTACAGTATTAGCCAAGGTATGTCCAGAACTGGCATCTTACAGTATTAGCCAAGGTATGTTCAGAATCAACATCTTACAGTATTAGCCAAGGTATATCCAGAACTGGCATCTTACAGTATTAGCCAAGGTATGTTCAGAATCAACATCTTACAGTATTAGCCAAGGTATGTTCAGAATCAACATCTTACAGTATTAGCCAAGGTATGTTCAGAATCAACGTCTTACAGTATTAGCCAAGGTATGTTCAGAATCAACATCTTACAGTATTAGCCAAGGTATGTTCAGAATCAACATCTTACAGTATTAGCCAAGGTATGTCCAGAACTGGCATCTTACAGTATTGGGCAAGGTATGTCCAGAACTGGCATCTTACAGTATTAGCCAAGGTATGTCCAGAACTGGCATCTTACAGTATTAGCCAAGGTATGTCCAGAACTGGCATCTTACAGTATTGGGCAAGGTATGTCCAGAACTGGCATCTTACAGTATTAGCCAAGGTATGTCCAGAACTGGCATCTTACAGTATTGGGCAAGGTATGTCCAGAACTGGCATCTTACAGTATTAGCCAAGGTATGTCCAGAACTGGCATCTTACAGTATTAGCCAAGGTATGTCCAGAACTGGCATCTTACAGTATTAGCCAAGGTGTGTCCAGAACTGGCATCTTACAGTATTGGGCAAGGTATGTCCAGAACTGGCATCTTACAGTATTAGCCATGGTATGTCCAGAACTGGCATCTTACAGTATTAGCCAAGGTGTGTCCAGAACTGGCATCTTACAGTATTGGGCAAGGTATGTCCAGAACTGGCATCTTACAGTATTAGCCAAGGTATGTCCAGAACTGGCATCTTACAGTATTGGGCAAGGTATATTCAAAACTGACATTTTACAAGTGTGCTCAGAATTGACATCTTCCAATATTGGGCAAGGTATATTCAGAACTGACATCTTAGAGAATTAGCCAAGGTACTTTTTAGCATTGATATCTTACAGTGCATGTGTAAGTCAAAGTATGGTTAAGAGTGAAAATTTTACCAATTTATTATCCAAGTCTTCAGAATGAACAGCCTCATACAGATAGATCTCTTCTGTATGTAGTGGTGATAATTAAGTGTTTATGTGTAAAAACATAGATGCTATTTTCAAATTAAATGCGTTTTGATTTTCCAGAATCTTCAACTTGAGAAGTACCTCTTGTATTCCCATGGTGCTGAGCTTTGCCATGATTTACATCTAAATCATGCATTAGCTGACTGCTTTGAGGCTATGTTATGTAAGTGTGAATATTGCATTGGCACATTAGTTTGAGTCTATTTTATGCATTATATGAATATTGCATTACTAGTAGCTGACTGTTTTGAGGGTATCTTTATGTTTAAGGTTATACCCTTGGTCATAACGAGTTCAAGTGTCAAATGATGAAACCACCATTATTAGAGTCTCAATCCTACGAAAAATCCTATTTTAATTTTTCTCATTGCCCATGTCCTGATTTACTCTATAATTCCCTAATGAGAAAACTCTAGATTAACAGTGCAAATATTATAAAAACTTAATTTCGATCATACACCGTACAATAATGATATGTTGTATATTTCTAGGTGCCTTGTATTTAGACGGAGGTATTCATGTTGCCCAAAAGGTGATGGCCAAGTGTTTATTTGGTAGAGAAGAAGATGCTCATCTTCATGACATATGGACAAACCCAAGACCTGATCCTTTACAGGATGATGAACCTGATGGTGATAGACACTGGATATCTTCTAGCCCAGTGCTCCAGGTATACACTATACAATTTGTAGTTTTCTTCCAAGGTTATGATGGAATTCAGAACTGTGTGGCCAACATTAAATATAAGGGTATCTGTAGTATGAAACTTATCAGGAAAAACTAAAATCATTAAAAATGTAACCAATTGCATGAATTGGGAGTTCTGTTCAACTGAAAAGTATTTATTATTTTTCCAAAGTATAAACAGATTGGAATCTGTCCTGTATTTGAAATGGCCTTATCCACACTTCTGCTATACATGTACATTTATTATGTTGCGAGGCAGGCACATGTCATGCTTTTGAATCCATTTAAGAATGATACAAGATTCTTTATTCCTTAAATATTATGTCTCTCTCTCAATTGGTTTATATTTGGACCAGTTACAACTCTTTCACTTTTACCCCCACATTCATTTGGGGAAATAAATGCCACAAAGAGAGAAAATAGTCCCAGGGATTATCAATTTACGCATTTCACGTTCACTCCTCAAAACAGTGCAAAATTCACCTCTCTAATGATCTATGTGTTTTAGAACCTTACAGAGCTTGAGGAGGTAACAGGTTTACAGTTCAAATGGATTAGACTTCTAGCCAGGTCACTCTCGCCAAAATATGTTGGCTACAATAATCTAACCCTGTAAGTAGTCCTTCAATTATCCAGCATGTGAAATAGTCTTAAAAATTCCAATGCTCACAAATGCAACATATGCATGCTCTTATATATGTCATGTTTCATTAAACGTAGCAGGCCCAATAATATTCCAAGTATATGAGCAACAGTGTTTCATACCAGGAAGGAAAGGGGCATCACATCTACTGACATGATGATGATGTCAGTCATATCCTTTTAAAATAGAGGTTCATCTTTACATGAAGATAGGGCCATGGTTTGATTGAATGTTATTTCTCCCTCTTTATCATCATTATATGTTAATGGTAGAAAATGTTCAGGTAGAAATGTGCTTGATTCTTAATATACAGAATTGTATTTCAAAATACAATATACAAAATTGTATTTCAATTTTTCAGTGGCCACAATGAGAGAATGGAGTTCCTTGGAGACAGCATCTTACAGTTTATTGCATCCCTCTATCTCTTCAACCATTTTCCCAATCATCATGAGGGCCATCTATCTGTAAGTTCTCATCACTAATAAAATTGAAACAAAGCCTCACTGTCAATTAGTTTTAATCTGATCAGTTTTGACATTCTTTACCTGTACGCGTCTTATAGTATGTAAGATAGGATATTGTAAATCAAAAATAACATCATTGAGTTTCTTCATCTGTAACATTCTTCTGCCAGGTGTAAAATGCATGCATATATTTTCACTATTAAAGTACTAAAGAATGTGTTTGATTTGCAAATGCATTATTGTTAATCATCAAATCCAAATACTTTAGCCTTTTTAGAGTTTTGATGAAATACTAATTTGTGACTAGTAAAATTTACAAATTGTACCATTCACAAGATAAGTGAATTTGAATTTTTGATTAATTACTTTATATATATGTTTATATATTTTCTAATTTGTTCTATTTATTTAGTTGCTTAGAAGCTCTTTAGTGAACAACAGAACCCAGTCAATAGTCTGTGATGAACTAGATCTCACCAAATATAGAATCAATCCAACTGCTGATATAGCCTGCAGGAACAAGAAATCAATTTCATATAAGGAAAAAGCCGATTTGCTAGAAGGTACTGTTTTCATACGAACTTAGTTTTTTGGAGTTGAATGAACAAACAGTGATGTAGTTTATAAGTGGAAAGGACTCACATATCTACAGACCAGAAAAAGTATTTTTCACCTTTTGGTTTAACTTTTACCAATTTGTCATGTCAGCATCATAGGTTAAGTGTCATATTTATTATTTGTGACTGGCATTCAGTATCAGCATTCAGAAGTCAGTGATCAACACTCAATAACTTCCAACAAATTATTAAACTTTTGTCACCAATGATAGCTTTTTAATTAATTTTTTCTATCCAACACTTGGTGAGTTTTCTGTCCTCTATTGGCAGTGTTTAAGTCCTTTGTGTTGTTTTTTCCAGCCTTCATAGCTGCCATGTTCATAGACCAAGGGTTAGACACTGTGGTAGCCTTTTGCAAGGTCTGCTTCTTCCCAAGACTTAAGGTAATGCTTCTTATGTTAACAACATCTCTAAGGGGCTGGGTCAATTATTAATGTGTCATTTTTTCTCAAAACGAATTATGTAAGATGAGGTAAAAAAAGCCATACACTGTTCATTTAGTGGATGATCTTGCTAATTGGCTGTGTTGAACTGAAATGTATCTATTTCACCCACATTATTATATTTCCAGCACTTTATCCTGACCCAAGATTGGAATGACCCCAAGTCACATCTGCAGCAATGTTGTTTAACTCTGAGGGAGCTGGATAAGGGAGAACCAGATATTCCAACATATAGGTCAGTAATAACAACAGGAGGGGATATCAAAAAACAGCATAGGATATTAATTTCTCATCATATCTCATATGCTGTAACTCAACAGGAAAGCGATATCCCAAAACAGCATTGGATATCAATTTTATGTCCTCTAACAATATCTCCTCTGTAGTGTATATAAAATATGACTGTTTCATGGATTTTGAAGTAATACAAATAGGAAACATGATAATTAACACTCAATACATGTATGCATAATTCAAATAAGTATTTGAGTATTTTGTCTCGAACATTTTTTTTTATTAATTCAAAATATAACATTTACACAATTCTTTGTTGAGATGAATGACAATTGATGCTTGATTGATTCATATATTTTTAAAATATTCTTTGAATATCTATTTGAATAGATGACTTTTAATCGAAAAATATATTTGCTATGTTGTATGTGGATGTATTCCCACATACAGGTATGGTCTTCCACCTTGTAATATAAAATTATGAAATAAATTCAATTGAATTTCTTCAGGATTATTGAATCCCATGGTGCAACAAACAGCCGCAGATACACCGTGGCCGTCTACTTCCGTGGTGAAAGACTGGCTAGTGGAACAGGACACAGTATACAACAGGGAGAGATGCATGCAGCTATGAATGCATTAACTGATAAAGAGTGTAAGTGGGACAAAAAATCCTTTGCTTTTATGTCAGAGTTAATGTTTTTTAAATGTTTGAACCCACAACCATTTGGATAGCACTATTGTTTTTGTCACATTGATATGCCTCAATTTTCATACTAATTAATTGAGTAGGCCTATATGTTGTTTATTTTGAATTATTCCGTCTATGCTGCTCTTATTTCAGACATGTTCCCACATCTCAAATACCAGAGATCATTTGTGAAGAACAGACGGAAGTTGGCAGCGTTAGACCCAACAGACAAGAAGGACATATGGCAGAACTCCATATGGGAAACAGGACTCCCAAAGGATGATCCCACTAAAAACAGAAGGAAATATAAACCTCAAATACCAAAACGTTATAAAAAGTGAAACTGTTATTGTGCCAGGACATATTTGTGCATTACTTGAATTCAAATAGTACTTGTATGTGTATGTGTTTCACTTGCAGTATTTATCCCAGCTCTGTGTATTACATGTATTATGTGCATTGGAGTTCACATACATGTATTATGTACATTGGAGTACACATACATGTATGTATGTTCATTGACTGCGGAAAAGAACATAACAGAGCATTATTTGCAGTAAAAGTACATAGCTGTGCTTTACTTATACATATATGTGCATTCTTTGCAATCCGTCTTGATTACACGTCCATTTAAGGTATTGTAAATCTAGAGTTTATTCGGTTAGTATGTGAGAAGTAGAAAGTGCAATGAATTCTTCAAGTCACTTATTAGTACATTTTTGGCATTTATGATAGACTGATGCAACGAAGAATATTAGAGTTTTGAATGTAAATCAAATTAAAATATTTAAATTAATGACAAAATATGTCATTCTTATTTAATGATGATGAATAAATAATCATGAATAATGAACTCAATTTTGAATTTTGTTTTATGCGCATGTTCGCTCTTAAGTCAATTTCAATATAACATCTCCTGGATGTAGTTTGCATCTTTAATTTGACAACTATGTTTTGTTCAATAATTCGATGCTTTTAATTTAATTTTGAGCATTTGTTTATTGTTTTTTAGTGATTAGTCCTGGATATGAATACAAATAAACATCCATGAAAATTTGATAAAATCCATAAAACCGTTCGTCTGGAAATGTACAGGGTGGTCCAAAAAAAGTGAACCCCTGCAATGGGCCATGTTTCCCTTATTACTTGCAGGAATTCTTTTTTTATATTTTTGCATGTTGTAGAGGAAGGTCTAAAATTTATGTTGGCACCATACATTTTTCTTAGTCTTGAAATTTGCAGAAATTATAAGCCCTAACCAAATATTACTGAAAATGGATAAAATGTGATTTTCAATATACGCGATTCTTCAACCCTTCAACACCGTTCCACTGACATTTTTAAGCTGCAGTCTTAAAGAACTAATATTTTCTCACTTTGTTCAATCTTGAATCCCGCACATTATGGCTTAAAACTAGCATCCTACCTTTGTTAGTTGCAAAGTTCTTGTGATCCAAAGAAATGTTCTTAGCTTCCATAGGCGATAACATTTTCCAGTGAAATCGCGAACATAACCCTATATGATCTTGAAATGTCAGTATCTTCATAAATCATGGACTGATTCTAATGAAATATGGCTAAAAACATTGAATATTCGATTTTCTTTTGATTTTTTATCGTACCTAATAAAGGTACGATATTGTCGTCAGCTTGACGGGCGGGCGGCGGGCGGGCGGCGTCTCACTTTTCAGCTTGTCTACAGATTTCCAGCCAAACCATTAGACAGATTCATCTGAAATTTTCAGGAATGTTTCTACGTATCAAAGTTAAGAACTGATTAGTTTTTGGGCATTCTGGGTAAATTTTAAGGTGGCCATTTTGGATTTTCCGTCCTAAAATCTTCACTTTCAAGACTTGTCTACAGGTTTCCAGCCAAACCATTTGACGGATTCATCCGAAATTTTCAGGGATGTTTCTACGTATCAGAGTTGAGAACTGATTAGTTTTTTGGCATTCTGGGTAAAATTTAAGGTGGCCATTTTGGATTTTCCGTCCTAAAATCTTCACTTTCAAGACTTGTCTACAGGTTTCCAGCCAAACCATTTGACGGATTCATTTGAAATTTACAGGGATGTTTCTACATATCAAAGTTAACAACTGATTAGTTTTTGGGCATTCTGGGTAAATTTTAAGGTGGCCATTTTGGATTTTCCGTCCTAAAATCTTTACTTTCAAGACTTGTCTACAGGTTTCCAGCCAAACCATTTGATGGATTCATCTGAAATTTTCAGGGATGTCTCTACGTATCAAAGTTAAGAACTGATTAGTTTTTGGGCATTCTGGGTAAATTTTAAGGTGGCCATTTTGGATTTTCCGTCCTAAAATCTTTACTTTCAAGACTTGTCTACAGGTTTCCAGCCAAACCATTTGACGGATTCATCCGAAATTTTCAAAGATGTTTCTACGTATCAAAGTTAAGAACTGATTAATTTTTGGGCATTCTTGGTAAATTTTAAGGTGGCCATTTTGGATTTTCCGTCCTAAATTCTTCACTGTCACACTGCTGTGTTTTAGGTACGATATTGTTCACGTCTGTGCCTTGTTAAAGATATTTGATGAAGGGCTTCTCAGATTCCTGGTCACAGGGGGCAACTTCCTTCCACAAAAGGCCCTCCTCTAACTGTTAGTGTAGGTAACATACCCCTGAACTGTTGAACGGTTTAAACTACTTCAAAATGATCAATGAAAGTGTGAAATGTGTTTTCTGCTTTAATATTGCCCCTTTTGTCATATGGTATGGTTTTAAACTTTTATCTCTAACTGAAATCTGTTTAAGATCATCCAATGTGTTTCAACAATTTCTGTGAATCACATTGGTAAAATTTTGCACAATATCTAATTTTCAGGCATGTTTGCTAAACTCTTGTAATTTCTTTAAAATTTAAAACTGAGATTAAATTATGGCATCAACCAAAATTTTAGACCTTTCTCTACAACATGTGATAATATGATTCTATTCATGCAAGTGTTAAGGAACATATAGCATGTTGCAGGGGTTCACCTTTTTTGGACCACCCTGTAGATCATTAAAAATTACAGGCAAGATTTTACCCAAAATGGCCTCCTCAATAGTTCAGAATGCCCAAAATGGTATCAATACAAGAAGAAGTATATAGAAGAAACATTCTGAAATCAATCCCAAAAATTTGGCATGAAACGTGTAGAAAATACGACAGACAAGATGAACGGGAAATCGAAAATGTCTCCCTTAATTGTATTGTATTGTATTCTTTATTTACCTCTTATATAAGAGAGTTACAATGCAAGATCATCGTTTGTACAATTTAAGATCAAATTGATACGATCTTCAACACTAGTTGTATCGTTATATTCATAGATTTCGTTTAGTGCTAGCCTTTCTTGATCGTACATCTCGCAATGGCAAATAAAATGTTCGATTGGTTCTATTTAATTTAGGCTGCAGACATTGCACAATCGACCATTTTCTTTTGCTATATCCCACTTTTTGAGACCGTTTAGACCTAATTGACCAGTCATTAACTTCACAACAGTTGTAACTTGTTTTTTCAATCGAATTCTAGGACTGAAAATCCAAAATAACCGCCTTTAACATTTAAACAGATAACAAAAACTAATCGGTTCTAGATTATACAAAGAAAATCCCTGAAAAATAGAACATTTTCTAAAGATGCCTCAAACTAATCAGTTCTTGACTTTCATACAAAGAAACATCGCTCAGATCAATCAATCAAACGGTTTACCTTGAAACGTGCAGACAATATTTGTCTAAATTGACAACCTATATTTTATGTTTATGAAAGTTCCGATCAAAACAAAACAGATTTACAAGAACTGTCGTGAAACGTAAATGATTGACTAAAAAGTTAAAAAACAAAGAACTCGGAATAAATTTTCAAGTATTTGAATAGACAGGCAGCTTTCATGAATTTCGAATTTTATCAATGGTAGACATGAAAACATTACGTAACTTGGGGAGAGGTATATAGTGTGGGGAGGTGTCACAGGCGTGTAGTTAGATTAGAAAATTTTTGTTTTCTAGAGGCGTTGCCAGGATAAAAAAATATGGCGAGCCAAATGTAAATAGGTGTACAGGGTGAGCCAAAACAAGTTTACACATGTGCCTTCAATCAAACAAATGTTTATAACTCAGTCATTCAGCATGGGTTTGAACTTGAAGTCATATAGTCTAATGCTGTATTTAAAACACATGCTGATCTGATTCACATTTTTGGGTTACCTCAAGTTTTTGCTCACCATGTACAAGTTTTCCACAGTTGAAAAATGTTGGTGCAGCAGTTGCCTCGCCTCTTTAAGGCCTGGCTATTCCCTCGCTATTCCCATGCGTTCCCTTATGTTTGTTGCTACTGCTCAGACTGACTGGATTGTTTCATTGTCTTTAGAGGTCGTTCAGTGGTCGGTTGAATATGGATGGCATCTACTAGGCTGGAGTTTTGACCTTACACTAGCTAATTTGGATACCATCTAGACCATCCAAGCTTGCAATGGATTAAATGCAAGTCGAAATAATTTTGATACCTCATTAGCGATATCGCAAGTCACTGGCGGATCTGGGGGGACCCCCCAGAAATTGGGTCCAAAAAAGGCACCAAATAGTTTAAGGCACCAAATAGTGGGCCTTTTTTGTCATAACTGGGCCTTTAAAGGCCTTATTTTTAAATTTCAGGCCAAATTTTGAAGAAAATGGGCCTCAAATGTTAAAATTTGGGCCCGCTTTTGGGTTTTAGGGGCCCAGAAGTTTTTTTCTCTGACCTGAAATTTGGCCCCCCCCCCTATTGGTTCCCAGATCCGCCCCTGCAAGTGATATATTATTATCAAAATACAACCAAATACTTTCCGAACGTACAATAGCAATATTTCTCACCTAACGTAATAATATTTTAATTGTCTTCATAGTTTTAGGAACGTATTTTAAACGCATGATAGCCAAATATAATCTAGTTATCTAGTGTTCACAAAGTTTTGAAACATATTTTATCTAGATCCATCAGAAATTAACTTATCCAATAAATTACTTTATTAGTTCTAGTATCTTGCATGACTCGTTCATAAGAATTCTTTAATTATACCTCGTTCCCAATACGTCCTCAGACAGACAAGAAATTGAAGTCACACCCGTGTTTGCATGACAGAATATGCCACGCAAAATACGTATGTACACTTTCTCTGATTATTGTCAAGCAAATACATTTCAGGAGAAGAACGTAACAAATGCCGGAAACGAATGCCGAAAAATAAATCCCAATTGATTAAGTTTAGAATGTTTTGTTCTTTGAGACAGAGACTAAGAAATTAAATGCGACGAAATATTTTGACAACGTAATATGTATACTGTTTTATTCTTAAAGTTCTATGCGTTCACTTCAGATTTTATCTGTTTCAAAATTTTTCATTTTATTTTGCCTATATAAGAGATTGAAGAAGATAAGATAAACTGTTCCGTAATATATATTGTGTTTTATAACCTTTTTTAGAATCACAATGTAAAATAAATCCCCCGTTCCTGCCATTCTGGTAATTGATTAATTAATTTGGCCAAATACATGGCATGAAACTGGCCTAAGCTTAAGTACGTCTCCCCATTTCTCTGGTAAATTATGACTATATTTTTCGGAGACGGGTAATGCATGGGTTTCGGACAACTGGGTTTCGGACAACTGGGGTGTACCCGTCTCTTGGTAAGAGAATCAAATTTAAAACCAATTTCATGCCCATAATTCAAAAATACATCATTAACAAGAATTGAATGTGGTGTATCAACATTGAAAATTTTATTTTCTTTGAAAATGTGACCAAGTCGAGGAAATTCCCCAAATGCTATAAAACCACAAAAAGTGAAATGTTTTCTTGTATCGAACAGATGTTTTTCTTTTACTGGCCAGATGATTACGCCCACTATACTGAATTTAAAAGAAAAAAGAAAAAAATAATCATTGAAACATGTTACTCACACCATGGGCTTTCAATTAGACACAAAGTGTGATTTTGCTTTAATATTGCCGACCAAGAAAAAAATAACTCACATAGAAAAAAGCATTTGAAGTTCAGAGATCATAAGACGTGCATGCACATCATGAAGTGCATGATTTAAATTACTGTTAATCTGTTAATTGAAAATATAGCGACACTTCTATAAAAATGAACGTCCGAAAAATGAATGTATCATGTAATACAAACAACTTTGCCATCTTCCAATGACATTGATAATAACTTGATATATAAAGCTTGACAGACCCTGTCGTGTTTGCAAAACTCCAAAGGAAGACGTTCGGAAATTTAACACATCTGTGTTTGAAAATGGCGAACTCGGCAACGGCAAGACAAGCGCAAGAACTATTGGATGATGAGGGGTTTGCAGAAGAGGTAACCATGTCTTTTATATTGGGTTTGTTATTTAAATGTATAGTCAAAATATAGAAATGTATATTTGTCGTTTGGTTGTCATAACAACAATATGGTTTTAGATTGTAATTAAAAACAACATATTATCGCCCATTTATTTCCTAATCGATAATTTACATTTTTTTAAATTTCTTATAGACTGTATATTTGCCCTTTTTAAACTCTCATAAGATATATTATATAATTCAAATATTATATAAATAAAAGCACGGGTAATTTGAAGTAAAATATCATTTAATGAGTACTCTTGCAAGTTTTACTCTTGAGCCTTGATTTCTTCTCTATTTTTTATTTATTTGATCGTTTGTTTGTTTGTATTGTAAGGTCTATGTCTATGTCAATAATCCGCAAAAGGCTAATAAGCCCATATAAAGCAGATATATAATTTAACAGTGATAGAATTTGAATAGAATATAATTTAAAACCTTAACATTTAAAAATAGATCTATGGTTTACAACTCATTTTACCTGGGGAGACTGTCAGGCTAACCGCGTTGACATCACCCCTCTTTACCAGTAGTGCAGGCTTGTTGCTGTGCACTGGGGACCCTTTACATTAAAACATAGATCTATATTAAAAACACACCTATTTAATTGCAGTTATTGACATAGGCATAGTATGATGATTTAAAACTACTTAGACTGTCACAGTCTAAGATGTCACCAGGTAGAGTGTTCCATTTAGCTATTGTCCTAGGGAAATAGCTAAATTTGTATGCATCCGTTCTAGTTGATGGTTGTATGAACTTAGAAGGATGATACAACCTAGTGTTGGTATTGATCTGTTGGCGGAAGTATGGAGGCACGTCGATGGCTGCTAGGTTCTGCTTTCCTTTGTAGAAAAGGAAAACTCTAGCAGCCTCTCGACGCTCCTTCAGTGGCTCCCACTGTAGGTCTTGAAGAGCTTTGGTGACGCAGCCTGGTTCCCTTGAGTGACATTTGGTTACAAACCTGGCTGCTCTTCTCTGTACCTGTTCCAACATATCAATATCTTTTTGTCGGTACGGATCCCATGCCGAGCTGGCATACTCTAAATTAGGCCGGACTAGTGACTTATACGCCTGAGCCTTCACTTTTTCAGGGCATTGATGGAGGTTGCGCCTGAGAAATCCAAGCACCTTATTGGCTTTGGATACAATAGTTTGAATATGTGTAGTCCAGCGTAAGTTATTTGTGATGTCAATTCCTAGGTATGGGATGTGTGTTACCAACTTAAGGTTTTCCCCTAGCATGGTGTAATTGTGCATGATAGGGGATTTACCTTTGTGAATATTTAGCACATAGCATTTTGATGGATGGAATTTCATTTGCCATGTTGATGCCCAGGAGACCAGTTTATCAAGATTCTCCTGTAGTGTTAATGCATCTTGCTTGCTTTCGACTGTCATGAATAAAAGGCTGTCATCGGCAAAAAGCTTAAGACTGGCTGAGGATGATAGGTTATTGCCCATATCATTGATATAAACAAGGAAACAGAGTGGTCCAAGAACTGTTCCTTGAGGAACTCCTGATTTTACTGGAGTTTTTGAACTTGATTCACCATCGAGCACTACCTGTTGTGATCTTCCCACAAGCCAGGATCTGAACCAGTTCAAGTTATTATTGCGAATTCCATAATAGTCGAGTTTGAGCAAGAGGCGTTCGTGAGCCACCGTGTCAAACGCTTTGGAAAAGTCTAATACCAACATGTCTGTTTGTTTATTGTTGTCGAGGGCCCGAGCTATATTCTCTATTGTATTGACAAGTTGTGTTTCACATGAGTGCTTTGACCTGAATCCATGTTGGAATTTTACTAGAATTTCGTAGAGGTCAAAGTGGGCCATAACATGATGGAATATAATATGTTCCATTATTTTACATGGAACTGACGTCAGAGATACAGGCCTGTAATTCACAGCCTCATCTCTTCGTCCCTTTTTGTAGATAGCAGTAACATTGGCATGTTTCCAGTCCATAGGCACTAAGCCTTCATCGATAGACTGTTGAAAAATTATTTGAAGGAATGGTGATATGCTGTCACTGCATTCCTTCAGGACCCTAGTCGGAATAAGATCGGGTCCAGTGGCTTTTGATGGATTTAGGCCAGTTAGCAATTTGTGAATTCCTTTTGTCGAAATTTTGATATTTGGCATTTCAGGAATTTGACTAGGTACCATTGTCGGTAGAGTGGCATCCTCATCTGTGAATACAGAATTGTATTGGTCATTGAGGATGTTTGCTTTCTGGGCGGCGTCTGTTATTTCGTCGCCATCTTTGTTACGCAGCACGCTGATACCTGATGCATCTTTGCGTTTAGACTTTATGTAGCTCCAGAAGCGTTTGGTAATGCAGTAAGTCTGCATGTTCAGAATTTTGCTGCATTCCTCAATTGAGTCACATTTTATTTTTCAAATAGGAATCACTCCTTCCTCACATTGTCTACAGTCTGTTACACTGCTTCAAAGGCGAGCAGTTGAACCTGAAAAATAAGAAATCTATAGACCATTGTGCCATGATATATAGAAAAATATATTCATATTGCACACGAATGACATTTGTATATTTCAGATTATTTAGTGTTTAGTGCAATAAGCCTGTGCCCTCTTGTAATTTGAGGTCTGTCCGCCATGTTATTTTTTGAGAATTAACATGGTAGAGAAGCATCAAAATATAAGAGGTTACAGACTTTATGAGCTAATTTACAAGCAATCCAACATATATAGGCGAGTAGGCCAAATAAATAAATTATGAGTTTAATAGTTCAACCGACCCTATGGGAAAATTTGGTATCATAGCAAAGCTCAGAGAATTGTCTATGTCGTGTGATAAATAATTTGTGTTTGAATAGGTGCCGTTGTCATGGAAACGGGTGTTGAACAAAAGATGTCCTCATCAGCCGACTATTAAACTCCTTTATCTATGGACTTCTGAGGCTTGGCCTACTCGCCTAATACAAATGTCATTCGTGTGCAATATGAATATATTATTGCACAATATTATTTAGATTTCTTATATTTCAGGTTTAACTGCTTGCCTTTGAAGCAGTGTAAAAGACTTTACATCTTTCAGTTCTGCACAAACAGTCCACTCCGAGTCTCTGGCCAAGAATTGGCTAGAAGTAATTCCATCAGGAACACTGTGAAACATTCAAACAAAATTATTTATAGTGGTCTCGTGGATGAGATATTGAACGTTTTCATTTAAAATAGAAGTCATCCAGTTTTTTCTGTTCTCACGTAAGCTTACATATAGATGGCAGCCTAGTTGACAGGAAAATGGTGGAAATCGGGGAAATTTTATTTCACTATAAAAAAGAATAAATATCATACGAGGTAAACAATTTTATTAACTAGGACTGCGTGTAAAGATCAATGAAGGTGAGTTTATGTAAAAATACATCTAAGAATATGGTTTCGAAATTTTTTATCAACTTTGAAAATTTAATATTTTTTGAAAATGTGACTTCTAGTTCGGGTTGATTCCCCAAAGACCCCATATTACAAAATCACAAAAAGTGAAATATCTTTTCTTGTATTGGACATATAATAATTTCTTTTACTGGACATACTTTAATTTACATAACTATTCGATACATAAGGGCTACATGAACATTGAACCACTAAAACCCATGTAATTTAAGTTAAAGGGAACTTTCTACTATACCCGCCATGCTATCTGACCCGAGCGAGCCACCTGGTGGTGAAACTGGTAACTACCTACTCGCATTTGCGTTATTCAAGAGTGTCTTATTTATATTCTATGGCCACACTCAGTGGAATATGATAACACTAATGAACCTAGAAAAGACTGGTGAGAAGATTTGCTTTGTAAATTTTATCACTGAATTTTCTCGTTATTTATACATTTTACAAAACAATCTTCTTTCCAGTCTTTTCTAGGCTAAGTGCACTTTTTGTGCAAAACTAAGTTGTGTGTACATAGTACTCATGAATAGAGGAGCATTCAATTATCAGTCCTATCAGTATCTAAGTCAGAGTGTAGTAATTTACTACTATCCTCCCGGGATTCAGGGTAATTTGTCAAGTTTGCAATTTAGATCCATTCTCTTTCTATCCTATCCGTTACATTGATTAGTTGTAATATTTTATAATTTCAGAAACTGCTGGAAGAACTCGAACATTGTGAAATCCCAGCTCATATACGTGAAGCAAGGTTTGAAGCTTTAAAAAAGCAGACTAGTGATCTCAAGCAGTTTCAGGAAAAGGGTCATGGAACCTATGAGTGAGTATAATGTGAAATATCGAAATCTGGTAAAGGTTATTTAATATTTACTAAATGAGGAAAACATATAGTGGTTGCTTTGTGTAGATTATTGCATATTGTCAAACAAGATTAATGATAAATAATATGATGGGCCTCACACTAAAAAGAAAATACAAGCTTTACAAGCATGTCAACAAGGTAAAAGAGTAAAAGGGATTTTGTGAATGTGAAAGCACCTGTTCAGCACCAAACTTTTATGAGTTATTTTATCAAACCTGAAGTCAGGTTGGGAGCTATCTTGTCCTAAACTGCACCTACTTTGAGATTTGACATGACGAAAGCCATCTTTAAAGCTTCATTTCATCTACAGGTTGATTGATGAGCAAAAAAAGTTCCTAGACATAACTACCTCAGAGGAGAGATGTGTTGTACATTTCTTTCATGAAGACTTCAGAAGATGTTCAATTATGGACACACATTTACAGGTTTGTGTTTCATGAGTTGTAAATATCAATGTTTTTGTAAAATAAGGGTGTTTGAGGTTTTATAGACGTTGAACTGATATAGTTTATTATGTTGTTTTTTCCATTATGTAAGTGAGCATTGAAATTTCAAAGATGAAGCATTTTCAGGAAAATTAGTTTTTTATGTCACCACCAAAAGTGGTGACATATTGTTATGGTCTCCGTTTTTTTTGCGACGGCGGTTGGTGGTTGGCGTCCGGCGTCTGGCGTCCGGCGTCTGGCGTCCGGTGTCTGTAACAATTTCTTACAACTTCCTATAACTTAACAAATACTGTTTAGACTGACTTCAATTTTTTTCTAAATCATCTACATGTTCTCAGAAGTTCAAATCTGACTTTAGATTTGATATTTGACCTTCAATGACCTTCTCAAGGTCAAAAAGGTCTTTTTTCAACTTGCTTCACATTGACTAAATTTTTTTTCAAAATCATCTACATGTTCTCAGAAATTCAAATCTGACTTTAGATTTGACATTTGACCTTCAAATCTGACTTTAGATTTGACATTTGACCTTCAATGACCTTCTCAAGGTCAAAAAAGGTCAAAAAGGTCTGTTTTCAACTTGCTTCAAATTGACTAAATTTTTTTTTCAAAATCATCTACGTGTTCTCAGAAATTCAAATCTGACTTAAGATTTGACATTTGACCTTCAATGACCTTCTCAAGGTCAAAAAAGGTCAAAAAGGTCTTTTTTCAACTTGCTTCAAATTGACTAATTTTTTTTTCAAAATCATCTACATGTTCTCAGAAATTCAAATCTGACTTTAGATTTGACATTTGACCTTTAATGACCTTCTCAAGGTCAAAAAAGGTCAAAAAGGTCTGTTTTCAACTTGCTTCAAATTGACCAAATTTTTTTTTCAAAATCATCTACATCTTTTCAGAAGTTCAAATTTGACTTTACAAGTTCTCAGAAGTTCAAATCTGACTTTAGATTTGACCTTTGACCTTCAATGACCTTATCAAGGTCAAAAAGGTCTTTTTTCAACTTGCTTCACATTGACTAAATTTTTTTTCAAAATCATCTACATGTTCTCAGAAATTCAAATATGACTTTAGATTTGACATTTGACCTTCAATGACCTTCTCAAGGTCAAAAAAGGTCAAAAAGGTCTTTTTTCAACTTGCTTCAAATTGACTAATTTTTTTTTCAAAATCATCTACATGTTCTCAGAAATTCAAATCTGACTTTAGATTTGACATTTGACCTTTAGTGACCTTCTCAAAGTCAAAAAAGGTCAAAAAGGTCTGTTTTCAACTTGCTTCAAATTTACCAAATTTTTTTTCAAAATCATCTACATCTTTTCAGAAGTTCAAATTTGACTTTACAAGTTCTCAGAAGTTCAAATCTGACTTTAGATTTGACCTTTGACCTTCAATGACCTTCTCAAGGTCAAAAAGGTCTTTTTTCAACTTGCTTCAAATTGACTAATTTTTTCTTCAAAATCATCTACATGTTCTCAGAAGTTCAAATCTGACTTTAGATTTGACATTTGACCTTCAATGACCTTTTCAAGGTCAAAAAGGTCTTTTTTCAACTTGCTTCAAATTTACTTAATTTTTTTTTCAAAATCATCTACATGTTCTAAGAAGTTCAAATCTGACTTTACATTTGACATTTGACCTTCAATGACCTTCTCAATGTCAAAAAAAGTCAGAGGTATTTTTTCAACTTGCTTCAAATTGACGAATTTTTTTTTCAAAATCATCTACATGTTCTAAGAAGTTCAAATCAAACCTTCTTAAGGTCAAAAGGTATTTTCCAACTTGCTTTAAATTGACCAAATTGTTTTAGGTGGTGACATTTTGTCATGTTAATGCCTTGTATTAGCATTGTGAATGTTTTTTTTTATTAATGGTGGCATCATGTTGTCCTTCCAGAAATTAGCAGAGAAGTACTTTGAAACAAAGTTTGCCAGGATCAATGTAGACAATGCAAAGTTCTTGGTAAACAAATTAAAGATCAGAACACTACCAGCTGTTATATGCTTTAAGGAGGGCATCGTAGTTGATAAGTATGTTAACTCACTGACAAGGGGTTTAAAAAACCATTTAGTTCTCAAGTAACACTTTACAATGTTGACTCCTTTGATTCCAGATGTAATTCAATCCTAACGACAGTCAGACTAGTCCAGATCATTTGCTAAAATATATGAGCAGTTAAAAGTGTCATAAAACCTCTCAACTTGCAAACCATTCTATAATGTGAACACTCTTTTTGTTTGTTATTGTAAAATTCATCTCTCAATGCTGAACACCTCCAAACGTGCATCCATTTTGCTTAGGTTGTAGAGTGTTCAATCAGGGAGCTTGTACCTGTACAATTTACAATATTAACTCACTTTTGAGCTACCTTAAAGCGACTAGAATTTGATTCATCAAGTGGATGATTTCGACCTTGTCCAATATACAATGTATCACATCACTGACGTGTTAAATATAAACTTTTTCAGAGTGATTGGATTTGAGGAATTGGGCAACACTGACTCCTTTACAACAGAAACTTTAGAAAAACGTCTTGGGAACTCGGGTTAGTTTTATTGATTGGCACTTCACACAAATTTTACTAATTTTCGCATTAACCAGTAATTACCTAGATTGTGAGTTCATTGACTAAAAATATCCCTATTTTTATAATACCCAGACATTAATAGCTTAAAGATAGACAAATAAAAATTAGAGATATTTATTTTATCTGTTTTATTTAAATTTTTTTCAGGTGTGATTCATTATAAAAACACAAATCCCGAACCAGGGAAAAAATCTTTATTTGGTCATGTGAGACAAAACAATGATGACGATAATAGTGATGATGACTGGTAACATCTTCTCAATATAGACATTTTATACCTATACAACATGTCTTCATCGTTTTGAAACATGCCTATATTTGGACATCAAGTGTAGGATAGGATTTAATAAATATAGCCATACATGGACTGGCTGAGTGAGGAGTTCCTATATATGGTCATTGATGAACTCTGTCTGAGTGAGGTATTCCTATATATGGTCATTGATGAACTCTGTCTGAGTGAGGTATTCCTATATATGGCTGTGGATGGCCTTGAGTGAAATATTCCTATGTGTGGACAATTTTAATGCGATGTTCCCATATATGGTAATGGATATGACTCAAGGTGAGGTATGACTATATAAATAGAAAAAGGGAGGACAGATATATACAATATTATTTATAATTGTATTGTAACGTGTGTCATATGGAGAAATAGTCATATACTATATATTGTATTATTTGAAAAAATATAAAATTTAGAATCTCCATAAATGAATTCTGTACTGTAATCTTAATACAGTTGTAGTTGTGGATATGCAAGCTTTGAATTGTTTTGTGGGTGACGTTTTCAAGATTCATGGGACATAACATGTAAGAAAAAGAATGTATGTAAAAACAGTGCTGCCATCTTTGTAACCTTACAATTTTAAAATTCACATCTTGAAAAAATAAGTCACTTGACAACATGTACATGTACATGTAGATGTTACCAAGCAAGTACGTCACTTAATTATCGTGCAAAGTAGTGAAAATGTAAGTCTATCAAACTAATAAAATAAGCCAAGGACCACCAAAGTTCAATATAATTTGAAAAATACATTTATATTTTTAATGCAAAACGTCTCTATGTTTCGGATAAATTAGTTAATACGGAGTAAACACGTGACCTTGTAATTTAAGGGTTTCAGCCATGATAAATTTAATGTGAATATATATTTTCAATATGATGTCACACTAAGGCCCTCGTTTATTTAATAGGTTTGATAGACTTACATTTTCACTACATCTCTGCCCATCTTATTGAAAGATGAAGTAATCACAATTTTTGTTTTCATAATAAATTGATGGAGTCTGTTTTCCAGAACATCAATGAAACATGTCTTGGTCTCTAAAGCCCCAGTCACATTTGCTACGGCGACCACCGTAGAAATGTTACTGACCGCAGAAATGCAGGTTTAACATTGTTTAATGCATTATAATCATGATGGACTGCAACTATAAACTTTACAGGTGATACAGAATTGACTTTACCATGCTCAGTAAATATTTGGTGTGTTTTAGTAAAGAAATATAAATTCTACGTGCAGCACTGATATGACCAAGTCAATACTGAATGACACTAATGAACATGCAGCTACATGGTTACATGTGACTCCAACAAAATGGTTCCGGATGCTAGGTCCAAAGTAAAACATATAGACTACGGCATATTAGATAATTTATCAATCTCGCTCTTTAGTGATCTGAAATTAGATGGCGCTGATCATGTGTTTGAATTTTCAGATTAATCACAAATAGTCAAAGTTAATATTTAACCTGACCCGCTTGATAATGACGGCATTCTGTCAGTCGACTTAAGTTTTAGTTCCATTCATAATTTAATAACATGGACTAGATTTTAAATGAGAAAACTTGGAATTTATGTATAAAAATGTAATCCACATTACTACTTTTTCAATGATTATGTAAGTGCGCATTTATTCAATTGCGGAATGGTTTCAAGGAATGATATTGCTTGAAGTAGTGATTTATAGATATATTCATGAGACACTTGGCGATTTTATGTCAACTTATTCAAACAATTCGTCATTGGTTTTTAAAGCTTGATCTTATCTACAAAGATTTCAAAGATTGTGTTTTATCTACGATGGGATTTCGCTTGCACTGATAGAGAAAAATAACATACGGGAAACTGGGAAAGGGATTCAACTTAAGAACAAGAACACATGCCACTATATACAAATGCAATGTTAGCGGAACGACAAGAGAACATTACAACGACAGGGAACACACAACAACGTTTCCAGGAGAATTTAACTCAAGTTGGCGAAAATCCCGAACTTCATTATAACCGTGGAGTTTTAACAGGTAGTACATGTGGCACAGGAGGAATGGGAATGTTCAATGATACCTCAGACACTAACCGAACAAACAGATTCGATAACTTTGACCAGAGACAAAGGGAGTCGAGTTGTGGTGGACCGTACAATCAAACTGCAGGTGTACCGGTCAGTTTTAAAGAACCCTCGACACACGGCATGGGGGTAAAATCAGGTGAGAGCTAAATACTCCGCCAGCGCTTTGTCAGATAAAATATATTTCCAAAATTATATATTAGTTAATCTCCTAGATTTTTAATTAAAATTTTACTGAGGTATTTGAAAGTTATAGCACAAACAAATCAACACGGATTTGTCCCTCGTGCTTTCGTTACGACGTTAAGATTAAAAACTAATTTGTTTACAATCCCAAAACAATAAATAATATCTATTCAATATGGTTTAAAATGCAATTAATGAGTGCGTGTAAATTATTGACTAAAGAAGAATTCACTTCGAACGAGTCCAATATCGTGCGTAGAATCTATTTACTAAAATACCTTTTTTACTTACAAAATCCTCTAGATCTCATTTGTTTATAGCGTTTTTGTTGGAATCCCATTTATTGAAACCTGTATTGCTAATGTTGTTATTTTGTTGTTTCAAAGTGTGTATTTTTTATTATATAATTCTCTCATAAGGTCGTGTTTAGAAGAATTAAAATGCAATATTATTGAAATAAAGGTTAATATAATTTGTTTAATATTTCACTGATCATAATAAATATGATATGACACGATTCTCTGATATACCCTGCATTATTAAATACGTATGTCAAAAACGTATATAAATCTACGTATCTATTGAAACGGATACAACGAGTAAGCCACAACTATCGGATGCAGATGTGTATTTTCAAAATATTGTAAATTCTTTACTCCTAACTTGACCCTCATGTTCTCTTTAATGATAATTTGACAAATTCTTTCAACTAACTATTTGCTTAGAGTCATCTTTCACCAAATAGACATCGCGCAAGCCTTTGATGTTAGTGCTTTTAAACAAACACATGTGATAATAATATTGTCGTATTAATTATGGACTCCTACGTTATTAGTACTCGAAAATAAAAACAGATGAATGATCCTTATCGACAAAATATAAGTAGAAATCCAACAAAACCATCTCGCCTAATTAAAACGATTCCATCCCATTTTCAGTGATCTTATGATTTCATGTGCCAAGTTAAAGTATTTTACTCTGTGAGAGCTACTAAATAAAACATGTTATCCTGAATTTAATCCAGTACTAACAATTGTAACCTTTGTCATGAGAAATTATGTTAAAACTATTGTTATACTAATCTATTGTTATGAAAAGTAATTTTAAAACCATTGTAGTATTACATGTATTATAAGACTGAAAAATCATGTTAACACAATTGTGTATTTTGAGTTAAAAACTATTGTTATGTGTAACATCAATTAATTCTATTATCGGCCATTTTGAAATTATAATTTTGTTCAATGATATTGACTTACTTGTAGAGGGTTTCAGAGTCAAGATTCGTACAAATACTGCCATTAAGCAGTGATGTATATTGATGAAATTTAAAATGAAGTTTTCAATCCGTTTTATCGGAAATACAGAGAAGCACTTCTAAATAGTAATTCATCTTAGTTAGGTATAGTATGAGCGACGACGTCACCTTAAAGTCAACGTGTATAAAAGACGATATAATGTAATAATTATTTATTTAAACCATTTTCAACATGGAAAGAATGCTCACACTAAGAATGCTAAGAGAGAATGTTCTTACTTCCAAATGAATGATTAAAATGGCACATCAGAATGTAGAATTAAATATGAGAATGATCAAAAGAACAATTAATAAAAAGTTCAGGAAACTGCACTTTCAAAAATTCAAAGAAAACTTTCAAATCCATGCATATTCCATTGATAGATTTGCTAACTATAACGATAGTAAAAATAAATACTTTTTATTTCATGAAAATGTGACCTGTAGGTATCGAAAACATGTATCATATTTTGAAGTTTGCTCTAGCAATTTTACTCTTTCAGTATTCATGAAAATGCATAAAACATATGACCTACTTTCTGTGATTGAATTTAATATCTCTTTAATGTTTTTAATCCCCTCTGCTCGGCCGTTAGTTAAAAAGGATTGTATTAGATTAGGCTATGATCAAGGCAGAAGTCTGTTTATGATTATGAGCCGATTATTCAACGAACAATGAAATCTGCATGTTAGATCAACTGAACACCCTCCTCTATATGTGAACACTTTTTCTCGAGCCAAATTTATTTTTTCTCATTGACTTACATGTTTATAAAACCTTTAAATGTGAACACCTACTAATTCGAACACTTTTTGCTGGTCCCACCATAGACTTTCGAATTATATAGGTTATGTTTAACTAATTTTGATTATGGGAAACACTACCACCTTCTTTCTATGAATTCAGAAACCAAAATCCTATATCATTTATTATGTCGCTGACTTGTTTGCTCATTTTTACAGAAACAAAGCTCACTTATTATATAAACCCTAGGTAGGGGTGGCGACATATTATAGGTTATTATAAGCCCTCGACTGCATTCGCCGGAAGGGGTCACATTGTACAATGTAGCTTGAGGGGGCCAGGATCCATTTCTTAAGGATGTTCCCTGGACGAAGTTGAAAACGATGAACACCAACCCCTAATTTTTCTTTTCAAAATGTGAAGTACATAGCATAACTAAGTGTTTCTGTGAGTTTAAGAAAAAGTTAAATATTCAAAAGTGTGTTTTGGGGTGAAAACCTGATTTTTAACATGGGTTTCAATGAGAAAGTGCCACGCCCACTTTTGTCAAATATTGACACTTTAGAGGCCTCTTGCTCAGAAAAAAGCACACTAACATATGGTTTTTAAAGTTTTAATATTCTTTGTTGCCCGTGAGAATCCCAGAAAACCATTTTTGAGAAAAAGTTAAATACTATTGAATATTTTCCTATCTGACCAGGGAACATCCTTAAGTACCATTAAATATAGAGAAGTGTGGTGGATGGATCTCACAAGTCAAACCCTAAAAGTTCAAAAGTAGTTGTTTTGTCACCATTCTTATCTGATGGTTAGTGATGAGAAAAGTGATAACAAAATCATTTTTACGAATATTCAATACTTATTATTTTCTTCTCAGAGTTGGTATTCTGCAACCAATGCAACTACTGCAAGCAATCAACCCCCTCCCTCCTCCCCCATGACCATTGGTCTGTTTTACCGAGGATATAGTTTACATTACGCTCTCAAATCGCACACAATAATGTGATAAAAGTCCAATGAAGCTGGTAGTAGATGGGTGCCACAAGCACTTCTTACAGTTGTAGATAGAGTTTGTATATTAGCAATGGAGGAAGAATCCTTTGATACGAGTGTCTCTTCAACTTTATGACCCCACACTACACTATGTGTATAATTTATCTACAGTGATTGCTGCATTTACACGAGAAATTTATTTAGTAAACTTTTCACTAGGATCTTTATAATCTTTATTGCATTTGATCGCTTTATTTAATCAACTTCTCTACTAAATATACTGTAAATCCCACTCAATGAATGTATACAAGGAGATGAGGTTATAGTAGATACACGTATGGGTTACCCCCATCACACACAACTGTTTGCGATGGTTGGGGTTTGTTTCTATTCCGCTATAGCTTTAGGGCTGTCCAATCATATTACAAGTTTAACCAGGACGTAATTATAACTCGCAGATTAGGATAAAAATAAATTATTCTTATTTTTTTAGCTTGAAGTGAAATGATGCTGCAATCTTCGAGTGGAACATATGTTAAATTGCATAGTTTAAGACAAATTCTAGTTTTCATACCACTTTCATACCACTGGCGCGGCCATATGACATATGCTGTGAATCACTTGGGTCAATTATATTGAGCTTTTTCAAAACCAGGCTTTCAAATTGTCAAATGTCTCAAAGAATGTTCCGATTTATAAGAATAAAAAATAAAAATATCTGATATTATGCCATGTATGAAAGGAACTATATCATACTCTGGAACTTACATGCTCGCGTATACTGTTTATAATCGACTCTTAGTGCAACAACATGTCGAATGCTGATAATGTTTAAAAGCACTTCTCCGGAGTAACTTTATTAAATTCTCATATCATAATTCTATCAGATATAATTAAATGTTATAAGGTATTCTGGCGAAAGCTACATTCATAATACCACATAAACTGCTACTCATCTAAATTATACAAACAGCGGCTTGAGCTTGAAATAATGTCATATCGTATTATATCATTTGTTTACATGATATGGCCTGATAATACATGATATGAAAGATAGAAAGGCGGCGGTTTGACTATGTCCGATACGCCAATACGCTGCAAAGGTGTTTGTTATGCACCGAAGGTCATATTATAATTTTGTTTCTGACTTTTAAATTCACCAGTTTCTAAGTCAGAAAAGAAGGTCTTGAAAATTGGAACATTGGCCACTTATATACGTTTTGTTTTTGTTAACAAAATATATTTTGGTCAACTAAATGCATCAAGCATATCTGCAGTCCATTCATCTTTGTATTTGTCTCTATTATGATCCATAAATCATCATCCAAGTCAAAGACTATCTCTAAAAGTGGACAAAAGATACAAGAACATGGCTTAGTGTATACTTTTCAGTTCACTACATGACATTTGATCAGATACAAGCTTTTGTTTTTGTTACATATGTTGTTATCAACTGGGTGAAAGCCGATTGTGTCAAAAAAACAAGTAAAAGATAAACGGTACCATGTTCGTGAAGTATCACCTATACGTGCCCATGCGCAGTATGTGGGTGTAAGCGTTCAGGTTACACCCCTACCCATGGAATCTGATGAGCATTATTTATTATATTGAAACTATGGCGTCAAAAACTGACCATCAGGAGATTGTGTGGGCTCCTCGAACAATGACTAACAATCTAATTCCATACTGTACAAAACTCGTATCTAAAAGACACAATCGCCTTTAATGTTAACATTTTAAATAAGATAACTTCAAACAAAAAGATACTTTTTGATTGACAAAGGGTCCACTTATTAACATATCAAGGTAACGAAAGCAAAATATTGTCATCGATGTTTCTCTCTTTTACATCCACTTAAACAGAGCATATCTTATCTTTTTATGAAAACTTTTTATTTCAATTAATTGTTATTGTGTGCCGTTTACAAATGTGGATCAGATTTGATGAATGATTGTGAAGAGAAACACTTTACAGTTACCGAAGTAAGTAAGTTTGTAAAAAAAAACTACATATTTAAACAATAATTTCAGAAAGTAACAGAAAGTTTGCAGTTCATTAACGATAGTATACATTGTTCATTATTTATGTGCGATCTTAAATTTAAGCTAATATTTTTAGGATATTTTTACGATTTTTAAAGTCATATACCACTGGAATCCATCACGAGTTGTAAAATCAAAATGTAGTAAAATATGCACCAAACAAGTGTTTATAATCTGTTTAAGGTTATTTAAAGGGATACGATCATTAAAAAAGACATTTTCTTTTATCAAAGACCGATCAAGATCTAGATCGATGATATTTGTAATCGACTCTACAGATGAAATACGCATTGAACCCCAAAAAGTGTTTTAGAAATTTGTATTAAGTAAATACACTAACAATGTTTTCCTTGCTGTGGATATATAATGATTGCATTTTTTCAGAGCCAGATTCCGACGACAGTCAAGAGTTCTCAGACGATAGCAATATGGGCGAGGGCTTCACTAACGGAAATGGGACAGGTGCCGGAAATGACGTCAATGGACAGATGCCGAAGAAAACTATTGCACAAATCATGCGTGACAAGAAAAAACAACAAGCACTTACACTTGCATGGTTAGTAAAACTATCTGTCTGAAGTCATTCAAGTTTCACCACCAGGTGACCAAATCGGGGTAGATACCATGACAGGGAACGTTCCCTTAAACTTGAATATTTATAAGTTTTAGTGGTTCAATTTTCATATTACCCTTATGTATCTGATTTAAAATTTGTCCAGTAAAAGAAAATATTATCTGTCCAATATATGGGGTCTATAGGGAATCAAAGTTCATAAATACTTTTCAAAACCACATTTCTAGATCTAATTTCACATGTTTAGTACCCTTTGCATTCGTTCGACATCACTTCTTAAAAGTGATCTTCGTCTTTATAACTAGTTTATAACTAGACTCTGCGCGCAGGGTACATGTTTAGCTCAATGATTAAAAAATATAACAATATGTGCCTAAAATATTTTAATAATCGTATGTATCTCAATGCTAACAATATATTTCTTACAATTTCTGCCTATAATATACAATTCATGCATGGCTCAATGATCACAATATATACTGTAACAAAATATGCCTATAATATTCGAATGTATTTCAATGCTTACATAACAATATTGCCTATAATACATAAAATTCAAGTATAGTTCAATGATAACAATAAGACGTACTTCACCCGACCACAAATACATAATTAGCATAACTGAAATTGTTGGGACAAATTGAAGATAACAAACACACGATTTTCATGATAATGACACATCAATCAAAAACGGTTAACAAAATTAACTTAGCCGAGCCTTGTAAAATTTTGGACATGACAGAATGCCATAAATTGATGTCCAATGGCCAGATTATTTAAAAACATTTCTAAAATTATCTTGTCAAATTTTGGATTTCTATAATTGTCAACGATATCTGTAAGGAAATGTTCATGCAATGGTTAATTTATTAGAAGTAAAATATCACATATTACCATTAATCTAAAGACTATATTGTATAAGCTTACATGAGGTCAAAATGAATACATTAGTACTGAAGAGTTACCAAGGAGTTGGTAAGTTTTTCCAACTTCCAGGTCTTCGTTGCGTAGTAATCACTAACATACTAATTAAGGTCGATGAGAACCATCTGAAAATGAAGAGATGGAGACATTAAATAATGTTAAAGTTAACAATACAAGCGAAATGAGTGTTGCAAAGTTACAGTTTCTTGGATATGTACAGATTGGATCCGGTTGAGACCGTCCGTTGGGCGAGGGATGCAAATTTCTTGGCGTTTTGCGTTCAAACAATAACCCTGATGTTTAATTTTCCTCATTTGTTTAAAGGAAATAAGGAAACGTTTTTTAAAAATATATACCTTTATTTTTGTATACCTTTAGCGTGACACAATCATTTCTAAAGTTGAGTGTAAGGAGTAGGAAGTTAAGCTGACTAGGGAAAACACCCGACGCAAATCTTTCCTCCATGCTAGAACAAATACATTTCTAAATTCTAAGACTTGTTTGCGAAATCACCTGTAACTAGTTTTTGTACCACATTAAATGTTGATTGAAAATTCAAATATTATTAAACCTATAAAAATGTCACTCAAATTGGTAAAATCTCGAAATAAATTCATAGAAATTAATATCGTAAAATATACAAATCGAGACTGGGAACAGGGCGGTGTGCGAGCACTAAAATACTCCTAAATATCCCGTGAAGTGCGCACAAAGCTTTTAGCAAAGAATATGGCGGCAGTTTATTGTTGTTTGAGTTCTCTAGAGATTGAGCGCCATCAAGCTATGTCAACTTTAACAATTATCACTGTAAACATCATCCAAATTGAACATGTGTATTTAATATTCAAATTTTCTTAAAATAAGCAATCTTTCTGTGCACATTGGAATGCTTGCAACTGTGAAAGTGTTTATATTATACATGTTTGTCAGATCATTTTATAAAATAAATAACTCCATTATATGCAACAAACAAATCTTACGAATTGTATAGACTTAAACAGTCAATCGATTGGTTGTAATACTGCGTATAAAAAGATATGATGGGAGAAAAGCAAATGCGAATATGTCATTAGAGGCCAGAAAGCAATTACTCATGATTTATATTACACTTCAATCGACTCCAGTCATCGCACATGGATCATTTTATTATAATATTGTCGTTTTCCCCAATGTAATTATCAATATTTAACTAATCACTATCGTTGAGATATCTGATAAGGATAATGGAAAGCAATGAAAGAGCAATCTGTTCACACAGGGAGCTATAATACGTCGAGTGGTTCGACTGGTGGATAAACTATAAGAGATCTAGAAAGATGTTAACCTGAGACATACAACTCAGCCAGTCCAGCATCTATTAAAGCGCGATATGAAAATACAACCCCATCATAAAGTGATGATCCGAAACCATAGAATGGGATCAGTTTGTAACTGAGTTATCCTTCATGGTATGGTATCTGGCAGTCATATTTCACAGTGGGGCAATTGTAACTTACGACCCCAAGATGTATAAGTCAAGAAATCAGGGCTACAACAAAAACCTTTTTAAGAATTATTTCCAGCCAACCCTACTGATCAAGCGAATGAGACCATATTGTAAAAACGTTTTCCATCCCAGTTGTGACATGATATTAACTTGTATTTTCCTTTCATGAAGTTAAAGTTAATTAAGTTCTGCCGAGGTATCTCACGTCTGAGACAATGGTCGAGGCTTCTGTGTGCTGAAACAGAGAGGACAATAATTCTATTACATTGTATTAAAGTCCCCACACATCATAATTGCATGAATACGGCGATCTTTGATCAAGATCGGTCAATTTGTTATGTATTATGTATTTTTCATTCAGGCTAGAAGAAAACTACTGTATATGCGAGGGTGTGTGTCTACCAAGATGTATTCTTTACTCCCACTATTTAGACTTCTGCAGAACGGAGAACCTAGAACCTGCCTGTGCAGCTACGTTTGGAAAGGTATATTTAGTGTATATATTTTTATAAATCATTTTGACTTTCAAACGCATATCATGAGGATTTTTTTGACTATGATTCACATTTTGGTTATCCATTTAAAACAAGATCTACTATTAAAACAAGAAGCGGTGGCGTTAAATAGGTAAGAGGTGATACAAGTAGGGCATATCACTGTTTCTTACCTTTATTTATACTTAATAGGAAACAGGGTTACTTAAATATCTATTCAGAACAATTTTCTTCAAATGATATTTTTCAATAATTGCAAAATTATTAGTGATTGTATCATCAACATAGTTGAACAACACGACGTTCTATTTAACAAGTTCTATTCTTTTTTAGACTATTCGTCAGAAATTTCCCCACCTTACCACACGACGACTTGGAACAAGGGGCCATTCAAAGTAAGGCAACAAACCCTTTAAATATGTGAACATTTTACAATATCTACAATAAATACAATAATATATACAATAATATATACAATAGCTTATTGCAGCTTGAAAATAGTAACTTTTTCATTTTAATGACCAGGACTAAACAATTCGTGTTTAATATTTCAGGTACCATTATTATGGCATTGGTATTCGAGAGAGCAGCCAATATTACCATTCAGTCTATTCCGGAAAGGGCCTCACCAGGTAAAACTCATTTTCTTGTCCAAAGTCACCATTGGAAAGCATAAGTGGGAAGATGCGTGAAGAGCTATAAGATAACAAAACATTAATGTTACAAACTGATAGAACGTGTAGAACAGATCGCCAACGCCACAAGGTTAACATCAAACCACAACACTCATTGATGTCTGAATATTATAAAATGTCAATATTATTGAAGATGTATTTACTACACTATCTAGTAATAAGTTCTTTTGTTTCAAAAGAAGAGCATCACCGTGTACATATGAAATACGATTCTCTATAGATTACCGAATTCGAATCAAGGTATAATATCTCTCATGCGACACATATTTCATCATGGCCAATTCCTTCTTCTCAGTCTTGACATTATTCTCGCAAAAGAAAAGTACTAATTGTCAAAAGCGGAAAGGCTTTAAAAATTTATTAGCAATAGAAATCTCCAACACATTGAGTTGTTTGTAGACCTCTTCATTCCCGTCCATAAGGAGCGAAATATCTCGCAAACTAGTGCAGTAGAAAAGCCTATATGCCACCAGTGCTATATATTTGCAATAACCAAATGATATATTGCTTTTTTCATAGATTTAATATATTAATACTCGTATTTGTGTTGATCTCAAGAAGTAGCATGATGTCTTTATAACCATCCTGTTAAGTCTGTTCTCCGTGCTTGTAATTGTAGAAGACATGCAACTAAAAGGAAATATGGCAAAGAAATGAGTCTCTGAGAATGTATTTCTATAAACTAAAATATCATGTGAAAGGTCACCAAAAATAAGGTTATTAGTGGTAATCAAAATCAGGTTTTGTTAGTAGAGAATAGGTACACACTGTTTCGTGGGTGATTGTCCTCTGAGTTGAATCTAGTTCACAGTGTATATAATATAATATTATGAAAGTTATTAATTAGATGAATTGAAATTTCCTGTCATTTATAATGACAAGACCTTTCTGTTACAATGAAAAAAGAATCAACCGGCATTTGTTTTATTTTCTCAACAGTGTCTGGATTAGAATTTGGATCTATTAAAAATTCTATTTTGGTAATATGGCGATAGTGTTACTATAAATATATAAGAAAGGATATAACTGGTTCAAACATAGAACACATCGATTCCCACAAACATATACTTATTTTACATTTGTCACGGTCATAATTGAATTAGAATAATACTTTGATATTTGGTTTATCTAGTTGGTGTTATCTGGCAAAAGCTCAGATGGGTCATAAGCTACAAGTGCGAAATAAAAAATAATTGAAATATGAAAGGGGCTCCTTAGTATGGGAGTAGATAAATGATGACTAATGGGCGTTCGAACTATGGTTAAAAGACTGAAGATTGTAAATTGAATAGCAGGCTCCAGGTTAATGCAGTTTTTATTCTTGATTTATGGAGTTCATCAGATCCATATCATGTTTAGATATGACAGTAAAATGTTCTTAAGTGTTTTATAAAACGCATTGTTACTTTAATAATCATTTGTTTGACATCCAAACAACAAACAATGTTAACACAGTCATAAAATATTGGTTATTAAATTAATTGAAACAGACAAAAATGTACATAAATTTAAATCAAAATCGAGAGTTTTAATTGTTGTTCATTACTTTGAAGTTTATACTTTTGATTTTAACAATTAAGTACATGTGTATGAGACATCAATTGCAACATTTAGTACTATTCCTATAGGTTCTCATGGGCTTTAGAATATATATAGTAAATCTACAAAGTGTAATGTTAAATATCAAACATGTTTCTATTCTTCATCTGTGGTATTATTTGTCAATACAATTAAGATTATCAACAAGTAAATGCAAATTGTTTCTTATAAGCCACACGTGCAATCGTATTACACTTTTTAATGTTATTTTTTTGCTTTTCATTTGCAGATTTTCAGAGGGCTGCAAAATGTCCAACGAGGTAAGCTTAAACAGATACATGTAAATACATAGTTGATGTATACATATTCTGGAGTTCAGCAAATAGTACGCACTTGTGAAATTATAATTGCAAATTTTATCAGAGAAGAGATACTATAAGGCTCCAATTGTAATTACAAACCTTATCATTTCACTGTTTATTCTGTGACATTCATGATATACCTATGTTGACTATTTTCGTAGAACAACCTGTCCTTTTAGATAAAACGCCAGACTTCTCCCCAGCTCTCACCAATATTGTAGATTGTGTCAAACACAATGTTAATACAAATTCTACAACTTTCTATTTTTCCAACCTGAAATTTGGATAAACTGGTATTGTCCGTGGATGAGTTTCATCAAATTAAATGAATTTTATGTATATTTGGTCACAAGAACTATGAGGTGTCCGGAAACTAATAATTTAGTCATCCTGACAGCACTTAGATTGAATACTTTCATTTATTATTAACTGCTCTTAGACTATTCAATTTAAGTTGCCATTATCATTTATTTGATTTCAACTTACATGGCGAATGCAAGTAATTAAGTTCCCCATACACATTTGTTCTACACTCTTTACAATCAAGATAAGCTCTCTTCGACCTTTACACGTACTCATTTTTACAATAATGGAAACATAAAGCAACTGTCTTGTTCCATTCCATTTTTGGTTTAAAATTGAAGATTAATAGTTCGTTTTTATTTTGTGTTACAATTTTCTTTTGAAAGACAAGCTGCTTCATTAAAATATGATTTGCGCAAAATTTCTCTAAGGCAGACTTGTTTCAGAACCCTCTTGTAATGCGTACAATGTGTACTTCAAAAGGAACGTTTTGGTCTTAATCATTCCGGAACGACTAGCCTTGGTTGTTTGTTATATACATATTCTAATTTTTTTTTGTTTTAATGTGTATGCTCAACTCAGATAATTACAATCGGGTGTCCTTGTGCTGTTGATTGGGAAGATGAGGAGGGCTGTCGACCTTTGGGTCCAATTCACCATATGTTTCTCATCTTGCCATGACGTTATCTATGTCCAATTTCAAGTCCTTTTTGACATAAAGTAGAAGTACATCTCCCAGATTCAATTCAATTCGCTATCAAAAAATATTTCTTTTTATATTTTAAATTTTAATTTAATTTTAAAATCCTAATTTCTGACCTAAGATCTATGACCACAAAAAATCTCATTCTCTGATTCAAACAATATAGGGAGTATCGAATTGTTCAAAATTGTACCAGTTTTTGAGAATCCATCACAGTTATCAGTGTATCGTATGCAAAGCATCAAGGTATATTTCAGATCATTTATTGTATTTCTAAGGTTTCATTAATTATTTTTCAGGGTGGTTTTACCAGGAAGTATCAACTTAGCTCCAAGACGGGTACTCTACTCCCAGAATTCCCCAATGTAAATCATCTCCTGTTACCGCTGGAACTCTCCAAAGATAAGGTATAATATATTAAGATGATTAAATTTGTTTTTGAACTTTATTCATAAAATATGATAAACGTGACACTTTTACTTACTCTGACTAAAACGATCTCCAGTAGAATGAGTATCATATTCTCTTTGACTTTAATTTTACATTGCCGATTTTAATTTGTCTCGACGATTTTTAGAAACTTGTTACGCCTTTGAATTTGATTCACTCATTCTGTAGGTGTGTAATGATTTCCTCCAGAAAGTTTATTCCTTGACGCCATTCTGTAATCTGGCGAAGCTCAAAAAGCTTATGAGACTCTTAAGAACGGATTTCCACAAACTGATTAACCTCCAACCTATCCGCTGAGTTTTTCCGAATTTTTTACGGCGTCACCTATTAACATACACAACACATTATTATAAGTAAGTGCGCTGATGAGTCCATCTGTAACATATAATTATAACAACCGTTGACAATGGCGGAGACGATCATTGTCAGCGTTTGTGGGAGCCACTGCTGAAAGTAGCGTCACTTTATATCGTTAGAATCAAGGGCGCAACACAAAATGACGCAAAAATTAAAAAAGTATTTTTGATCAATAATGCAATATTGTCATGGATGCCGCTCGTTTATTTCACATATTGAGTTATTTATGACTGAATTGCTCTGTTGGCATCGGTGTCTCTGATGTATCACCCTTCAAACTGTACTGTCATATATTTCCACCCTAAAACACGGGGTCAATTCTACTTGTCACGTTCTTGACGGAACCGTATTGTCATTGTTGCAATAAACAACTGTTGAATAGCTATAGATCACATGTGATTAGAGCCCCAGAGTGCCGACATATAACTAGATTTCTCCGCAGTATGATTCAGATTGGAGCACATATCCTCTTATTGTCTTTGTCTGATTTACAACCAGATCGTTTGGATAACAATAAAGACATAAAGATGCAATACAAGTGTTTTCTAAAACTTAAAATAAACATCAAATCAGAAATTGCAAGTACAAATAAAATAGAGCTTATTTAGAAGTATCCCATTTATCAAGGTAAAGGGTCCTTTTCTATTTTATGTTTTAAATTGTAAGTTATGTATGCTCTGAATGTCAACATAAATCAGCAAGTTTAGCTACTGAATTTAAGTAAATGACATAAAAACAAATAGACGTCCAAGCCACCAATTTGTATTAGAGTTTTTAGGAGCAATTTGCAGCCACAAAATGATATTCAAACAACACTTCTAAATGATGCATTAATATATATGTGACAGTATGTATCATATTGTACCATGCTGCTATATGTATAAATCATATGATATTATATAGGTCAGGATTTTATTTCCTGTTAATAAATCTATTTTCTCCAGATTTAGCGAAATTTATTTTTAAGACAAATAAAATTTTATTTCTGAAGACAACGCCGCCATTATATATGTGCATACCTTTCAGTTTTAATAAAACAACAAAAAAAACTTAATCTTGGTATAATTTCTAAACTCTTACATTATCTGATTATCGTAACGAAATGACTAAATGTATACATGGTAGTATCACCAAAATGACTGTTAAACAACCTCCATCGCCAATAACCAATGCTTTCCACGTTAGATCAACTGTCATATAAAAATCAAATTCTATTTTGGATTGGTTCTAGGTTGAAACGTTTCTGATGATGTATAGAACACACTGTCAGTGCATCTTGGACACAGCTATCAACCAAAATTTTGATGAGGTAAGAAGATGACTTATGACTATATCATACATAATATCATAATACCATACCCATTTCGTAGGTTCAGTAAGTTTATTACCTATTGACCACAAAACACATCGAGTATCTTTCAATTTTCTGACTACATTTTAAGATCCATAACACAATATTGAGCATATTAGCACTACGCTTGATTTGTTTTAATAATGCCACATATATAAATATGTATTTTTATTGCATCAGAATACATGCCCTTCCTCTTATTAGCATTTGGATGTCTTTTTAGATTCAGAATTTCCTGCTCCATTTCTGGCAAGGATTGCCAGATCATCTCTTGCCTCTAGTCGACAACAGTCTCGTCATAGACCTCATATGTATATGTGATAGCATTCTTTACAAAGTAAGTATACACCATTCTCGTCATAGACCTCATATGTATATGTGATAGCATTCTTAACAAAGCAAGTATACACCATTCTCGTCATAGACCTCATATGTATATGTGATAGCATTCTTTACAAAGTAAGAATACACCATTCTCGTCATAGACGTACCTCATATGTATATGTGATAGCATTCTTTACAAAATAAGGCTTCCTAGTCAACTCGTACCCAAGACAAGTCGTACCCAAGACAACTCGTACCCAAGACAACTCGTACCCAAGCTTATTTTCAGTATTATGGGTGCATATTAGGGAAAAAATTGAATTTGTAATGCTTTCATGTTATAATGTGAATATTTTTTTTGAATTTAGACGACATTTTTTCTCAATGGATCAGTAAAGCATTTTTTATTAAATAAAAAAAGTGCTTGAAGCGCTTGTTCTCAACATTCTTTTGTCAAACATATATATAACTAAATATAATTACAACATTAGATCTGACACTTGTTCCAAACACTCATAAACATACAATATTTTGAAAAATGATTATAAACATATGTCTCTTCACTCAAACATCCTGAATCTGTGTGACCAATATAAAATAATAGTCAAATTGAATATAAATTGACACTCAGCTCAAAATGTCACAAAATTAAATCAATTTCTTCCGAAAATTCTTCTTCAAACTTTAAACTATTCTGAACAGTATGTTACAATTATAATATGTATATCTATTCACATTCCAAGTCCAATGCTTGATTCAAAACAAAATATATACTTGGGTACGAGTAGTCTTGGGTACGACTTGTCTTGGGTACGAGTTGACCAGTTACCCAAAATAAGTATACACCATTCTCGTCATAGACCTCATTTATGAGCATATATATATACATTCCATGTATACTTTTTAGGTATATCATATATGATAATATATCAAGAAAGTGATTATATCTGATTTTAGGTACTCATTGATGTTCTAATTCCTGCCACAATGCAAGAAATGCCAGAAACGTAAGTATATGCTGTGTGTTAAAAGAACTCTAAAATTTATAAACCATTATGAAACGCAAGACCATTTTTGGTTAAAGCTAGACATAATCTGTGAAAGACTTTTCGTATTTATATTTGCAAAGTCAGTGGTAAAGTATGGAGCGGTAGGCTAGGGCGTAAACAGTTTCCGTAACTAATTCATACACTATTCTATTCGTGTTGTCATTTGCTAAGGCTTATAACTCATAACTTATATGCATTTGTCTTTTCGTGTTAGTTAATACAACAAAATCATTAGATCTCCTCCATTCTATTGCAGACTGCTCTGTGATACAAGAAACTTTGCCAAACATTGGGAGAACTGGGTCCTCTCCGCATTAGACAACATGCCAGAGATACTCCTGGAGACGAAATTGCCAGTGGCTCGCAGATTCTCACAGTCACTGAAGCGACAGACATCATTTCTTCACCTTGCACAGGTAAAAATAAAATAAAGAAAAGAAGTCACACAAAGCCCGCTTATTTTGGTTACTGCAGTGTCTAGATAATCGTCAAGTTCGTCAAAAAATTAAAAGTATTTTCCACACATTTAGAATATTATAAATATACATGTTCTGGTTTTCCTTGAGCTCTATCGTTTAATGCATGGATTTCGTTGACCAAAATGACCGAATTGATCCCTTCTTTACTCTAATGCTGTTATTGGGAATGAAAAATGTGAAATCTATTAATAATTTTCTTGTAGACTGCAAGGCCGGTGCTGTTTGATGCCACCCTAGTGAACCAAATGATATCTGACACGGAACGGGTCGATCTTGGGAGCATAGGTACACAAACGATGCTTGTCAGCCCCGATGGCGAATTTGATACAGAACTCAACTCGGAATGTAAGATATTTTGCCCCTAGTTTCATCAAATATTTGCCACTTTCTCCAATCCGCAGAATGTTTGTTAATGTGTTTGGCTAATTCAGTTTTACAGGATATGAAAGAGTTGCTACGCAAGCAGGCAACAGTTGAATCCTTCATCGAGTGGCTGGACACGGTGGTAGACCAAAAGGTGATCAAACCAAGCAAACAAAACGGAAGGTCATTCAAGAAGCGCGCACAGGAATTCCTCCTCAAGTGGTCGTTCTTTGGCGCCAGAGTCATGCACAATCTTACGTTGAATAATGCCCAGAGCTTTGGTAAGAATAGAGTTAGGTTTGGAATGGTCAAAATTGTGAACTTATTCTTTACTATGTAAAGCAAAACGAAGATATAGAGAAAGATATTAAATATCTTTGTCATAGAAGGAATGTGATGCATCGTTCAAATGCAGACCAATTAAAAGTAGTCATATTTTTCAAAAATCATGGAAACATATCTTCAAGGTCATTTAATGTAACATTTTTTCAACCAAATTAAAATTATTTAATTTTGGCTCAGCATTTACTCAGTGCTCCTGTATGAATTATGTATCTATCTTTTTACATTACAACCATTTCCTTCTGTTTAGGGTCTTTTCACCTGATACGGATGCTGCTAGACGAGTATGTGTTGTTAGCAGTAGAATCTCAGTTACACAAAGAAAAAGAAGGGGAACTCCAAAACATCCTTGATAAGCATATAAAAATGGGTATGTGCATGTAAAATGTGAGAACTCATTGAATATCCATATATCATATATGGAATGGGATTATTTCAGACAAACTTTTACTACTTACCCTCCGCCTCTTAATGTATGGTTGGTGTAGATGATCAAAAAATCTAAATGCAGTCATTTATTTCAGACGAAAGGGGTATAAGTCCTTGGGATAGTGGCCCTGCCAAATCTTGCTATACACCAAAGCCAAATGTGAAACGGGAACTTTACCTCGAGCATCCCTATGATAGAAACATTGGCTTTTCTACCGGGGACCATCTATTTAACTTGGCTAGAATGACACAGATGCAGGGGCAGGTACGTAGGGCTGATTTAGGGCAATCTCTCCTGTTGAATTGATTGCCATTTATTATTCACCAGTGTAATATTTTGTAATTATAATTTGTTATAGCACAATATCAAATATGGGTGTCGGGTTTATATCGAGTAAGATGTACATTGTGTGTTAATTTTCATTAATTTGTTGATATTTTCAGATTGCTGGTAACAGTATGTTGACGCCACCTATATCTCCCAACATGATAGGCCAGAGAGGAAGTGTTATCAGTCAGACAAACACCCTGTCACATCCATCCTCGCACTACCCATACTCCTACTTTACAGGTATGTTACAATAGATCTCTTAAAACGCATACACTACTACAGAAACTTGAAGAAATATATATTTTTAAAGTAATACTGTTGTGATATTTTATTCGTGCATTCTCAAAATGTGGGGGTTTTAAATTGATTTCTGACATATTTTATTTATTTTTAAAAAGTCACCGGTTCGAAATTGAAATAGCTCTCTTGATTGTAGATTTATTTATCATGTCTTTGAAGTCAAATTTCAATTGTTTCTTGGATGCAAAATTTAAAACATAATTCAAATTTGTAATGTTTGTCTAACTTTTCAGGCCAATCAGAATATACTCACCAACCAACATATCGGGGTTACGACCACCTCAGTGCATTCCGGACCCAGCCATATCACAACCCGTACTCTTTGGGGCACCGAGAGGACATCATGGCCCCCACAGCTTACACAGCTGAACCTTGCTACTCGGATTACAACCACAATCCGTGGGCGTTATCTAATGCGCCACATGTGCCTTATTCTAGTTCTATGGGGTTACCGCAAGGTGGCACAACTGTTGGGTCATCAAGTGCTTTTGATGTGGTTCAGGGATCATCTCAAAACGGAAACAATAGCTGCTTCAGGCAATGCTCGGGTAAAACATCGTACTCCATATTGACCATTCGTTTTTGTTTTTACATATGTGAATTCGTAGTGTAGCCTATATTTGTGAGTAGCCATCTTTTTAATAAATGATAATTGATGATCTGATATTGCAGAGTCCTATTTTCCTAATACAAGTAATAATGGAGGACTTAACTATAACCAAGCGACCTCTAAACCGCATGTGGAGCATGTTTCTGTTATACAATCAAGACCTGGAGCGAACTACAGCAACGAGACAAGAGACCCACTCAATCTTCTAGATAAGCAGCCAATCCGCCCTTCCTGTGTTGTACAAACCTGCCAGCCTGAACAAGGTAGCTTTTAGTTCACCGGTTTCTGATTAGAAATTCAGGGTGACCCCAAAAATCTATTGTGGAATAAATGGTTCTGGTAAAAGGAATTCAATTTTTCCTAAATGGACCATTTACCTTTCATAAGAGTCAGTACCCAGTGTGTGATTTAAGTAAGATGAACCATTCGTATTGGGTCTTAAACCCCAGTCACATTTGTCGCACGGCGGCCGCAAGTCGACCGCAGATCAATTAAATCGTTGAATTTCTGCGGCGAGCGTAGAAAAACTACGCTCGCCATGCGGCCTCCGTACGGCGTATGCAGATTTTTACAGGCTGCAGGGAAGGCGTAGGAATTATAACTCGGAGTTATAATTTTTGTTCATTTCTGAGGTCCCCGTAGAAATCAACTGACTCAACAAGATTGAATCATTATTTGTCAATGGTTCCCGATCACTTTTCATTTGATATTACATCCTAGCACTATGAATAACATTTATAAATTGTCCTGCTGTAAATAAAATGAAAAAAAACTATTATTTATCAATAGAAATTAAAAATTCACCGTGCGGCTGCCGTGGGAAATGTGACTGCAAAAGTATGAGAGCGCAGAAATTCTGCGGCGAGCGTAGAAAAGCTACTGGCCGCAGAAATGATAGACCGCAAGGTCGCCGTAGGAAATGTGACTGGGGTGTTAGGACAATTAACAGCCTTGGCCCAGCGGCCTCGCTATTATTACTCCTAAAACCCAATACACGTGATTCATTCCTAACATAGGCTTTTGATGATGTTACGCACAATTATTATCCAGAGAAAACTCATGTCATGTTCACAGTTCATTACTTCATTTTTGCCATTCCAGGTCCATCTACGTCTGCTCCACAAAGCTGTGAGGACTACCAAGATGGTTTCAACATGGCCGTTAATGGTGTCATTGAAACAAGCCACCCCATTGGCCCACCTTTATCAGCATACTCAGAAACGCCACAACTTCCACACATCGGCACCGCTTTTATGTGCTAACGGATCATCAAGGAATTTGTGTGTGAACTGTTCTTCATCAAAGTGTAGAAGCTAATCATTAAGCAGATTTGTGTGTTAACTACTTGTCCAAGAAATATTTTTATGTGCAAACGTAGCTATTCATCCATAGAGTTTATTTATTATTCGATATCATAAAGGAAAATTGAAATTCGGTAGCTTATTATCATCGGAGTTATGCATATGTTGAATGATAATTAATGTGGTAGCTAGTAATCAAGGAAATTGATGTGCATTTAGTGATCATTAAAGAAACCTTAAACTATGGTAGCTTATATTAATCGGAGTTATGCGTATGTTCAAGAGAATAAATGTGGTAGCTAATAATCTAGGGAATTGATATGCGTTTAGAGATCATCAAGAAATCTTAAACTATGGTAGCTTATATTAATCGGAGTTATGCGTATGTTCAAGAGAATAAATGTGGTAGCTGATAATCAAGGGAACTGATATGCGTTTAGTAAAGAAACTTCAATGTGGTAGCTCTATGAAATATATATGTTAGCTCAAGTAAAATTAAAAATTGGTAGCCAATGCTAACAACAGGGGTGTTTATGCATTTACCGACCATCAGAGAAAATTGAATCCATTGGATTGATTACATTTTGCGTTTAATCAGAATAGTAATTTTTTATGAAGGATTCAAATGCTAAGTAGTCGACTTTTTGTAACGGCGTTCGGTGTCAGCGTTTGTGACAATCGTTACACTTTTGTTATTGTAACCAGGTGGCGTATTTTATAATGTATCCGTGGAAGATAGATGGAACTGATAAAAGTTAAATTGGCATACAACATTTGCAGTCTGAGGAGTTTCATGGAGATGTTTCGTCGTACAATTATATAATATATAATTAAATTGTTTTATATTTTTTAATTTATATGTATATCTAATATACACAATATCATTAACAGTCACAGTATGATGTAGATATATGTACATTGGGCTAATCAACGCCCATGTTAGTTTATATTACACATATATATTTAAGTATCATGTAGTATGTGTTATACAGTGGATAAATATATTCGGCATCTATATATCTTAGAAATCCAATAAATGAATATTCATATTACAATTTTTGTTTGTTTTTATAAAGAAATAATCTGACAGTTTGTGTCTAATCATTTGTAGATCTTATTGGATATACAGTCAGGCCTGTTGCTTAAACTATATCGTCAGCTCAGAACACATTAAGTGTATCTGAAAAATTTAAAGTTTTGAGTTGAGCACAGGTTCTGAATGTGTAGGTCGCGAGGATTGCAATGCTAAGGTTCATTTTGGGGTATCTACCCCCTTACTGTATTTTTCAGTGCACTATTAGGTTATGTGCACATTCTGAAATAAATATCTGGAGTATTTATGTTTAACTTATTTTATCTCAAAATAAGGAAAATGTAGATACATCAACAGTAAACTGAGCTGACGATGTCTTATTTGAATGCTGCTAAGTGTAAATATCTGATAATATCAATTTAAACTTCTTCTACACATCCTTCTTCACATATCCTTTGAGTATTACGATACTCGAGAAAAGTTTGACAACTATTCCTCTTTGGGAAAGTGGAATTAAATGACAATGAAATACAATTTTACTGAGCAAAAAGGATGTAAAAATATTTTTATTTTTTTAATTGGGTTTTTAACACAATTCCTGAACCAAAGGTCAGCTATAAATAGTTCTTAAGATGGCAGGCTATGTCCCCCACCCGACGGATCGTGGGGAATTTTCAATTTCAGTGGATCACTTCTTTATCTATTATATACCTCATCTCATCTTCAATTTATTCTCTGACCTACACACATTTTCATGATGTCATGACAAACCGCACTCGTTAGATTCCCAAACTCAGAGATAAAAAACTCCATTTTACTTTTGACTTTATATTCATATTATTGAATTACGGGACATATAGTACCTAAGCTGCCGGAAGCCAGTGGAGGACAAGGACACCCGGATACAGTTTTGGAATGTCCCCTCCCTGAAGACATATCAAGTGTTCATTATTATTGAACACTTTTGGCCTAGTTAGGTCACCACCAAAACTGATGAAAATATTGTTATAGTCTCCAACGTTTTGTGGACAGTGTTCGGCTTCCGAAGGTTGGTGTTCGGCGTTCGGCGTCTGTAACAAATGGCAGGTATTGACACCATGCATTATTCTATTTTCTATGAAATAAAAAATGAAAATGGTATTCTATTAAAAATATTATAATTTATTGTACATGTAAATCTATCATGGAAAATGGTATTTTATTAAAAATATTATAATTTATTGTACATGTAAATCTATCGTAATAGCAAGGAGAGTAATGGTAAGAATCAGAAGAGCATATGTTAATCAATAAGATACGCACTACTGAAGGTTATTTAAACTGTACAATATATATACAGGGTGTTTCATAATGACCGTCCCCCATCAACCACCAATCCCAAATATCATACCAGCATATGTTATGTATCATATGAAAGCTTGTTTAATTCTGGACTTATTAAAACAACTTTGAATGAGCTCGACAGTCTTTACAACTTGCTATATACCTCTACAAAAGGTACCCATTTTACCTTAAGCATAGAATCTGATATCTACTTTTTCCAAAATTAGCCACGTGCCCTGCAAAAAGCTATGATAACCACGCCTCAATACACTATTATCTATAGTTATATACAACTTATAACATTTGATGGATGCTGAGGATATATCCCAATGATATTTTGAAGACAAAAGTATTGTATGTGTTTATGCTGCGTTTTGATTACTCGTGCCGTTGCCATATGCATACTTTAACTTGTCCTAGACTTTAACGGGACATTCTTCATCCAGTCGTCAGCGTTCCAAACTCATCTTCGACGTTTAAAAAATGTTACACAATAAATTCATCCTCAATGTTCAATCCATGTTATACAATAAACAAACTCGTCCTCAACGTACAATCCATATCATACAATAAATATTATTGTTCAATCCATGTTATACAATAAACAAGCTCATCATGTCCAATCAATGTAATACAATAAATAAACTGTCTTGGACGTCCAGGCTTCAGTTATTGTATAACAATAAGCAATCCAAATTCGTCTTGAACGTTAAGTTACAATAAATAAACTCATTCTAAACGTCCAGGGTTCACTGCATATAATACAATGCTACCAATGCAATGAGCAACAGTACTACGAATTGCATATAATGTTTCTACAAAAATAACCGACGCTAACTGTGCTTATCGGACACGTCTTTATGGGCTACGATAATTGATATTTTCAAAATCAGTTGTTCTACTAAAGCCTGCGTCGTGTGTATTGATACCAGCGACATTTGATGAGTGCTACTCTAAAGTCATCAAAACTGGTTATCATAATCATGCGATGTATACTGAAAATATTGCTTATTATTTCTCAAAAACAACCTATAAATGATGATTTTGTCAAAAAACAAAATTTTGATTTGTTTTAGGTGATACAAAACCGGATTACAGCAATACAGAGCATTGCTTGCGTTGATATTTTTCAAACTACATAAAAAACATGTTTCACATCAACTCTTAAAAGGGCGATACTAGATGTGTGTAAAGCCATGCAATGAAATACTTTTTCTATTCATATACCATTTGTCTAATATTTTGTATCCTCCAACACACTGTTTATATTAACATTGCTGATGCATCATTTGTTTAAGATTTCGCCAGAGAGTGCCCTTAAGTTACTTACAGACAATAAAACCATCAGTCAAGATATTGTTATTTTTGTGGTGGATTTAGGTTTTGCTGTCCAATTTTGTATCCTCCAAACATTAAGATTTCATCAATGCACATAAATGATTTCAAACAATTATTTTCAGAATTGAGACTAATTCAATTTCGTATTTAAATGATTGTAATTTATCGAATTTTTTAGTAAATTGAATATATTAAGCATGTGTTGGAGGAAACAAAACATATTGACATTATGAAACGTGTTACTTTTTAATGAGTACTACATATCAAGCAACCCCTTTTGAGAGATGGTCGGAAGCATCTTTTATTAACCAGTTATAAATTATCGAAGGACTTGATGCATATTTTGTTATGTTGTCCGAGTTTCCATAGCAAAATTAATATTTTTGATAAAAAATTACCATTAAAGCTGTTTTTAAGAAATAATAAGCAATATTTTCAATATATATTGCATGGCCATGGTAAACAATTGTGTTGACATCACGATAGCACACATATAATGCCGTTGATATCAATACACATGGCGCAGGATGTGGTAGAATAGCAGAATTCATGGATTTCAAAAGTATCAATTATCGTAAAAGACCACGTGCAGTATGGCAGTACTGTATATCTTTCACAATGAGTACTTTCTGGCCATAAATACAGTGGCTTTTATTAAAACAATATGTTTTTTAAGTGAAGTCCCAATGATAGTAAAATATCAATCCAACTCTCTGAAAAATTATGGATTAGGGCCCCACCTTGGCACTTTTTGAAAAATGTTAGGCTTATTTTCTAAAAAGAGGATCTTGTTTTTCTCAATTTAAACATATCGAAGGTCTCCTCTACACTATATTAACAATTTCTGAAAAGGGGATTGGTATTGAAAGGAGTTAAAGTTAAAAACCACATATCCCATGTTATTTTCCCATAGGGAAAACTCGTGCTATCCATTGTTTTCAGCATAATTTTGGTCATCGAAAATTGATATCTTAAAAACTAGACTTTCAATACCATTCTATTTTTGAAAATGTCTTAGACCCCTTGTTGAATAATGTTTTCATGCAATAAAAATCAGAAAAAGAAGATCCTCTTTTGAGTAAATAGGTTCAATATTTTGAAAAAAATGTTGACAAGGGTTCCCTATTCATAATTTTTCGAATTGTGTGATTTATATTTTTATCATCATGGGTACTTCATTTGAAAGAAAACACATTGTTTTAATAAAAACCACTGTATTTATGCCCAGAAAGTGGTGTAATGACCTTCGATAGCAAGTCACTATTACAGTCTCAGCTGTAGTAGTGGCCCTGACGGGCGTGCCCAAGGGTCGTCACAGTACAGTAAGATATGACCGTCTAAAATCAATTACCATACTGCACGTGCTCTTTTGCCCATATATATGGATATCCCTATGTTTCAAGGGATACCCTGTACAGTAAGTACAAATCATTACAATACATAGTATTAAATAGTATAAAGTATCTAATACTTGTATCTCTTTTGACACAAATTCTAACTTTGTTAAACTGTTAATTTCAGACTATAACTCAGATCTTTTACTTATTTGCAAAATATATTTACTATAAACTAATTGCTTTTTCACGTTCCTGGTTGGAAAAGTCAATATGCGATCGAGCAGATCAACATTCCATATCGTGAATGTTTGCAGCCACTGGAACAACAAAAAAGTATACATTGGTATCACATTTTTAGAAAAAGCATATCTCGTACATAGTATTGTATATTTCTTCATCAATTCATTACAGAGAGTTACAGATAAAAATAGGTTAAAATAACATTTAACCATCTGTGAACGGATACTGTATACCGGTTTATATGTACTTATTTGGAAAACTAAACATATAACTTAATCAAAGGGAAGCTAGCTCAAATGATTTCTGTGCCATATGCACACCACTTGCTTTCAAGATATCCGCTTTGAAAACAGCTTACTTTAGCATTATATAGGTATCAGAGAAAATGCCAAGAACATAATATATAGGGGTTATGCACTGGGAGGTGTTGGATACAGCGAATATCCCGAGGGATATACAATATATCTTCCCGAGGGACCTACCCTGCGTGCAGAAGCTCTCTTTTAAGAAGTGAAGTCAAACGAATGCAAAGGGTACGAGGGACCAAAGGGACCGAGGGAAGATGTATTGTACACTATCCCAAGGGATATTCCATGTATCCAAACCGACCGTGCATAACTGGTGTATCTCATACTTGAGTGGGTTTAGGGTAGATATAACCTTTTTCAAATGACAAGATATTTATATTTAACATTTTCGTAATATTCTTTTTGTTCAATACAATGAAATTGTAACATTTAAACTTAAAAAATTTAAATTTTAAAATTAAAAAATTAAAACTTTTGATATTTAAACTTTTTTAAACTTTTGAAAAATTCCCGGGAGCGAGATGGATATATCATATCTGCCCGCATTTGGCCTGGAGCGGGACATATACAATATATCCTGCCCGCTCCTCAGATATGATTATATATTCCCGAGTGATATCTACCCCAAACCCACTTAAGTATGAGATACATAGTACTATGCATTTAGAAATAGAATATCATGTAATATATGGAAGTTCATTTGTTATGACTTTTCAAGAGATTCGAGAAAAGACGCGTTTTATATAACTTGAACATTTAGTCTTTCTCTTGTATTTGCAAACGGCCATTTTAAAAAAAACAAGATGGCAACCCACCAAGACCCCAGTATGTTTATTTATATTTAAACTATATCAAAACTTCAAATATCTGAGATAATGAGTGAAATCAATAGGCACTTGCAATGGACTGTTTATAAATTACAAAAATAGAAAATATTTGGGTTGACACCTTTAAGAAAAAAGGGTCATGTAAACTTTTTTCGTAATACTCACTCAAAAACAATTAAAGTTGAAAGCTGTTCATCATTACAATCGCAGCGTTTTGCAATCCTGGTGGGTCATTTGGTTTAAGTTCGAGCCCACCATCCAAAGTTATCACTACATTGTCACTCTTCTCCTCTTCCTCACTAAGTGTCACTTCCCTTGCAGTTGGTTTAGCATCGTCGTCCGTGATTTTGAACATCTTATCGTCGTTGCTTTCGCTATTTGTTCTTGTACGTCCAGGTCTTTGCTCTTGGGTGTTCACGTCGTTTACCGAATCTAGAGTCAAAGATATCGGCGATGGAAAAATTGCAAGCAGCGATGACAATTTTCTAAACAATGTGTTCATTACTATTTCATATATAAGATCTAAAAACGAGCAATTATACCAAAAATGAATATGTGTCCACAACTAAACGTTTGCTTTCAGGAGAACTGTAATGTTCAAATCTCTACATGTAGTTTTGTTTTTGAGTTTTCTTTAAGATATTCACGCAAAGAACAATTTACAAATATGTGAGAACGTTGTATTAAATGACAATTTACCTGTTTTCCCTGGATCCTCTTCAGTGGCATCTTCTTGTTGTGGCCTAGAATTATAAATATAGGCTATGAACACGTCAAGTGTTTTTGTAAAGTCTAGTTTTGAATATATAAATTTTCAAATGACCAAAATTATTCTGAAAACAATGGATAGGGAGTTTTCCCTATGGGAAAATAACATAGGAGAATTTCAATACCCATCCCCTTTTTAGAAGTTGTTGTTAATATAGTGTAAAGGAAGAAGATAAGCCTAACATTTTGTCAAGGTGGGGTCCTATTCCATAATTTTGGATTGATATTTTAGTATCAAGGGGACTTCACTTGAAAGAAAACATATTGTTTTAATGGAAATTACATAAATATATGGCCAAAAAGTACTCATGGTGAAAGATATGACCGTCTAAAATCACTTGCCATACCTCACATGGCCCTTTATGCGATATGCATTTCTAGGACCACACTTTAAAACATAATGCAAAAGAGCTTTGAAAATTGATAGTTAAAAGGTCAAATGATCAGTCTGACTTTTGCGAAGTAGAGGTTACGTGTTGTATGTGGAGTGTACCAATCAAATTTGAATAGCTGAGAAGATGTTTTTTTAAATTGATGCGTTTTATGCAGAAGACGCGGCGATGGAAGTCGGTAATATAAATGGGTGTATATTTGTAAAATATTGGTGAGAAGAGGAAAGAACTAGCAAGATAACTAGACTTCTAATTAACTTTCCATAGCTTGGGACTGTGTATGAAAGAGTAATGTACCAACATAAGGCATTTTTGTTTTGCTTTTAATGGAACAAGTTTGAAGAAAAACGATGCAATACTGAATATGAGATTTGATAGCTGGTTTCAATACGCTACGAAAGTTGGACCCGCGTGGTGTATCTTCTTACGTTTGTTCTTTGATAGAAATAAAAACATAATTCAAATAGATTTTGGTTTAAAACATATATTTTTTTATAAAAAAATATATAACATAGGCTTATAAGATGTAACTGGCTTCACCATTGGCCCCTGTCGGTTCTGACGGTTGCTTGATTTGCAAGAATGACCATGTCGAACACCTAGGATTTTTTACGCTGTGTAGGAGATCTCCATAATTTCTATAGCATATATAAGGAAGCCATTCACCAAATGTTAGTGTTGTGTCTCTGCATTATATTAAAGGTTTCAAGATATTGCAGTAAATGCGTTTAGCACTTGCTTTCCATGTTCTCCACCTATTATTTAAAGATGTGTTCCGTTAATTGAGATTGCGTCGATGTTGACAATGTTTCTCTCTTTTTTGGCTGGTTCCTCATTGTAGACAGCACGAGAGGCAATGCTGTAATAGAAGATGGTGAATGTGCATCTATATGTTAGCAACTATGTTGAATGCTGAATTAAAAACGTATTCGTCATTAAGTTGGTAGATGTAGGCCCCTGATTTTCAGAATACTGAAGCGTCGTTTGTATTTTTACTATGCCTTACATGAAAGCTGGCAAACGAAGTGGTGAATAAGCATTGCTTTTAGTGTAACCAAATACGACAGGGCCATCACATAATATCTAAATGTTTCGACCTTTTCAGTATAATGAAAAGCAATGGCCATAACTGTTCCCATCTAGGACATTATGAGCTCTAGCTACTGTCAATGTCAATTTCGAATGCATGCAACATGCAATGAGATAACCATTACAATGACTAGTGAAAATTGTTATAGTGTTTATATTAGTTTCCGTTGCATTTCCAACATGGCGGAAAATGTGCAGTTCGTTTTTCAATTTGTAATATACATTGTCATAAATTCGTTGATTTTGAAATATTTTGCAACCAGTAGTAAAAATACATATATGAAACAAAACTTACAAAGGGTTCCAGGAATTTAAAGAATCATTACAATCTAACAGACCGGCCACACGTCAGAGAACAAAATTAAAAAGGTAGCTTTTCGCGATCTTGGAAAATTTCATAGTCATCGTAATGGTTAGTGCTACAGTGCATCGTGCAAGTTAAACAGAAACTATTGTTATATTATTAGTATCGTATTAATAAGTAATTCACACCTTAGTTTCTGAGTAATGCATCGGTCATATTTGCTGCGATTCATCGGCTGGCGCCCGTCAATAGAGTATTTTGTTCAAAATTGAATACATTTCTGAACAAAATACTCAATTGGCCGGGCGCCGTAGTGAAAATCGGAGCAAATTTGACCAAGGCATTAAGAACGTACCAGATATGCATGCAGATTCAAATTGCTGATAAATTGTTATTTCTTGTATCACAATAAAATAAAATAGTTTATACTCACCCTAATTTGTTTATAAGATCCTGTTTAAGACCAGCGTCGTCTTTTGATATTGAGTGTTCCTCCTTAAGGATATCACCTGTGTCAAGTTTCACATTTGGTTCAAGCTTGTGGTCTGCATCTTCATCCGGCTGCTTTGCTACACCATTGCCAGTTGTACCTTTCAAAGCAGAGGCAGGGTGTACCAACCATATTACATTTGTCAATGGAAAAATGAACGTTGAAAAAATAACCCAATGTCAGAAAACTTACCATTTCCTATATGTCCATCCTTTTCGTCGTCCTTCTTTTCTTCTCCACCTTCACCATTAGGCTGAGATGTGGTAATGGTTGAGCCGAGGATTGCAGTTATCTGGGCTAGACTGTTCAAATACATACCCTTCTTACGTTTCAATGAATCTGAAATTGAAGCACATTGAGTTAGTCCAAGAAACAATGTGGATTCGATAGTATCTGATTCTTGTAAGGATAAAGATGCATAATGCCATAGGTCTCCCCCAGACAATCAATGATGTCCTATTATTATTGCTCATATAATATCTCACATACCATGGATATACATGTATCTTGAGAAAAACCTTTGGGTATATTATTGCCGAAATATCGGAAATAATCAACAGAACAACCAAACTCATGAATTGAACACAATCGATTCCTCGGCTAGCGAGGGGAATCCCCATTGAGTCACACAAGCGCCCACAAGCGCCTAGAACCAGGCAGCCAATCAGGTTTATGATAAACAAATTCAACGACCAATCAGATAACAGGAGGACTTTCCCGATAAATTCAAACTTCAGACTGAATTAATTTCTTCGAAAATAATTAGATCGGCCAGCACCAGGGGCGGATCTGGGAACCAACAAGGAGGGGGGGGGCGCCCAAATTTCAGGTCAGAGAAAAAAATTTTGGGCCCCTAAAACGCAAAAGTGGGCCCAAATTTTGAAATTTTGAGGCCCATTTTCTTCAAAATTTGGCCTGAATTAAAAAAAATAAGGCCTTAAAAGGCCCAGTAATGACCAAAAAGGCCGACTTTTTGGGGACCTTTTTTGGCCCAAAATTTTTTTTGGGCCCAATGTTTTTTTCTGGGCCCACCCGAGGGGGGGGGGCCGGGCCCAGTGAGCACAATCGCAAAATTAACACTAAAAGAGGGGGATTTGGGACTTCTTCTTTGGTAAGTAGATGGGTATATATGTGGAGAAACTCAATATGCAAAAAAGTCCAGAGGGTTCTTATTGTGCTATCCTATGGCATAGAGGTTCTTTAAAGTATTATGTATTAAATTATTATGAGGATTTTCCTTTCAGGTTGGATTATTCCCTGATATTTGGCACATTTGTACATCCTTTAATTTCCTACCAACCTACGGAATGATTTCGGATGAAGCCCATTTCCAACTTGATGGACCGGTAAACTCAGTAAAACTATATATTTTGTGAAAACCAAGCACCTGATGAAGTTGCAGAGTAGGGTTTCTTTGAAGTTGTTAAAGGAAATGCAGTAACACCGAACGCTATATATTGTTATTCTCATGAAGTTATTGACAACTTAAGACGATATATGCACTTTTGCCTACATGGTGGTAATGGCCATCTGGAGCATGTTGTCCAACGTGCTGTAACATTATGACTATCAGTCTGACAGTTAGGGATGAAATATGGTAAGGTTGGATGATATACAAATGTGCCGAATACCAAGGAGTAATTCCCTCAAAAATATGCGGAAAATCCGGTTTTTAACCATCCTTTACTAATTTGGACACTCACCATTGGCATTTGTTTTACAAATCTCTATATCTTCATCTGTAGCACCGTGTAGTTTGGCTAAATCTCTGAGTAGCTTCACCTCTTTCTGAAATTAGTAGTGGGCATATTCAAAATAAGCTTTGATAAAATAGCTGTTACGACTTTGATGGAGTTTTTCATGACATATCTATGGATCATTTGAAGCGTTTGGTCCAATAGAACCTCAGGCAAGTACAACTTAAAAACAACACCAAATAAATGAACCGCATTTTACAATACCATTTATGAGAAAGATTAAACCAGAAGGTGGAACCTTTAAAGTCTCCGTTTGTTTCACAGCGTTCTCTGCTTTCTTCTGTGCCGCCTTTGTTTTTTCTTCCAATATTCGTATACGAATCTTATATCTCTCTTTGAAGGTCATTACGAAACCTAAACAACAAAGGAGAAGAAATATTTCAGATTGATTCATCTTAACTATATTCCAGTGATACTGATTAGGTATCAGACATTGGACAGAATAGGCGAGGTTGAACACCTGACATAATATTTAGGTAAGGTCATTTCATTTCTATTCTGAGGTTTACTTCTTTCAGAATGCGAGTAGGAAAATGGTCAGCCATTACATCAACAAAAAGACCGTCAAATACCGGATCAGATCATCAGTCATGTGTTTTACAAAAAATTATAACTTGTATTTATCCAGACGTGGAGTGTCAGCTGTTTCTATATCACGTCTGGTTCGCTCTGCTTGATCGTTAAGTTTTACATAATTCGCTATTCTAAAAATCAGCACGTACAAGTGACTAAAATTGAAAAAGCTAGTGGAAATAATGGGATAATAGGACACCATAGGGGTTTGGTTTTCTAGTTACATGACTTTACCAATGATCACCCGTGAAAGATCACATTATCCACTTGTAAAATCAAATACCATAGTTATCCCGTACAATCAAAATCATATAACTAAGATGCATTTCATATATCTCCAAACTTAAAACTTCAATACATTAATAGGTGTTCTTAATTAGGTGCTATATCCCATGGTCAGTGATTCTAGTTAGCTATATAAGGTGAAATAAAAATCTTGTATTATAGGTAAAACCACCACTTCTAATTTAAAAAAACAGGGTAACAAGATTTACTCTCTCCATAAAGTCAACCGGAGGTCCGCTTTTTGATCACGCATTAAAAATCTCTCAAAGTAATTTCCCGAATTATTGTACTCATGAATCAAAATTAAGATACAAACATTGTCAGTCTTTGTTAAGCGATCCAATAAAACGGCCGGATGTCAAACTTATGGAGGGGAGTGTACATTGAGTTGTTGAGAAAAGTGCAGCGCTTACAATTAACGATACGTATGACTCTCCAGGGCAGCAGTATAATGAGGATGAGGGCAGCCTCCACGGCACTCTGGGACCAGATGCCTTCTATGAGGTACAAGTCCACGATCCACGACAGTATAACAACAACAGAATCGAACACCTGGAAATTGTAAATAAATAACAACTCACTTTTTAAAATTATTCTAAAACGACCTGGAAGTAAAAATTAAATTAAGTTTTTAAATACGTTTTATAAGAGACATACTGTGTATATGTGTGTCCGTTTGTATTCAATGAAAAAATATTGTTACTAAGAAAAAGGTAATTGACTCGGAGACTGAAGCTCCTTTTGCGCAATAATTCTTTTTTACAAAGTACAACATACCTGTAATTTATTTTTGAAAAAGGCTTTTCCAAACGCTGATAGTCGAATAAGTTTCTGAAATTGAAAAAAGAAACATTTCGTAATTTTAATTGTAACGCTTTCAGCATTCATTCGGAAGACTGTTTACATTTATCTACACTTGATAATGTCGTGTCTGTTATAAAACTTCTCCAATGTCATCATATTCGTACCTCTGTTACCATTATGGTAAGAACAGTGAGACTCCCGATGTGACATATATGTGCTAGGGTGTGTGGCAGATCATGGGCGTGATGGCCGTGATGTTCCACGTGGGGGCAGTCATGTGCACTGTGACCTCCGTGTTCCCCGTGATCCCCGTGATCTCCATGATTTCCCGCATCACCAGCATGAGAGGTATCGTTATGATGATTGTCTGTGCCGTTCCCTTTATCATTTGTCGAAATATGTGTATCATTTACTACTGCACGTTTTTGAATACGTTGTTTTACTACACTAAACATTCTTCCCAGATGTGATTTAGTATTTTGCGAATTTTCTAAGGCGTTTGAGGTTTTACTTGATGGATATTGGGCACATAAGTCCTTCATCTGTGTCAGAGGAAGGTTCCTCATGGCCGTAAACAGAACTTTGGAGAGTGCTTTATTACTTTGTACTGCCTCTTGTAAGCCCCGCTTCCTTCTATGAGCGGATGCATCTGTTTCATTGCCATGGTCATCACCATGACTGAGGAAGGAGACCAAGTCTTCTACACTGCCAGTGTCATAGTGATCTCCTCCAAAACAAGCAAAGTCCGGGTAATAAGTGTCGTTTAGAGTAACGGATAGAGTCCTCGTGTATTCTATGTTCTTTTCGAAAAGTTCTGAAATAAAAGCACAATAAATTTAGCACAAGAGGAAGTTTACAACGGTCTGGTTTTAAAAGAACTGTGTACTTGCGCATATGTATGGCATGGCATTACCTCAGTACTTGTAAGTAATAATGAGACGTATTATACTTTTATACTTAAAAGTTAATGTTACAGAATCAAACGTCTATCTATACTTTATTGAGAAATCGTTGAAAATGAAATATCAATGAGCACCCACGTCTTACAATGATGAGATCGAGGATAAGTTGTCCCACAACGAATGTAGCATCCAGAATGGCCAGGCAGGAAACGATGATTAAAATGTAGGGAGCATGCATTATGTGCGATACCTTCTTTTGATACCTGAAACACAAATACAAAAAGCTAGTATACTCAAACGGACCGGCTAACCTACATATTTTTGTAAAAATGTACAAACTAGCAGACCTTTTATTCCCGCAAAAATCTTCCTTGAATAATGTTCCCTTTTCACTAAAATCTACAATAATTTTTCAAAATCATTTGTGCAAGGGGCAATCCAGAAGATTGATAAAAATGCCTGAGATTGCTGTCAATACAACACTTATGGGATTCTTTAAGGACTACTAAGATGTGTAAAAGTGTGGATACCAGGGGTGAATTAATGCAAAAGGGACATTTTGAGTACCTTCGTCGAACTCTACTATAGTATCTGGGATAGGATATTGAAATATATCTAGATTTCTTTCTTTATGAGATACCAAGTCAATGATATATAAATTGAAATTGTAAGCCTACCAAATGATGAGCCTACATAATACTATTTTTATTATTTTCACAAATAAATAAATAGATATTTTGATTGATATGATGGGACGTATAAATGTCAAACCTTCCTGTGGCCTTTTCATACGCGAAGGCTGTCAAATCGCTACATTTCGGAATCTTTCATCTCAGTTTTGCATGTTAAAAAAGAAAATGAAAGATGTATATCGATATTTATATATTTCATTTAACAGACTGTGACGTATGGCATGAACTCTTGATTGACGACAGACCATTTTCATGTCAGATGTGACAAGGATATGACCGGTAAAACTATTGCATTTCTGAGTCAAGTATTTTCATGTCCTGCCATTGTATACCTACATGTCATCAGTCTTTCTTGGAGATACCAAGTCAAAATGAAAGTTGCGTTGCCCTTTATAGGACTTTTACTTATTTTTATTTTGGACTTAACATTTCGGTTCAGTTGAAACAGAAATACATTTCCTATTCCATTGCAATAGATATGATGATTTGAGAAAAAATACTTTGATGAGGTAAAGTTTAAAGATTTGGACAATGAAGTTAGCAAAATTGAATTTCTTTTAAGGGAATATACCTGTAAAATTGTTAAAATTAAGATGGCTTTTGTGCGGAAAAGGCATTATTTGGTGTGAAACGATAGATGGTGTGAAAAGATAGATTTGGTGGGATATAAGCATGATAAGATGGATTTGATGGGATATAAGCATGATAAGATGGATTAGGTGTGATAATTTAAGTATGATAAGATGGATTTGGTGTGAAATAATCATGATTTGGTGTGACATGAGCATGTTAAGATGGGTTTGGTGTGACATAATCATGATAATGGGGATTTGGTGTGACATAAGCATGATAAGATGGGTATCGTGTGATGTAAGCATGCTAAGATTGATTTGGTGTGATGTAAGCATGATAAGATGGATTTGGTGTGATATACGCATGATAAGTTGGATTTGGGATATAAGCAATAAGCAGTAGATGGATTTGGTGTGATATAAAGATGATAAGATGGATTGGGTGATATAAGCATGATAATGAAACCCAGTAGTTAGAACAGGCGTGGCAGTAGTTCGATTTACCTAACCTTCTTGAGCCGAAACATTTTTAGGTAAATAACTCCAAAAGTACTTATCATTACTTGATGGCATTGAAATGTGAAAGAAACGGTACTTCAACCATTAGTTGATAAATGAACTGAAATGAATGTTGTGGGTCAACGACCATTTATGCAGCTTTATTTAGTGTACAATTCCCCTTAAAACAATTTGTTACTTTTGGGGTTGTTGAACCCTCAATCTAATGGTTTAAACTTTAAAGTTCGATGGTTATTTGCCGTGCTAGCATCTCTATTGTCAAGTTGTATACCCATGAATAGAATCCATCCATTATGTCAGAAATAAAAAGTCATGCTTTTAAGGTAATGTCAACCTTGACACGGCTTAAACTAGAGGTACGGATAAGCATAAAAAGTGTTTCAAAATTATGAAAACGTATTGAATAGTTAGTATAGTGTATCATGGCATTCAGCTGTTTTGAATACTGTTCTTGTTTCATTTCGGTGTTTTTGGGATACCTTATAAATAATTATTGCAAAGAAATGAATTCATGTGTTGATTAATAATCAAATGTCCATTTAATTCCGATACATAATACACGATACGCAATACTAGAATATTTTTTGTGTTCAAGAAACATTAATGTTATTAAATTTTACAATATACATAATATAGTTATGTAAAGTAAAGTAAATTAAAGGCGCAATGAGGTTCATCTGAAAGACTCAAGCACCGTATCCATGTCACGGCTGGCGAACAGTTTGTAATGCACAACAATAACTGACAAAACAGATTAATGTTATTTTTGTTGCATCAGTTAATTCATGCAATTCAAATCCTTTACGTTAAAATCACTGGTATTACTACATACATTTTCTTTTTCAAATGACATTGGCTTGATGTCAATTCATCTTAAGTTTGGCCACCTTGAAGGCAACGAGACAACTGAACTAAATGGTCTCTTATATAGAAAAGTACAAGTTTAGAAGTATGGAAAGGTCAGTTTTATATAAGTTCAAAACCTCAGTACATTGGGGCACTTACACGTGCCAGGCAATGTGATATGATTACGTTTTCATTTATTTTGTAATCATAAACTATATGATATATAACAATATATACGTATAATATATGATAATAGTATTATAAAATTTCCATCCTATAAAATACACTTAACCCGATAAACTCTCTCACCGTGTGGTCGGCGGGAGTCGTTAAGGTGAAGGTTAACTTACTACCATCAATATAACTGTCTTTCTGATGGATTTTCTATTAAAGGGCCACTTTCACTGGTGATCCACTCGATTACGCTGGTTACCAAAACGAACCGTTTTGGTAACAAAATGTCGGAACGTCGAAGGCACGATTTTTCTGTTTTCCTTATTTCACGCGTTGTAGGCAGAATCCCCACGACGTTTTTTCTCACAACGTGCATCAGTATCATATGTTTTAGAAAATGTACACGTTTGAGAAAAAATAGCTCAGAAGACAACAGAATCGTCGATTTACTTCCCCACTTAAGTTACAGAAACGGTTTTTCGAAAAACAGTTAAGATCTGCACTTTTAACCCAAACCGTTTATGTAACTTAAGTGAGGAAGTAAATCGACGATTCTGTTGTCTTCTGAGCTATTTGTTCGCAAATATGTACAATTTCTTAGACATATGATACTGATACACGTTTGCGTTAAAAAATGTCGTGGGAATTCTGCCTACAACATGTAGAATAAGGAAACAAGAAAAATCGTACCTTCGATGTTCCGACATTTTGTTACCAAAACGAACCGTTTTGGTAACCAGCGTAATCGAGTGGATCACCAGTGACTTTGCGTTTTTGGGCAAAATAAAGACTTACATTTGAATTTCATAATATGTCCAATGTATTGATAAGAATCTTATCTTTCATTTGACACCAACAACAGCTCAAACGGACCGCATCAAAGCTTACAATAAATTATCAAAAAATATTTTCCATCTGTCTTTATATTATCAAATTTTTATCAATGTCATTGAAAGATGGCAAAGTTGTTTGGATTACATGATACATTCATTTTTATAGAAGTGTCGCCATCTTTTAAATCAACAGTACAACATGCACTTTGTTCAACATGTGCATGCATGTCTAATGATATTTAACTTCAAATGCTTTTTTATTAGTGAGGTTATTTTTTTCTTGGTTCACTATTAAGCAAATCAAACTTTGTGTCATATTTGAGCGAGTGTGTGAGTAATGTTCCAATGATTATTTTTTATTTTTTCTTATAAATTAAGTATAATGGGCCTTTAATAAGTTTTTAGTTCCACTTACTATTTTTACCACCAGGCTCATTGTAGTAATGCATTATAGAAACACTTTAAACATGTTGGAATCGGAATTTCAGTCCTCTGAAAATGTGCCAGAAAAATACAGAGAGAGTAGCACCGCAGAGGTACATGGATATATTTTTTAATTTCTCTGAAACATCCCTTACATCTAGCCCAAAACCAAAGGATCATCAGAATTTTGGAATCTCTTTTACAAATTGAAAAAGATAGAAAAAACGAAAAACTAAGTGTGGTCATCATGAGCCAAATATACAGCATGAAAAAATATTACAACGTACTTGAACCAATGATCACCATGATATTTATCTTTATGAATTTCGCCCGGTCATCTTCTTTCAACAAATACAATATATACGTTGATATAAAAAGTGTCTCTTAAAAGTGTCTTAAAAAGTGACCTTACTATAGAAAATAGAAAATAAATATTTGAAAATGGACGATCAAATCTATAATTTCTATTTCCACGAGCAGGCGCAGGAACAAGACATGGTTTTTGGCCCCTTCCCGCTAATCAATTTCTAACTCTGCTCATGAATATGGTCTTCAGTTTTTAAGGGTTACTCAACCATTATGCAGATTGTATCTCTTAGATTTTCTTCATAGAATAATTACCAAAGTTTCTAAAATTTAAATTAACTCTATAGGGTTGAACCATAGTAATGTTACCTTTTCAGCCACCAAAACCGTCCTTTCTCTTCCTCTTCCATTCCTTCTGCCATTTGGGCAGCAAAGAATCCCATCCCAGCCATCTTCCACTACGTATGCGTGTATCCGTTTTTATGATATTCTACTTCTTTTGTTTCCTGTTTATGTAGTTTGGTCGTTTGTGTATTTTAGAGTTAACTACTTTGAACTGCGCTCTGTACTATTCAGTCCTCGGTTTAATTTATGTAGGTTAAGGTTGAGACATTCTACACTCGGAGTGAACCTATGTAGTCATGCGATGCGAAGAGCGTTCTATTTGACTACACATGATGTTCATACATACTTTGGATAATTAATCGAAAACAACTAGCCAACAAACACAGATTTGAAATATGCACGATGCGATCAGAAATGCCATGCAATATCAGAAATGCCAACACGATGTACATGATGAACAAATGTCAACCATTTTTTATATCGTGAACTATTTTTATAAACTTTTTCATGACAAAGGGCAGACAATACTTTGCATTTTTAAATAGTTTAATATTGATCGGGATCGTCGCCAAAAATCTCACAAAAAGTTCATCGAGCGTAGATTAATGAGGTTCGTGTTCTGGGTCCCACAGCATTAACTGTACGTGCCATGCCCTGGGATTTTTGCACTTGAAAAGTTCAATTTAAAATTAACTTTCAAAATAAGAGGCAAAAAGCTGTGTACTGTACATGTATATATTTGCTGGTCGGTTTACGTATAATATAAAAGTTTAACGTTGATATAAATTACACAACATTAACTTTTTGACGACTTATGTTTTCAACCCCGAGTAGTGAATGTTCTCAAATGCAGATGGTGTTGATCATGAGTTAGCCACCTGATCAGACGATTTGCCATGATACCCCATTGTCCCATTGGTTGAGGACAGAGCCAGTTTAGCTGTGCCATATGCCCTGGGGTTTTTGGATTTTGAAAAGTTTAATTTAAAATGAATACCATGTTTTGTTTAGAATTAAACCCGAATGAACCATATTTTTCTTTCAAGCCGGTTAAACCTGACGAAATATCAATTTAAGCCAAACTAAAGTATAAGATATGATTCTTTTCACTCGATGGATCTTGATATCAGAGATTTGTTTATTCTAGTAGGTTTTAAAATGATCAGAAATATGTTTCAGAATAAATCAAGATAAACAACTGATATAAAATTAGTAAGTCTTCCACGTCCCACAAACAAAATATTTGACAAGCGGGTAAATCATCCATCACTAAAAGTGTTCAGGGATAATGCAGCTTCGATTTCCAAGGTTATTATACACAACATAACTACACATCTATTGTGTTGGTGAAGAAGACAAATAAAAAGAGGGGGGAAGACAAGTCCACTGTCTTGACGCAAGATTAGATATATTGTTGAGCCTAAGAATAAGATAAGAGATGAAACTACTTTTGCAAAACATCATTTGTTTATTTTAATTTGTCTAGATAGCGTTATGTGCCGCGCTTCATCAGTGAATATTACTGGCAACATGTTCAATGACGACATCGTGAGATCCAATGTGGGACATTTATTATTCAGGTCTTGATCATCATAAAAACGTCAATCAATTACGATGTTAAAGATTATTAAACTATCAATATATTACCAAAATAACAAAAGAACTCCTGTTTCTTTTCATGCCTATGTGTGAACTCCAAACAATCATTTCAAATATAAAATTGTTGTTTCCCGTCAATTCTATTACTAGATTATTAAGAAATGATTCTATTCAAATTGTCATGATCTTTCGTACTGTCATTGAAACAACTTTGCAAGAAGTTGTATCCAATACTATTGATCGACGGTGAACCATTTTGATACGATCAGTTTGTCTCATTATAACAGGTATTCCTAAAGTGGAATAAGAGAAAATAAAAAGCTGTCCACCTTGAAATCTGCTCATTAGTCCAATAGGCCTTGTTATTCTTGACATGAGAGACGATTGAACACGCATTACATATACTCCTCATAGAAAGTTGAGTTAATTTTTCCTACATTTCATGAAATTCATCAATTTTGACATCAAATTTTGATCCATTGTAATGGAGATATAACATTGAATTTTGCAGAATCAAGATACAGAAATACTTTATCAGATTTTCTTTTGTTTCAAGCATAGAAAAAAGTCGTTCAAACAAATATGGGGGTTAACATGTAAACCTATGAAGAAAACCACTGGTCCTTAACTTTTTTGGGGAGTATATTAGAAGTTAAGTCACGTCAAAATGTGAGCATAGTGATAAAAACAATTTACATTTTGTTTTTTAATATGGTTATCCTCGGGATATAGTTTATTTGACTTTTATTTTGTACTTCAACGAGTTAGCTTAAAGAGGAAAATGTATGATTAAAGTTATCGTTACAAGTTTTTAGCTTTTTGACTTGACATCACTTTATTATGTCATTTGACATATATGCTAAATATTTATAACCTTCTAAAGTAGTGGCACAATATTTACATGCGTCTAGAAAATAATAACGTACATGTGAAATAGCAGCATAATAAAATACATTAACTAACCGACTAGAAACAGGGGCATAGCCACCAAACTGTCAAGGGAGGGGGGGGGGGGGCGGTTTCATTCAATGGCTGTTTCATGATTTCAAAACGCTTCGAATGATGTTTTGTTTCAGGGGCGTAGCCAGCTTTCAGTGAGGGGGGGAGGTGCGATCCCTAAAAAAATCCGATTTTCAGTCAGGGAGGTGGAATCGTGGCATGAGAAATCCTAAAAATTGAAGATTTGTTATGAGTTTTACAAAAATTGATGCAACTTCCTTCAAAATTGAGCTAAAAGCTTCAAATAAAAAGCATTTTAAAGCTCTTTTCTTCTGTCTATTAGTCTATTTTATTGGTTATTGGAAGGGGGAGGGGGTCCTGGCTACATCACAACGACGTTTGGTATTTTTGAAACTAGCCGGTGAAAGTTCGGACAAACGAAGGTGGAAAGTAAGAGACGTCTGTCATATTTAAGCTCTGGGGGTTTCCCTCCTCTTGTTTGTCACGAAGACTAATGAGCGGGCTAGCCTGGGGGCTAGCTAGGGAGTTCCATTCACACACGACTCCCTCTGGTACTTAGGACATTCCGTATGCAATGAGTAACTTCTAAACGTATCAATCTAGTCGTTTGGAGATATTCCCTTCCAAGAGTATGTTGTTTTCATTCGTGGGTGTAAAGGACAAAGGTACCCCAGGCCAAAGTGGCACAGTGGAAGAGAAAGTGCCAGTTGTGGTCTAAGAATATGCCCAATCGGTTAAGATCTGATGCTTAAAGCAAACGAGGTTTATTGCACGAATACAGCAAAGTCTGTGGGGACTTATTGAACTTATTGATGGTCCAAATTTTTTAAAAGTAGTTTTAGTTGAAGTTTTGGTCATATTTCTACAAAAATGGGGTTTTATTGCTCCACTTAAGTTCAAAACAACTCGAGGGACTGATGGGAGTTGCATAACTTTCTTTCTTCATTCGAGTTTTTTTTGGATCAATCCCAATGCCCCAGGGGCACTTATGTGATGGTTCCATTCAAGAGTTGATTAAATAAATCACGAAATAAGAAAGCTGTGCTCATTTTCAAGATTAAACGTGGTGCTTGCGCATCAGGCATAGAACCTTCTAACCAACTACGCAGATGATGTACCAACAGAACGCTTCTTCATATCCATGCACAAAATTATATTTTATACGACAAATATGGCCATAACTTGTGACCCAAACAATTTATTGACAGAGACATCTATATATACAATTAACCAACAATTAATATTTGTTTGGATTTGTTTCTGTTGTTCTAGATATGGATTTTATGTGGAAATTCCCTTTTTACTTTGCACGGCCACGTAGCACTTTTGGAATACGTTTATATTTCCGCTGTATGTTCTATTAGCTGACACATTTCATTAAATGATTCCCCAGCGTCCGATTTGACTGTGGTTCCTCCTTCACCTTTTTGCGGTAACACAAACCTGTACGCATTGGCCGATGTACCTGAGTAATGAAAACATTTATAATTGAGATTAGAGCGACTAAGTATCGTAATATGCATGTAACAAACTAAAATGAATATTCTTTCAACGCCATCTTCACAGCTGCCATAATGAGGCAGATATTTACTGTTACCCTTTCCCTTATCTGCATGCAACAAACATAATGAGCAACATACCACCATCTTCAAGCTTCACTTCTTCATCTATTTTATCCTCCAAAACCTCTGTATTTAGTGGAGAAGCCACTGTTGAGCCCAGGAGAGAGGTGATCTCAGACAGACTCTTTAGGTACATACCCTTTTTTCGCCTCAAGGAATCTGAAATTCAAACAAAACTGAACACAGTCTGCCTGCCGAGTGCCATCTCCGGGTTTGAAGAACAAACCGGGTACCGGGTATTAAATCATCCATGCTGGGTTCAAACTTGGTACCCGCGGCCGGTACTTAAATTGTGATTAATAATCAAAATCTTACACGTTGCATCATGTAAATTAACACACGTCACCTCTCTGCTAAAGTAACGATAGCTATTTACAGATTTAAATCATAATCAAAACAAACAAAGCAAAGGTTCGATTAGAAGGTTGAATGATTGTAACATTAAAATACAGCAACTCACCATTTGCAGATTCGTTGCATTTCGTGATATCCTCCTGAGAAGCACCGCGTATCTTTGCCAAATCTTGAAGAAGTTTAATCTCTTTCTAGAAATAAGATAAGGTAAGCAATACTAGCAAACAAACTGTATAAATGATATTAGAGTGCCATGGTTGGGGGTATTCCCAAATTATGATTATAATCGAATGATTGTTCTATACCTGGATTGTGAGCATTTTAGAAACGGACTCCCCAGCGTTCTTCTCAGCGACGTCGGTCTTCTCCTCAAGTAGTCGAATGCGAATCTTGTATCTCTGTTTAAATGTCATTACAAAACCTGGAATTCAAGTGCGCGGTGCTATAACATGTAATTATTCTCAGTGCTATGTTCTCGAAAAATGAAGGATCAATCCAATCAGTAAGACTTACAACAAAACAAAAATGACGGGCTTACCAAAAAGGGAACTGGTCCATAGCCAAGGGGAAGGGGGGGGGGGGGGGGTTCAGGGGGTTTGAACCCCCTTGGCCAATAACTCCCAAAATCATGTGGTTTGTCAACATATTGAGAGCTAATAAATTGATTTCGGGCCAAGATTGTCAAAGTTGACCCCCTAGACATTTTAAAGAACTAACCCTTAGCAAAAACTGGCTAAGCGTTTATATAGTCTTATAAGCAAGGTCTAGCACCAAGGTCTAGCATCAAGTTCTAAAATTATTAGAAATATTGTAGCACGTTTTACTTACAGTTGACGATACGAATGACTCTCCAAGGCAAAATAACGATTAGGGTCAGGGCACTGTCAACCATGCTCCGCGCCCAGATGCCATCAAGAAGAACAGAGTCTAATACCCAGATCAGCAGTAAAACCACAGTGTCGAATACCTAGAAAATATTCATGGTTGTAAATGAGAGTTGAAAAACTATGGAAAGCCAATTAAGTACATCCTTGGCCCAAGAGGAATTCATGCATTGCATTACATGAGCTGAGCGAAGCAGTGAAGGACCAATCTTGAAGGATGACTAGGTACACAGATATCGCGTTTTGTTTGGCTTGAAACACTGTCTCACATTATTAACCACAATCTTCATTTTATGTGTAGAAGGTTTTGACGTGGTGATCAGTCAAAATGGTAAAAATTAATTAACCTTTATCTGTTGGTCATACCTGGAGTTTATTTTTGAAGAATGTTTTGCCAAAAGCAAACAATCTAACCATTTTCTGAAAATAAAGGATCGTATATTTACTGAACTCTCATTATGCGAGTAATGATGATGACATTAGTTTAAAGTACTAGTATGAGATAAAAATACAATGATATCGAACTATTACATTCTTTAACGAAGTAACAACTACTTTTTATTTCAATTTGTTCCGTTTATGACTGTTGGTGACGTAGAAAGAGATCGTTAAGTGGTTCCATGCATGTTTAACTATACCTCTACAACCATTATGGTGAGGGGAACAAGGCTTCCAAAACCGAATATATTCGAAACAGTTTGCAATAAAACATAGTGGTTTTCTTTCTTGTGTGTTGTCACATTGGGGCACAATTCATTACCATGCCCTGTCTCATGATTACTGCGTTGCTTATCAGTGTTATTATATTCAAAAGAAGGGTGTTCTACATCATTGTCATTGTCCGCAGCACGTCTGGCAGATCTTCTTATCTTGTTTATTGGGACGTCTGTTGGTGTTTCTGAATCATTTTGAGCTGGTATTGCTATTCCAGCACAGAATTGTTGAAGATGTAGCTCAAAGGGGAGATTCCGATTAGCCGCAAATATTGGCGACAAAAGTCTGTTATCCTGTACTTCAGTTCCATCATCTCGTCGCTTTCTGTGATGCCCATTTCCGTGGTTTCCATCGCTATGGTCATCATAATTGAGAAATGAGACCAAGTCTTCTACACTGCCAGTGTCATAGTGATCTCCTCCAAAACAAGCAAAATCGGGGTAGTAAGTGTCGTTTAGAGTGAATGAAATCGTTTTAGTATGGTCAACATTCGTTCGAAACATTTCTGAAAAGTAAAAGTACATTTCATGATATGATAACTGAATGCCAGACAAGTGAATATCATTATATATAATGCTAAGACTATTTGTTTCTCTCTCATTCTAGAGTATTGTACTTACCTTTGACCAATCAAGACTATGGTACTTACCTTTAACCATTCAAGACTTTGGTACTTACCTTTGGCTTTGACCATTCAAGACCATGGTATTTACCTTTGACCAATCAAGACTATGGTACTTACCTTTGACCATTCAAGATTATGGTACTTACCTTTGACCATTCAAGACTATGGTACTTACCTTTGACCATTCAAGACTATGGTACTTACCTTTGACCATTCAAGACTATGGTACTTACCTTTGACCATTCAAGACTATGGTACTTACCTTTGACCATTCAAGACTATGGTACTTACCTTTGACCATTCAAGACTATGGTACTTACCTTTGACCATTCAGGACTATTGTACTTACTTTTGACCATTCAAGACTATGGTACTTACCTTTTGACCATTCAAGACTATGGTACTTACCTTTTGACCATTCAAGACTATGGTACTTACCTCTGACTATTCTAGACTATGGAAGTTACATCTGACTATTCTCGAGTATAGTACTTACCTTTGACCATTCAAGACTATGGTAATTACCTCTGACTATTCTAGACTATGGAAGTTACATCTGACTATTCTCGAGTATAGTACTTACCTTTGACCATTCAAGACTATGTCATTAATTACCTCTGACTAAATTCGTTTATATTACAATTACCTCTATCTATTCTATTATATGTTACTTACCTCTAACTATGATGAGATCAATGATTAGTTGACATACAAGGAATGTAGCATCTGCAATTGCAAGACAGGTGACCGCAATGTGAAGATTAGGATTATTGAGAATTGTCGAAAGTCTCCTCTGCCATCTGAAAATTTGACAAAAAGCTCAAACACAATGCAATGTCTGAATGTTAGCTTTCATCATGGGCTTTCAAGAGAAGCCCGTGCTTTCATCAATAACATCAGGAATTAGCAAAATATATAAAGAGGTGATACCAGTACTAAATAGAATGCAAGTAGTTCAGCATATTTTTCATTTTCTTAATTTCCACTTACCCTTTGAGCCATTGACACTTTCCATCTTCCACAATTCCTTCGGCCATCCTAGACGCAAAGATATCCATTCCAGCCATGGTTATCTAACTTGTCCTTAACTTTATCACACCAGAAAAGTTCGGTAGTTACTCAAATTGAAATCGTTCTTGATGTAGCTTTTACAATTCTACTGTTCGTAATACTACTATTTTATGTACTCCTATATCATTTACAATACGCCCCTGTGTTTTTAATATAAGTGTTTTAAGTCTATCTAACATCAGCTTTTAGATTCACTATGTTTATCAAATAGTTTTTTCACAAGATCAGTGAATAAGGATTAGTTCACTTTTGAATTGTAACGTATCACTTTCACATTAATAGTTTCTAGGTCTAACTCTAGAGTGGTTTATATCCCGTCGTATTTTCGAATAAAAAAGTAAATAGACATAATATTGTAGTGGTCATGTGAATAATAACATAAACATGTTCTTTTTTTAAAGGCACTTCAGTTAATGTTTTTAATACAAAAATAATATATTCAATGAATGATGCAGAGTATATAGCTAAAACATAATATACAAATGTACGTTCGTATATGCGTGCTCGGATATTTTAAATAACTATCACCCCATGTAACGAAATAGGACGAAATAATATGAAAAGAATAATGATACCCTCAACGGCAGTGTGCATTCATTAGCTAGCTTATATAAATACAGGATTTTTGCTAAACGTGCCATTTCAATCATTATCGCTGTATGCAATGAATAATATAATTTAAGGTCCCCTCACATATGAACGAATCCTCTAAGCGCAAAAGAGTAAAATTCGTTCCGATTAGTACGTGCACGTTGTACATCGTTTGGGTGTTCGTATATGTAAGTACCCCTTCGGAAAGCTTCGGAAGCATGCGTAAAGATGCGCTTCAGTTCACATGTTTACGTTCCCAGAATTGACTTCGCAAGACTGCGTTTGGTGGATTCGTTCATATGTGAGGGGGCCTTTAGTATTGTGATGAGTGGACAATTTCTATATAGTGCAATTCTCTCAACCATACAATAAGAAATCAATTTTACTTTCCAATTTGTCTATTGTCACTGTCCAAGTATTATCTTCTAATTCAATATTCATTAACACTGCAAACGATTGTGCTAATCTGTGGTATTCATCAAAATATACCAGCTGATCAAGAAAAGTTTTTTTTAAAGAGGTAACAGCAGGAAAAGTATAACTACACGATAAAATAATAATAGACTTACATGTACATGTATATAAGGCCACCCAAAGTGATTGATCATTTCGACGACTAGACGCCAAATAAACGCCAGACAAATTATATAGAAGAAATAAGTTAAACCTTAGGTTATATAAATTCCCAAAAAGTACATACAGTTCGGGACATAAATAAATGACAGGTGGATTTGCTGAAGTGAGAATTTCCCATGTTAAAAATAAGAGAATTTTCAAGAGGCCATACATCAGTGGATGAGATTATACAAAATGTGAAATAAACAAATTTTAAGGGATATGTATCTAGACAATATTGGAAATTATGGGCTTTCAGACGACCATAATTAGGAAATGGTGATCGAAAATCGACCTGTCATTTATTTTTGTCCCCAACTGTATAATTATTATTATGTTATCAACATACCATGATGGTTCATATTTTCAAAAAACATGATTCACAATGGGAATTCCCGCATGTTTACCTTAATCCCCCTATATATTGGATAGTTTTAAAATTGTTCATAAATGTTTTGACAAATGTCTCTGAAAGCAAATGAAAGGTTGCAAAAATGTCACCGACTTGGTCGTATGGAGTCAATTACAGTGATAGCAAATAATTAGTTCATTCTAAATTCTGCGAGCAATATAGTGAAATATTGGACCTTGGGCCTTCGGTCCAATATTTCACTATATTGCCCTAATAAATGACGTTATTGTACTATTAAAGAGATCTCTTCAACGCATCATAATAATAACTTTGATTTATAATTATTCAAATATCTCATGATCAAAATTGACGTGAAATGGTTTATTGATTATAATTCACATTATTACAATTTTTAGTGGTTCTATCTTTTAGGCCACTCTGAATTATTCAGATTTAACCCTAATGTCTGCAAACTTCTTTTTATAACACTAAGTCGCAATGGGGGGTGGGGGGCGGTATTTGGACCCTTCCCACTTGTCTGATTTTATTATTGTTTGTATTGTTGTAAATCGTATTCAATTATCTTTTCAGAACGTTTTTATCCCATCGAACGTACGTACGTCCGTCCGTACGTACGTCCGTCCGTCCGTCCGGGCGATAACTCAAATACCGTTGGCCCGATTTTGTTCATATTTTGTACACATATACCCTATGGGGGTAGAAGTTCTGCTCGAAAGCCGATTTTCAAAATGGCCGCTCAATTCAAAATGGCGGCCATTTTAGTGCCGATTTTACAGTAATTTAGGTGCAATATGTAAAACTGTAATAGCAATATGTTTTAAATGTAAAAAAATTATCAAGGACATTAATAAAGCTATAAATGTAGACATTAAAGAAGCACATGGCAGCCATCTTGAAAAATGGCGGCCTTTATTCGTTATTTTACGATTTTTGCTATAACTCGAAAAGTAGTGGAGCGATTTTGTTCATATTTGGTATGTGAATACTATAAGCATTGCACACTGCCTAAAGACACTTTTGGTAGAAGGCGGCCATTTTTCAAAATGGCCGCCATTTTAACGTATATTACTATAACTCGAAAAGTAGTGGAGCGATTTTGTTCATATTTGGTATGTGAATACTATAAGCATGGCACACCGTCCTATGACACTTTTGGTAGAATGCGGCCATTTTGAAAAAAAATTTGAAAAATGGCCGCCATTTTAACGTATTTTACTATAACTCGAAAAGTAGTGAAGCGATTTTGTTCATATTTGGTATGTTTCATATTTCATATGTGAATACTATAAGCATGGCACACTGTCTAATGACACTTTGGGTAGTAGGTGGCCATTTTGAAAAATGGTCACCATTTTTATGTTTTTTACTATAACTTGAAAAGTAGTGAAGCGATTTGGTCATATTTGATATGTGAATACTCATGAGCCTTGCACACTGTCTCATGACACTTCAGATAGTAGGCAGCCATTTTATAAAAATGGCTGTCATTTTTACATTTTTTACTATAACTCGAAAAGTAGTGGAGCAATTTTGTTCATATTTGATATGTGAATACTTTAAGCATGGCACATTGTCTAATAAAACTTTGGGGAGTAGTCAGTCATTTTGAAAAATGGCCACCATTTTTATGTGTGTTATTTTACAAGTACATGTATGCGATTTTTCAAAGATTTTATAGGTGGCTACTTAAAAGCATATTATTTCTTCTGATGACAACTTGGCTAGTGAGCAACCATTTTGAAAATGGTGGCCTTTCTGGTGTGTTGTTTTATGATGTTTGCTATATATTTCGTTTGTAAAAATGCCAGCCATTTCTGTTCGATGGGATTCGCTACGCTTTGGCGTTGCCATTGTTCTGGTTTTAAAAAGTAGGTCAACACAGGTCAACGTAGGTGGTGAACATTTTTGATATTTTGTGATAAATTGTCAAATTTCTTAAACATTTTTTGTGCAAAAATGCTTTGCCAGAAACTAGTCATGGTAAAAGGGTAAAAGCTTTTCTAGAACTGAAGTTACACACTTTCAAAGATAGCATGTATCACAAAATCCCATTGAAATCAATGTAACGTAAAATTGATTTCAACTCGTTTTTGTCTAGCATTCACACGGTGTATACCCCAAACGCTCCTACATGCACGACGGAGCGTTACATTTACGCGGAAACGCTCCGGAGCGAAATAAAATGGCGGCTAATGAAGATTCCACTATGACCGTAAGTATTGTTTCTCTCGTTTCTCTTACATATCATATGTTATGGTGAAATATTATGTACCATTCGATGAACAATACCGTGAGCAAAGATCTTATTTATTCAACTTCTGGTGGTAAACTGTTATTTGCTTGATCAAAGCACCGTAGTGTAGATCGAACGAATCTGAAGATGACGTTTTGACCACAAATTACGAATTAAACTAGTATTTCTATGAAAACGTTAATCTTTCTGTTAAAGTAGTAGATCACAAACTCGTATATTCTCATTTCCTAAAATCCCAGTCCAAATCCATTACTTGTTCTCGAGAAATCGCTTGTTTTCCTCGAAACGCTCCGTCGATTTAGAACACAATTTTAGAAACGCTCTTACCATTTTGTTTTGATATCATTTTCAGATTATTAGAGAAGAGTCCCGAATCGAATCTATCTCTTAAAAACGTGTTGTACTTGTTAGGCAAATTGAAACATCTGAACCTGGTGGTGCTTAACGTGCAACTAGCTGATTTAAGCCTATACATTAGATGATGTCATGCCTACATATGTGCTAAATCATAAAACTATAGAAAAAAACGAAAATTTATATGTGAATTAATCTTTCTTCTATGGATGCCAAGGGGTATAATAGATCTTTCCTTTCTCTTCCTGAAAAGGAAAGCTATATATTTCCTTAACTGATCTAGACTACCGGAGCGTTTCCAGTTCACTGTGTTAATCAGATCGGAGCGTTTCTTGAATATGAGAATGTCATCATTTTTAAGACTGGATTTTCGGTCATCAAATCACTATTACAATAATGTATGGTGCGTTGAAGCAATGGAATTTGACTAAAATATACGTTGGTGCTCTAATCTTGGCTCAACTAATCACATGTATCGACAAAAGGGGTTTTGACCGGTAGAATGACAAATACGTTTTTGAATTTTGATAACTATACTGCTTCGTATAGCTCTTCCTAATTGCTTCAAACGTCAACAGCCAGCCACGTACAACATGAATATCACACCCATCGAATGGTATACTCGAAATATGTGACTCATGCCTCTTATTCCCATTATTGGGGAAATCGTCAGACGGCTCATCATTCCCGCCAGCCAGTTTTCCTACTCCGGAGCGTTTCTTTGTTTAATTTCAGTAATGAAACGCTCCGTCGTGCATGTAGGAGCGTTTGGGTTATACACCGTATATTGCAAGATGTACAACAAATGCCAATCAGCGATTTAGTATACAGATGTATGAATGTATCACTCGCTGGTATTGTTCCAATATAATTTCGGTCCATGATGTTACCTAGCAACCACCTAGCAACAGCACTAACATCGAAATAGTGATATTGAAAAATCGGAATAGGGGCCTGGGGGAGATTAAAAAAATATATTCAAAATTTGGAAGAAGGTAGATTCAAGATTTTATTGTGTTTCAAGCCAAAACAATTGGCTTCCTCACAAAATCAATTACAAGACATATGTTCTCAGATCACAAAATGTCTTTAACACGGGTTTGCAAACGGTGGTTGAAGTACACTGTTTTTTCAACAAAATCAGATAACGCCAAAACTGGTCGGTCGGCCATTACTGCCGTCCCATTGGATTAAATTGCAGGCGACGCCCACTTTTCAATGGAAAACCTTGTTTCGCACTTCTTAGTTGCTCATTTGGCGGGAAAGTTTGGAACCAATTTTCCTATTATAAGCATTTTGGAATCCAACAAAACACCATCAATTGATGCAAACTAGAATGTCCTAGCACTTTTTGTCGCCGAGATATTGCAGATCTACAGGCCCTTAAATTCAAAAATGTTAGACAATGTCTTGATTTTAGTCTCCTGAAAAATGCCCGAAACAAAACTATTGTTATTCTTTCAAACTTTACAATAAATGTTTGAAGATCATTACTATGTGAAACTTGAAGTCAAAGGAACCAAATTAGAATAAGACAAAAATTTCAAGATTATTTGGACAGCACTAGTACCAGAATGACATGGACGATGTGCCCAATCAATATCAAGTACAACTTTTTGTTAAATACATCACCACCAAATGTGTGTGTATTCCAATCTTTTATATATTGTCTGTTTTATTAATTCATTTATTCTGACTTTCAGTGATTAACAACACATGTACAAAATATAGCGTCACTACTACAACAGCAAGGTAATCGCTCAGTTATGATGGAGATAGGAAGTGTCAAATTGAATTGTTCACAAAAAGAGGTGGGCTTTATCTCAGAAACTGCTCCAATAAAGTTGCAGTACTGTCAATATATTCACAAAACATATAGGATTTCATATGAATATTATATAGATCTTTTTTATTAAGTTATATAATTCAAATATTACTGCATGGAATACAGTTACATTATTCAAATGCCAATGCATGAAAAAATTGACTAAAGGCAACCTTACAGTCCCAGATTGATATTTAACCTTAACCTCTAATAGGATCCTGATAAATCAAAAATATGCATACACCACTTTACAAAAGAAAGAAATCAGACCAAGGGTTGAGATTTATCTAATACTAATATGAACAATTTCAGATTTGCTAGCTTCAGATGCTTATTGTAATATTTTCATTTCTGTCAATCTAGGATGTATAATAAATAAACAAATAACATTACAATACAATAAAGAAGCAAGAAGGAATGTATTTGCTTGTTATGTGACTGTAAAGCTAATGTCCAATAACATAGAGCAATGTACAATTAAAGCAGACATTTACAATAAGAGAACATTACATTACTGGAGGTGAGAAGGGGGCACCTCACCTCACCCTTATTACTGACGTCTATCTCAGATAGACGTCCTTGCACATCTCAATTGACAATCTCCCAATTCTAAATCCAACTAATTGTGTGCATAATACTATTAATTACAATATTTGATTTGATTATTATAGTATTAACTAAAATTAGTTATGAACTCATTTCAACATATTGCAAGGTACATGGGCACAGATATAATTCCTTATGTGATGTTAACTCTCTTTGACTGCAGCTTTGTAGAGTGTATAGGCTGTCTTTATACTGTTTTATGTATTCATTTTGGAAGAAAATTCTGGTTGCCCATTGAGCCATTTACAGTACCTAAAAGTTTTACAGAATACAAGTGCTGAAAACTGGTTGCTAAGGTACAATGTAGTTGTAAAACAAGCAGTAGTAGTATATGTGATACCACATGTAAATCTACATGCATACAATATTATTTGTCTGTATGGAGCAAATAATCATTATTACATGTAACAAAGTCTTCCAATAAAGTGTGTAAATAGGCGATAACATTGATTGTATGACCAAAATTACTTAAATAATGGCAAAGACAGGTAAAACCTAACTATGAGGGAGGGGAGGCAAGAGCCTCACCTATTCTACTGAAAATTCTTTTAAGATGTCTCTTCAACTGAAACTCTGAAAGTTGAGTCAGTTTAATGTTGCTCTTTGACTTCAGCTTTGCCTCATCTTTCAGCTATATTTACCTCCCCAATTTTTAGATACTGGCTACACCCATGGACTATATACAAATGTAATTATACAAGTGTATACTGACAACACAAAAATATATTATGTATTTTTTGATATACTGTAATTTATATTTTCCCTGGTTCCCCTCAATGAGACATTGTGTTAATTTGACATCAAATTCTGTAAATTTGACATCAAATTCTGTGTATTTGACATCAAATTCTGTACATCTGACATCAAATTCTATAAATCTGACATCAAAATATGTACCCAGACTAATAGACAACATACACATGTACTCCCAAAGATCCTGATTAAAATCATCACATATAAATACATTCATTCACACATTATACATTTAAATCTACATGATGTGTAATCATCTCTTAAATTCATTTTATACTTACAATTCACATCTAGTACATTAATATAATGCACAATGCAAAGGACACATACTAAAATAACATAGTGGGAAGAAAATCATAAAAACAGCTATTTAACAAATAATTATTTATTTCAGAGAGGGAGATACCATATATTTCAGAACTGGTATCCCATGACACCTGTTGAAATGCAAAATCACATTGTGACAGTGTCACAGGTATTTATTGAAAAGAGAGTGAAATGTTTTTTCATATGTATTATATCACAGTGATATTAAAAAATAAGACATAACAATTGAATTGGTCCCTATAATTGTTCATAGATGATGTAAGCTTGAAGCTCATGCTTTTGTTACATGCAATGTATATGTCTAAAGGCTTACTGAATCTACAGTTTATATTTTGAGCACTCATTAATACTTAAAATTGCAATAAATTATGATTTTAATTTCTCATGGATTTAGTTGAACACAGCACAATATCTGGTGACAACTGGTTTTGAGACTTATACTTATTTTCAGAAAATACAGATAAAAAATCAATGATCCCTGGAATAACATAAACAAATACATGGTGATATTTTGATAAGCAGAATTATAACATAATGTCTGATATTATCATATTGCTATATGCCAATGCGATTGTACTATTTTGCTTTAGTAATGAGCATTTGGCTCTTTAGAGAGGTTCACTTTTCATTCACTAATAGCTGCATGCATTAATCCTAGCATCTTTTAATCCATATATATTACTTATACTGAGTTCTGAATATCACATAAAGGTCAGCTGATTTGGTTTGTGCGATTATCTGATTACATGTGTGCTTTAGCCAACTTAGTTATCAGATATGGTTATATTTGTGGCCTTGACCTTGCTGTCATCCCCTTTAGCCTTCTGTCTTGCTTCAGTACTGTGTTGTTCAGTGTCCTTCTGTATCAACATGGGCACAACAAAGTCCTTCTTGTCAACATACTCCTCAAGACCCTGCAACAAATAAGCAATGTTATTATTAGTTCATTCAAGAGGTACCGTCAAAGTGGATGATTCTGGACTATTGTCAGATTCCAACTCTTTATGCATTAAAGGTGTCGGTTTTTTGACAAAATTAATATTAGATAGATTGTGAAAAATAAAGTGTTGAGTTTGAGGTTGAAATTTCACAATATTGCTTAACTGGAATAATCCAAAAGTGAATGCTGACAAAAATAGAATTTTGCGGACATTGTGTAATGATAGCATTAATAAATAAAACATAACCTTAAAAAAAATAAAATGCTGTCATTTTCAGTAATAACTAGATTCTGTTCACTGCATTGGCAAATGAAATTACACAAGTTTAGTCATTTCAAAATAAAGAAATCAATCAAAACATTTCAATTTTTTTCATCATAGCATATGACTTTTATAAGATTGCTCATGAGTTATTTTATAGCATCTGGTTTTAAATTACATCGTTGATATTGTAGCAGTGTTTTGGCAAACTTGACATTAAAATCAAAGTAAAATAAAAAGAGACAATTATTATACAGCAAAGATAAGACTCAACTTTATGCAGTACATGACCAGTTCTTCAACCTTAAGTTATGAAACTGACCCAAAGGACGGCTGTTTTTAAAAGTATTTTTATGTGAATTGGCTTCAACTCTATGAAACTGAAAATCCTGAATGAAAATCAGATCATCAAATTTTTCAGGAAACTGACAGAACTTTTTGAAGGCTAAATCATATACTCTAGTGCAGAAGCAGCATTATTGTAACTTTAAACTAATGATTATCACAGCTTTCAAGGTTATATTATCACAGCTTAATTGCTAAATATCTCAAAATAGATTTAAATTCAGTTTTACCTCTCCCTCATAGGTCACCAATGGAGATATTTCACACACTATGGCAGTTTCATCTTTATCATTTTGCCTGGAAACATAGAAATTGAATTTAATTTAATTATAAACAATGTATACATATGTTCTGTAGATTTTGTATTAACTAAAAGTTCACTATGCAAACTTAGCAATGATCTTTACACCATTTTATAGCAAATGTTTGACATACTGACATAATTAATCCATTCAATTGAATGATAAATCTTGTTTTTTGCAACATATCAAAAAGCCTTATTTTCAGCTGATGAAAAAATGAAAGGTTTTTGAGTAGGCTGTGGTGAAATTTAGTTATAACTTGTGGGCCTATAATTCAGGCAGCAATCCTGAATGTCATATTTTGATTGTCATCAAATGCACTAACCTTAATAGTCTATTTGGTATCTATATAATATATAAGATATATTTGTCCCCAGAATTCATTATAATGTTAAAACTGTAACAAATCAAGTTTCCCAAAATGTTATATAATAACTGCAATATTAAATTATAATATGATGTACAAAAATACCATAATTAGAATTACATGTATGATGTATGAACCTTATCTCACCCGAAAGGTAGCCAAGTGTGAACATATTTATGGCATTCAAAACATTTATTCACTTTTCTAATGCGAATTAAGAGCTTGTCTGGGGAGTTACTTTCAAAAGAAGAAAATAAATTTATGAGCATAAGTTGAACAGCATCAGCCAACCATTAATCAAGATAGATTGGGAACCATGCATTTTAACCTATGTAATACAGACAGCCTTGTATGAACTTTTCTTTTTATTAACCTTTTAACTCAATAAGAATCAATTCTTACAAGTAGGTTAGAGCAAAACATATGATTGGCCACAGGTTCACAAAACATGATATGTCAAACTGCAATCCATAAATCTTGCTTGAAGGGCATCAGTATATTGGCCCTTCTGTCAAAATTTTGGTTTAAAATTTCTTGAAAGAATCCATTTAGTTCAATGGGCAGCTGGTTCAGTTACCATGACAACAAGAACACAATAAATCATATTTTAGCACTCAATACAAATCTTATTTACAAAATATACCATAATTTGAAAAAATGCCAAGGTTACCTTTTGTGGTAAATGTTTCAAGTTTGAAAGGGTTTTATATCAATGCATATATCTTCATTTAAATACCAGCATTACACAGTGATTTTTTATGAACGGTCAATGACATACATTTTACAAAAAATCTGTAAGCAAAGTTTAAAAGTAGAGTATAATAGAGTATATAGTATCTGGTAAGTGAAAAAGTACAGCATTGAAATGACTCATTTTTCATTTTTCTCATTCATCCATTCCCAAATTCCAAAAACAAGCATTTATTATAAGGTCCAATCACCATTTAAACAGAAGTGAAGCAGATTGCCCTGTAGCTGTTCTCATATAAAGCTTTATATATAAAAGCCCCAAAAAATTACCAAATAACCCTAGTTTTTAGCAAAGAACTACATTGGTTTGCCCTCCATCCATCAAATGCACCAATAGTACCACATTTTAGCCATTCATCTTGTTCTCGGATCTTTGGACTATCTCATTTCATAAGATCTCACCATACTTGGTACAGTAATGCTGTTAACTATTGGTATCAACAATGAGATAATTCTTATTATATGAATGTCCTTTCTATGTAATTTTATGAATCCAGTGAGAATCACACTTTTTTAAACTAGGCTATATTGGATTAGAAATTGAAAAATACCAGTAAGATAGAAGCACCACCACACATCATATAATGCAATAAAACAAAAGCAATGAATGAAAAGCAAGCACCGTGCTCAGGTTCAGTAACATTTTCATCCCATACTTAGGAAGTGATTCAGGGCAACAATAGAGTTTGCTATTTTAATTTAATTTCTTCAGACAACTGGAACAAAATATCTGATTCTTGCTGTACATTTGCTAGGGAATGTTACTTCTGTCTGGGATAACTTTGGAAAATTATGTGATAAATTATGGGATATATTATTGGATACATTCAGACAGCTTACTAAGTATGGAATGATATGTTCCCTGAGATTCAATTTCTGGAAATAGGGTTCAACTTTAAGAAGCTTTTATCCAAAACCTCATTCAAGAGAAATCATTAACGTAGAAGATAGAAGACTGACAATGTTAGCAAACTCAATGAAAGCAGTCGAAGAGGAATAGGGTTCATCTGATCAATCATCAATCTGATATGTGTTTCTCACAAAATCATGGTTTGGTTATTAATAGCAATGCAGTTTTAGCAAGATGGCTAGGGTAGTTTCTAAATCCAGTAGGTGGGCTGGGGTGGTGAAATTACAATACCTCTCTATGTTATTGTTAGCAACATCTCCCTTCTCTGTCTGCTTTCCTTTACTACATCAACAAATTGCTCATATTTACAACATAAACATGCAATACAGAAGCTCAGAAGCATATAAAACATTAGTAAAACAACATAAAATACACTGTTAAAGGTAAAATTGTAAAGTTTCAATTTGCACTTGAATGTTATATTAGTATAATCTATTTTCTTGTTGTCCCTAATGAACATATATATGAACATACGGTAAATGAATATATTTTTCAGAATTGGAACACAGGTTTTTATATAGCATGGCCAGATTGGACTAATTCATGTATCAAATAATATTCTGGAGTATTACTTTTTTGAATCACATAGTAAAAGTTACTTTAGCATCTAAGACCAAAATGAAAATGATGCCATTTTCTAATTTTTGCGAAATTTAAGGCAAGTTGTTGAAGAGAGCTTATTCTGCTGATGGTCTTGGAGAATGGTATTTTTATCAATAAAGGTTATATATTGTACACTGTACTATGTTTTGGAGGCTTTTCTTCATTGATACCCCTGACCTGTTTTCTGATTGGCGGATTCGTATGAATGTCACAATATGTCATTCATAATTTATGTGATCAAATTCAAAATGTTGCTCTAATAACCACACTAAATATTTGATTTGCACTCAAATAAATGAATTGCATTGCATATCTTATTCAAATCATAAAAAAGATCTGGATAGATAAAAAGTATTTCATTTATTATGATAACTGTAGAACTCATTTTCAAGTATATTATATGTAAATAGTGTACATTATATTAGAGCTTGAATCAGATATACTGTATATCTCAAATTATGGTTAAAGTAATATATGGTATGGTGTAATACAATAAAAATGTATAGTGTCATACAATATGTATGTATGTATGGTGTAAGTTTATGATATAATTAGTTGATATCAATATAACCACCAGATAGCCTCGTGAATAACTTGATATTGTATTGATTGCAATGTGTTATTTTGAAAAAAATGAAGCAAATATTTTTGCCCAACCTGTGTGTATGCTGACCTTCAAAATATGAAGCTTACAGTCAGTTATTAATATAATATTGAGGTATTTCACGCATTATGAGCATGCATATTTGATGTAGGTTAATGTTCAACATTTATGCTTTTTATTAAGGCTTTCACATCATTTGTTTGTGTTTTACAAGTGACAGGTTATTTACCTCTTGAGGTTACTTTATAAACTTTAGATGCAATGTTTACACATGCCATCTTTATTGCAACCTTAATAATTATTATAGTATTCATATTCTTATAGCTTGCATTTTGGCACCCGGAATATTACATATTTGTCAGAATGATTATCAATCAGTTTTATATTGAAATACAATCAAATGGAATGGCAAGGCAATATTGCTTCCATTGGTCCAATGTTAGTTTTGTTTCGGTCTTCTATTGTTAAAATAACAAATTTTCAGTTGCTTTAATAAACGATTTTGTAACATCTTTTGAAGAGTTTTGTTTCCCAAACAATGTTAACTGCTTATGTTTTTTTCTGTTGTGCATTGTTTGATATGTTTTAGACAGATCAAATAAGGTGGCAGCAGTGTAGAATTTATAGATTACACTGCCATCTTTATTTAAAATTATTTCCATACACAATAGACATGGAAAAGTGAGTTGAAATGAGACATGAGTTGCCATTCCATTGAAGGTTTTAACTACATTTGTTATGTTGATGCTTTATTTATACAGCGTTTTGTTTTCAAACTGCAGTGTAAAATTATCAGACATTGTTAGATGAAATTATATAGATATATATGTTTGAAGGTGTTTGTTCAGTGAACTATATCATGATAAATGATACAGTATCATGATCACCCACCCATCTATAAAACATTATACTATTATAAATGAATGAAATAAGTTTCATTACCTTGGAATGAGAGGAATTGCAGTTCCATCCTCATGAATAAACCTGCCACCAGCTCGTAGTACGAATCTTTGATTCAAACTATAGAGGGCGTGGCGTGACGTAGATGGAGTGTCTTTTGCAGCAGAATCAGCATTCTTCAGCGGAGAGAACTCATCCTCCCTCAGGACGTCCCACACGGCAAAATTGCTATCCCATATAAGAGAAAGCAAAACAACAACAACACGCAACAAACAGAGTTTAATGAAATATTATATTTAATTTTCATAATAGGATTTATATGAATGATTTTTTAAACCAGTATAATATATATAATATATCATGCATAAAGCGATGAAGCATGCAAAAAGCCATACAGCAAACAAACAAACATATTTCATTATATACATGCATTAGTTGAATATAACAGCCATGATAACACAACACAACATTGAACAATGAATGAGAAAAATTAGAAATTAAGAAATTGTTATCATCAAAACAGTCATGAATATTAGGAAATAAATTAATTATTGGAGCGATCAATATGTTAAAAATGGTATTAACAAAGTAAAATAGAGTATATGTGTTAAGGGAGATTTGGAGATAAGTTGTCCAAATATTTACATTATAGTATTAAAGTATAGAAATAAAGGAGATCATAGTTAAGGGAAATTTGAAGATAAGTTGGTCAAATATTTACATTATAGTATTAAAGTATAGAAGGACATATAAGAAGAATAAGATATAGTAAATAAGTGTGTAATTATAAACAGGTCATAACGAATGTGTTAGGAATTATAAATGTTAGGACGGATATTAATGTACGAACATAATACAAACAAACCATTCATACGATACCCAATCAATTGTCAAATCCAGATGAGAAAAGAAGAAAACTCCATTAGTAAGAATAAGAAATAACATTGGTAAATATAATATAAATATACCATATATTGGTATCTATAATATAGATGTATCATATATTGGTACATAAAATGCATGTGTTATATAGTTGTACAATTGTATTTCAAAGGCAGTTTTATTGAATCTTATATTTTTCTTACTGACATAATTTTACAAGAAAAACAATGGCATGGACAAATATATATAATTAAGCAGAGTTCATTCTACAAAAGATGTTCAATTTTCCTTCAAAAACATTTCCAAGTCAAGATTGTCTAGTATTTATTATTTAAGGTGTTATCAAAATTTAATTTAGATGAAAGTAGGTTGTCTCCTAGCTGCTATAGAATATATTGATTTGTGTTAAATATGGTACAACAAAAATAAAAATGTCATCTTTGCCTGATCAAGGTGTCTGTTTCTGTATATAAAGTCAGTTATATGTATTGTTGTTCAAATCTTATTGTTCATTTTAAGAATTTCATGGTAAATACCTATTTCTGAACATGGTAATATCAAATAAGATGGCATCTTAAATGACAATTAAAAGACTGCCTGTCAAATGTATGACAGTTGATACAACTAATTGTTCGGAAAAAGACCCCTTGTTATAAGTGGAATTCTTTCTGCGACACACCACATATTCCTTAGACAAGTGTCATGTTTTTATGGGTAAATAACCAAAACAAGCAAAGATGACATTTCAATAAATTCCTTGTAGCCTCCCCAAGTACAGTTGGACAAACAATCACCAATGCTGGAATGAAGGTTTTCCAAGATTATAAGGGCCTGCTAGCTACTAACGAACATGTAGTTAGCAAAGATGTAGTGGCTAAAATGTAGCTAACACATGGACGAGAATATGTAGTAGCTAATTTTTGGTAGCTCACACTTACATGTAGTAGCTAATATGAGGTATTTAATATGGTAAGATATTGTTTGTTTGTGTTTAAGAAGTTGAGTAAAAGTCTCTATTGAGCTGCAAATGAGAGAAATAAATGTGCATGAATCAACAGTTCATAAAGTGCCCCAGAGCATGTACTCAGTTTTCATTATAAAATGTATTAAAAAGTTAGTTTTTCAAAGAAGAAAAGTTTATACATATTATTTATTTCTATCACCTAGTCATCAATTTAAAGAATTATATTCTGTACTAGCTTCATATTCATAGACAAAACATTAAAATGAAAAATATGGCACCATTATGAAGCATTAGTGTTGACTCACACACATCAATTTGTCCATTTGTATCACTATAAGATAAAACCCTTGGAAAATAAATAAATAAAAAAAGTGTGAATTTGTAAATCTATTTTCAAAAATTACATACAATTACAAGTGAACACATGTTATTAAGACCCCTAAAATTAATTCTGGTAGTATTGGCCTCTGGATAAGAGAGTTCTTATCATTAAAATGTTATGTAGAGAAAACAGTATGTACAGTAAACTTATATTCTTGTTTCTCATCATTTTTAAATCAAGGAATATATCATTTAACAGAGTGAGGGATAAAACCAATACGAACAGAAACATTTTGTATTAAAGAAAGCAAACAGTAACCCATCTCCTCTGTGAAATAATGTAGGATATTAAAAACATCTATATTTATATATTTGATTCCTTACCCACAACTTCAAGATGCAAATTTAATATTCATAAATATTTTCATTAATTCAAGTTGTTTTAATATTCCCATATAGTTTATTCTGATATATACCGTATACAACATAACTACAATATATGCAATATACACAAAAAGCAATATATAGAAGTACAATATATGCAATAAATACAATATATGTAGGGTTGTAGTATCTACAAAAAATGCAATGTATAATCCTATATATAGAGAGAGACTCAGAGGGATGGCCTGACATCGATCTCTTGGTTATTTTGATCATAATATAAAAATGTTTCAGAACTGGAAGGATGAAATGATTATTTTTTTGTTGAATTCTCGTTCTTTTTCTCATAATGAGCTGACTCCAATTTCCCTTTACGCCTTGCACCACTATAATATATACAGGGTGTCTCAACAGGAAGAGATCTAAAATATTGCAAGCAAACAGCATAAAGCTCTAATATGAAAGAATGTCTATTAACTGACAATTTAATCAAGACTGATATAAGTAATTTACTGATTGAATCCTCATTCATGAACACCAGGCCCATAATCAGTTTTTTAGGTCAAAGTTGTCAAAAGTAAACCTCCCGAATTTTTTAAAAAGCCCATTGGCAAATCCTGGCTACAGGCCTGAGAACACTTTAAACGTTTGAAATGATAGTTTATGACATACCTGGTAAATTGAAAGACATCAAAAACAAATTTCTCCATTTTGATTCCATTTGGATTTGAAGGTTTAATGAGATCACCATTGTCATTGACATATGGGATTTTCTTCTTGGCAATGTGGTGCTTTAGCTCATTCTGCCTTTCCCTGTAAAAAAGTTGTACACCTGAACAGATTTCAGAGTACAATCACTCGGGTAAAATTTCTACAATACTTAAAGAAAATTACAGAAGGCAAACCATCTAATAATGACACTAAAATTACACTACAAATAAGTTGAGAAAATCCCAACAAACAAAAAGTCTTACGACAAATATGAATTAAATTTCCTTATTTTCAATATTTCCCATATTTGAAATATCAACAACTAATGGCTGAGTATATTTTGCATAAACTAATGCGGAACATACCTGCAAACCATCTTGAGGAAATCTACAGTGAAATAATGGTTACATATGTTCCCTGCATTAAACATGAGACGACCATCTGGATTACGTTTCTCCGCAGTCTTTGTTGTGATCTCACTGTACTCAACTACCTCATAGACACCATCAACCTTACACACGACACCCACTGCTTCTGTGGCAAACGCCTTCTCGACCACCTAATAGTATAATGTAATGTATTACATGTTTTTTAAAAACCTGTGTTAGTGAATATCTCTCTTTTGTGAACATTTCCCTGCAATGAACTTTTTTCTCCAATTTACTCCCAACTCCCATGTTAAATAAGTTTTCTATACTGTAATGGCAAATACATTAGAATAAAAATTACTATAAGTTTACGCAAATTCCTTCTTAGATTATAACAGTTACATGCCAAAAATTATCAATTTGTCAGTCATTGTTTTTTAAATTTAATATCCTGGATATATAGAACAGATGTGAACAGATTGTCTTTAAACGCTTTATTCATTTAACAAACAAGAGAAAATTATTCATATGTTAAACCCAGCAGGCAGATGTGTCAAAGACAGTGGTAGAGATATTGTTGACCGCTTCATTATTTTAACGAATGTGGCACTGCTTAAGTTATTAACAGCTCACACCAAAAAAAAACAAAAAAAAACAGCCCACACCAAACAAAGCATCATTGGTATTTCTCAAAAAGACAGAATGGGACATCTCTCTCAATGGCAAGTCTATGGAAACAAGCTTAAATGCCCTCAAAGAATTTAGACATAAGACCACTGAAACCCTACCACAATAGTCACTCACATTTGCTCCACAATTGAGACATAAGACCACTGAAACCCTACCACAATAGTCCCTCACCTTTGCTCCACAGATAGAATTCTTTGACATGCAAAATCCAATGAAGGTAGGATCAGCCATCTTGACCAGTATGTTGTCTACACAGTAGACATGGACATGTTTTATTCCCCTGTTCTCTATGTCTTGGAGAACATTGCGGTTCTTAAGTGCTCTGTACAGACCCCCATTGCCATCTGAAAATAAACATTTCACTCAGGTATTGAATTTGATTCTAACATTCAGAATGTAAAACACTGAATAATCAAGAGCTTTTAAAGCATCAAGCAACAGGCGATTTCCATCAATTGTTTACACCAAAATCACCGGTTGATATGAGGAACTTAGCAACTGTTTCCATATTAATATTATAACAAAAAACTCACCTTTGCTCCACTCCACAGATAGAATATGTTGTCACATAGTTAAATGAAAAACATACTGGTGATCAATGTTTAAATGTTTGCTGAAAATAATTGGGAACATGTAATTCTGAAGTGATCTAAAAACAAACTATTATTGAAATATTCCTTTACCTGGTGCTTTGGCAATCTTGTGTTTGTTTCCAAGAATGATCTTGCCCTTAAATGTCATACAAGGGAGTGTATGCTGCTCAAAGAGAATCACATTTTCCTTCTGAAGACCAAAGTAATTGTTTTCTTTAAAGAATGCTTCTGTTGGTTCTTTAGTTGCCTCACTTGTCATGATGAACCTGAAAAAGTACAATACAGGGGTATTTTTCACTTATTGTTAGCAAGTTGCTCAATTCACACATTTTTAAATTACCAGGCAGATAATGTTCAACCTTTTTAACTAAAGAAACTAAAAATCCCCTGACTTTTTTTCAGAACTGTTAAATTCTCGGACCTTCAAATTTCATGACTGTTCAGTGGCAACTCTAATTATATGGCATTACTATGGCAATCCTAATTATATGGCAACAATGGCAATCCTAATTATGTGGCAACTGATGCATAAAGAGACAATTTCAAGTTTTACACATTCTGAGGTTATTTAGTTTAACACATATATTTTCAAGGTCACTTTATTAGAGGAATTGATATAACTGCACATCATTAAAATGTTTTATAAATCTTTTTATATAAATTATCTGCACCACCTCATCAACACTTAACCCACCATGTTTTCAAATTTTCTACCAGATAACAGGTACATTCTGAAGTTTAACAAAACCCCCAAATTTCAATCAATCATTCTAACTGAGCCAGGGTTTACTTACCATGGTACAACTCCATGTTTGCCTGTCAGTTTAAGAGCCAGCTCTTGAACCTTAAGAATCCTCTCAGCCTGTAGTTGATAGAGCGTCTTATGAGAGGGGAGGCCTACATCATACATGCCCTTGGGGTAGTTAACTCCCAATCTGGTCCCTTGGCCTCCAGCCAATAGCAACACTGCAACTGTGCCTTCTCCTATAGCCTTCAGACCTGAAACAAACAAGCACCATGGTGTACGTGTTCTAGGCTAATATGTGCAGCCATCAATCTAATGCACGTGTTCTAGACTAATACATTCAGCCATCGATCAAATGCACATGTTCTAGGCTAATACTTATACATACAGCCATTGATCAAATGCACATATTCTAGACTAATACATACAGCCATTGATCAAATGTACATGTTCTAGACTAATACATACAGCCATTGATCAAATGTACAACATGTTCTAGACTAATACATACAGCCATTGATCAAATGTACATGTTCTAGACTAATACAGCCATTGATCAAATGTACATGTTCTAGACTAATACATACAGCTATTGATCAAATGTACAACATGTTCTAGACTAATACATACAGCCATTGATCAAATGTACACCATGTTCTAGACTAATACATACAGCTATTGATCAAATGTACAACATGTTCTAGACTAATACATACAGCCATTGATCAAATGTACACCATGTTCTAGACTAATACATACAGCTATTGATCAAATGTACAACATGTTCTAGACTAATACATACAGCCATTGATCAAATGTACAACATGTTCTAGACTAAAACATACAGCTATCGATCAAATGCACATGTTCTAGACTAATACATTCAGCCATTGATCAAATGCACATATTCTAGACTAATACATACAGCCATTGATCAAATGTACACCATGTTCTAGACTAATACATACAGCCATTGATCAAATGTACATGTTCTAGACTAATACAGCCATTGGTCAAATGTACATGTTCTAGACTAATACATACAGCTATTGATCAAATGTACAACATGTTCTAGACTAATACATACAGCCATTGATCAAATGTACATGTACTAGACTAATACAGCCATTGATCAAATGTACATGTTCTAGACTAATACATACAGCTATTTATCAAATGTACAACATGTTCTAGACTAATACATACAGCCATTGATCAAATGTACATGTTTTAGACTAATACATACAGCTATTGATCAAATGTACAACATGTTCTAGACTAATACATACAGCCATTGATCAAATGTACATGTTTTAGACTAATACATACAGCTATTGATCAAATGTACACCATGTTCTAGACTAATACATACAGCCATTGATCAAATGTATATGTTCTAGAATAATACATACAGCCATTGATCAAATGTACATATTCTAGACTAATACATACAGCCATTGATCAAATGTACAACATGTTCTAGACTAATACATACAGCCATTGATCAAATGTACTTATTCTAGACTAATACAGCCATTGATCAAATGTACATGTTCTAGACTAATACATACAGCCATTGATCAAATGTACATGTTCTAGACTAATACATACAGCCATTGATCAAATGTACAACATGTTCTAGGCTAATACATACAGCCATTGATCAAATGTACATGTTCTAGACTAATACATACAGCCATTGATCAAATGTACATGTTGTAGACTAATACATACTGCCATTGATCAAATGTACATGTTCTAGACTAATACATACAGCCATTGATCAAATGTACATGTTGTAGACTAATACATACAGCCATCAACCAAATGTACATGTTCACGGCTACTATAGCCATAAATGAAAAATTTGCATGTTCATATTCAAGGTGAATACATACAGCTATATAAATGTACAAGTTAAAGGTGACTACATACAAGCACCAATCAAATCATAATGCAAATTACATTGTACATATTCTAGGGTAAATACCTCAGAGGGTACAGAGGGTAGCAGAGTGACTATTGGTATGTTTAAGAGTACCAACAGATTAAACCTTTCAACAAATCAAAAGTTCAACTCAAATGTACTCAGATGTGGCTTCCTCCATTTAAGACCCTGGCCATAAATGGCGTACATATCACAGAATATTTATATTACAGTACAGTAATTCTAAATTCAAATAATATTGAGAAGCTACTAGATGAGAATCCTATAAACTATAGCTTGTTATAAGTGCTTTATAGCTAAGCAAACTTGAGAGTTCAAACATTCCATAATCGTTATCAATTTTATGTTTTTTAAATATTGACGTTTCATGTTCTTGTAAAAATACTTGAAATTTCAATGCCCGTTAACTTAAGTACGTCAAAGGTCTGCTATCTCAACCATCAATTAGAGATGTCATGTGCTTAAAACATAACATGATAAGTAATATGATATCATATATCCAATGTCATGTAACACTAAAATAAGATAAGGCTCTATTGTTCGATAAAGAAGCACATATAAAATGAAGCTCAAAATCAATATTCAGTATACAGTATGTACATTGAAAGAACATTTAGTAGAAATCCTATAAATCCTTCATTTATAACTTCCTTAAGCATGTCATCAATATATAAAAATAAGATATGCTTTAAGTAAGGTCAACTTAACATTAAACAAACCTTATACAAGATTACACACAGGATTGATGTAATGGTTAATCAATTTTGTATTTCAAAAGACCTCTGAAAACACAAGCATCTAAAAAACAAGGTGTCTAAATCAAGAAATCTGGACACCTGACACACCCCCACACTCAAATCCATTCACCCAAAGGCGAGCTGTCCACTTTTTATGGATAATGACTTTTTGGCAAACTAGGAGAACTCAACTTTCAAATATCACACATTTTACATTTTTGCTTCTGAGCTATTGCTAAAAGTGTAGATATTTAATGTCAAAATGATCAAAGAGGCAGCATTTTCAGATTTTATACCATTTCCACCCATTTCGCAATCAACCATTGTAAATGTATATTATCAAAAATATGGATTGCTAATTTTCTGACATCATTAGTAGTTTTGTAATTTAATGTAGCTGATGCATATTCAAATGTAATCTTAATCTTAGGAATCCAAACATGGCTGCCATTTTGGAATGAAGTAGCTTTTGAAATGTTACAAAGAAATTATGGCCTTTCATGTTGACATTTTGGAAATTAAATCATTTGAATTGATATGCAGGACTGAAATGTCATACTATTAAGACAGAGGAACATGAGATACATTAACTTACAAGGTTTTTAAGATATTGGGCTAAACATGCTTATACTAAGGTCAAGTTTTGATAAATTCATTAAATTACTTTAATTTGTTTGTCTTTAACCAAAAGGTCCCAAGATGACTGTTCCAAACTTGGTTGCATGTTGCAGTATTCTTTCTCAATAAAACTCTCCCTCTAACAAAAGTGGTAGCCTTGTATGGTACACTGCTTTAGTGTTTGTTGAATCAACCTTTAAATCATTTTTTTAATACACCCAATATGACGTACTGCTACAGTACAAATACCTTCTCCTCTGCTTTCAATGTATTACGCCAGTCAACCTAGGTTACTTACCTCAGCATTTATTCATTCATTTTACTTCAATCAAAATAGTGTCAATTGAATTTGAAAAGAAACAAATTCTTTAAAAATCTAAGATCACTGCTTAAAATTAATTAAATTGCGTGAATGAGCACATTTAAAGTAATTAAGGTTATGAACTAATTTTCATTCACTTAAAACACTAAAGACATTGACAAACCTAATCATAAAAAGTTGTACTGATTTGACATCTTCAGTAAAATAACTTAGCCAAGCCAGTTTATGTTCAATATCCTAATTGATATTGTATGAGATATATATGTATGTAAGCAAATTATTAATACTGAATACATGTACATAAACATTTCTAAAGCAAAATTAATTATTAGTCACCAATTATATTCAGGAGTATATGTCCAAAATCAAGGACAAAATACAACATAAAACACATAGTTAACAATATATAAATTCAGTAAATGTTTTGCGAAATTTACCTGTTTGCCTGTAGTTTTCCAAAGTTTTTGGATCTGTGCGGGTGATACTACCACAGACATCTGAGGGCACAGGCTGGAGACGATCATCTTTCTTCTCACTTGCTTCATTGGCATGAGCCATTGCATCTTTGAAAAAGGTATTAACTTCACCGAGATCTATAGCATTTATTTCATTATAAAGTGACTTCTTTTCCTCTTCATTGAGCTCGTCCCAGAACTGCAGGAGTTGTTCCTGGTCATGGTTCTTAAGTTTGATTCTCAATGCTTCGACATCCATGGTGATGAGATTATCTTAATGGTAAGTTGTCAGACTGGACCCGCTGTCAATGTCTTTACTGTAAGTTGTATCACACTTTTGACGTGTACTATGCCTGAAGGTGTAATATGTTCACATTAAACAAACTTTGTAGTAAAAAACAACTGGCTTATCAGCATGATCACTGTCCGGCTATTACTTATATGTTTTATAATTATCTCAACCTTTTGCTACTGTATGGTATCAGTCTACTCTGCTTCTGTGTGGTATAGTCTACTTCATTGGCACTACCAGCTGATACACAGTATAAGTTCCCAATTGTAAATTAATATTCATCAAATGTTCAATGAATTTTAACCAATAGAATGTAACAGCTGGCTTTCTGTTAATAATTTGCAACATGTGGGATTGCGAAGAATTGATTAAGTCCTTCTTAGAGTTGAGCGTTAAATGAACTTATAATATGTGGATGTGTATGAGTAGGTGATACTACATGTGTGTAACAAACTACTGTACATGGTACAATGTCTACTGATCAGTGTTGAGCACTTATCCCTGGCACTTGTTCAATCCACACCCACTGTAGATGCTAAACGGAATCCTGAAATTAAACAAAAAGCTTAATTTAAAATCACATTAAGTATAAAGTGCTTGATCAATATGCTTTAATAAACATGGCCACACAGTCATAAGTTTGTTTGCATTAAAAATTCTTTACGTCAATAAAGTTTAAGGTTCGGTTGTAAATATAGGTGTTCTGCATTAAGTTGAATGCCAGTAGAATGACTTATTACATAATTATAAAATATTTCTTCTATAAAGTATTTCTTCCATAAAACTTTTAAGTTCATGATTGGTCTTCAATAGGCGGCATTCAGTTAGATATGAAACATAACATGTTTTAAAACACTAATGAGAGATGTTGTGCACTTGACTAGTAAACAATAAGTATAAGTACTGGTATACAATAAGTATTTTAATGCATCTATCGTAATATAATAACCCATTAAAATAAATAAATTGTACAAAACATATGTTACTAGTATAATGCTATAAAACAATAGTTAAGCAGCAACTTATTTGATGAACTTTATCAAGTATTTTCATTATGAATTTTTTTTCTCACATGCTCTGATACTCAAAAAATATTTTCATGTTTCCTTTTATTTTTACAACTGTTGATGGAATGATAATGATAGAAACATATGGAGTTTTGTATGGAATAGGTAATCTACTGAACTAGGGACATCTTGATAACCATAGTCATAGATTATACATCAAATATATACATTTATTTATGTATTCCAGCTGACATATTGTAATACATGGATTGTTGTTGGGTTAAGAGGGGTACATGTGTTTTATTTACTTCTACAGTTTATTGAAACATCATCCTTTTAATATATGGTATATATTTGCTTTTAATAATTAGGTTCATCAATTTAATCTTAATTAATCAATATTCTGATGATGTCATACTGTATTGCTGAAGGATATCATGAAGATCAGCATATCAAGGTTAAACGTAAAATCAATAAGAAACTGTAAAAAAAGAAAGTGCCATTTCTTTGTAACCATGCAGTTACAAGATAAAACTAAGATAAGGAGCATGTCATGTCACATTGCTCTAAAGGTCTCAACTGGATTTGAACAAACTGAAAATGATGATTGAGATGTGTTTTAAACCAATCACAGGTTGTAGATATTCCCCAATCGTACCATAAATTAAATGAGGTAATTAAATTTATAAGTGGGGCATTGATATTACATATGAATAGGGCCAACCTGTAATTAAATATATAAGTGGGGCGTGGATATTACACATGAATAGGGGCAACCTGTAAATAACTTATGAAGAGGGCATCTTGCTGATTTCATGTGTGGGAACTTGATATTGATCAAATATATGAAGTATCAGCCAATAAGGGACATGGAGTGTAAAATTATGGAAGCAATATATATATTTTCAATAAATATTGTGTCCCTTTATATAAAGTAATTCTGTGAACACATTCCAATTCTTTAAATATGTACATGTGTTTACATAAATATGGAATTTAAAAAATAAAAAAAATATTTAGCCTAAGGGTTATTCCTCCCATATTTATGAGAATTAAAGGCCCACTTTGGGAATTTTCAACATTCATGGGCAAAATAAAGACTTATATTTAAATTTCATAGTATGGCCAATGTATTGATAAGAACCTCATCTTTCATTTGACACCGACAACAGCTCAATTGGACCACATCAAAGCTTACAATAGATTATCAAAAGTTTTGATCTATCAAGCTTTATGTATACAGTAAAACCTGTATATCTGAACACCTGGCTAATCCGAACACCTTCCAATTTGAACACTTTTTTTCGGTCCCATTTTTTCCTCCCATTGACTCCCATGTTAAAAAAACCTTGAAATCTGAACACCTCCTAATTTGAACAGTGAACAACCAGATTTGAAAAAGTGACATGTCTAATCTGAACATTTTTATCAGAAATCAAATGTCTGGACATTTCAATTAAAGCCACATATTGAGTCAGTGTTATAGTTGTTATTTATCTACATATATACAAATGCAATCAAAGAACCAATCGTCCTAATTAACTTATTTAGTCTCAGTGACATCCCTAATTTGTGGAAAACAACAGGATGTTTTGGAAAGGTGTGAATACAGGAGTTAATTGGTTTATCCTATTAGAAAAGAACTGAATGTTTTATTTTTGGATTAAGAGAAAGGTGTGAATCAAGAAGATAATTGATTTATAATTATTGGAAATTACCTGGATGTTTTTGATTTGGATTAAGAGAAATGTGAGAGTCTGGGAGATAATTGGTTTATCCTTATTGTAAATTAACTGGATGTTTTTGATTTGGATTATGAACAGGTCTTAACTGTTTTATATCCCATGGGTCTGTTATGATAGCTAAGATTCAATCAGTAAATGTTTTATAATCACAAAGACAACACAGACGCCATTTGCAGACACGATTATATCACGAGAAGGAGAAAAAATCCAACTTCGTAATATTCGCATACATCTGTCATCCTGAATGCCCTTGATATTTTGAAGGATTATACATCATCTCGAATGAACACTCATGAAAAATTATTTTTACTTGAAGAGGATATCTACTCAAATATTGCTAATGCTAAAAGTGCCATGAAACAAACAACAATGAAGGACTTTTCCAAGCAAAAGTAAAGCAGTGCTATATAACCATAATATGGGATAAGCCATTTGATAAGCATAAGATTTCGTACGAGACTATCATATACTTTTACAGTGTATTACAAAGTTTTTGCCAAAATATAAGAGTTATGTTTACTAAAATGATGAAATTGTTCAAAATATAAATAAAACATAGCATATAGGCTATAGGTCTATTGTAGAATTAACTCATCAACAACATGTATTGTTTTCTGACTTAGTATTAAGCGTTCAATATAGTGCACTGAACAATGAAAATCCCCCCCCCCCCGACCAACAAAATCCTCGAAATTTGAACACCTGCCAATTTGAACGCTTTTAGCTGGTCCCATGGGTGTTCGGATTAGACAGGTTTTACTGTATCAAGTTTTTATCAATGTCATTGAAAGATGGCGAAGTTGTTTGTATTACATGATTCATTTTTATAGAAGTGTCGCCATCTTTTAAATCAATTGTAATTGAAAACATGCACTTTGTTTAACATGTGCATGCATGTCTAATGATCTCTGAACTTCAAATGCTTTTTCCTATATGAGTTATTTTTTTCTTGGTTCAATATTAAAGCAAACCAAACTTTGTGTCATATTTGAGCAAGTGTGAGTAACATGTTTCAATGATTATTTTTTTTATGTTTTCTTCTAAATTAAGTATAGTGTGCCTTTAAGCTAATGAGCCATTGAAATAAAAATGTCCATAATTGTCAAATCCTACCCATTTGATGCTGAATGTCAATATTTCTATATCCCAGTGTTCTCCATAGGACTTTTTCTCAAGTGGGTGCAAAATTCACATATGCCAATGTTTTTTGGGGTGCAAATGATTCTTTTACTAAGAGGTTTGCTAATAATGGAGCCATATAATAATTAATTAAAGAAAGAATCAAGTAAAATTGAGATTTTCCATGTGAGCAGCAGATGCTATTTTGGAAGGATAAATTGGCAAAATGTATTACTACTGTTGTAAATCATATTAAGGATGGCCAGTATTTCTAGTTATTATCCCTATGGTAAGATAACAATGAATTGTACAATAAAACCTGTCTAATCTGAATACCATTGGGATCAGTCAAAAGTGTTCGGATAACAGGTGTTCACATTTCAAGTTTTTTTTAATATTAGGTGAGAGCAAACTGGGAACATGTGTTCACATTAAGAGGTGTTATCAGATTTTAGGAGTGTTCTTGAATACAGGTTTGACTGTATGTGCATTGAATAATCTATCAGCAAACACCTTTTATTATACTATTATTTATAGATTTATTGCAGTTGCAACAGAACTATAACTCAATGTCTCTAATATTGTTTACTGGCAATTTTGCAATTTAAAGCTATAAACACTATCAGATGTCTTGCCCCAATGTAGGCACAAGATTTATGGCTGTCGAGCAAAAATGTGTGGCTATATCACATTTCAATGTATTTTTAAATTATTTTTCAGTAAGAATCATTGGGTACTTTGAAAAGGAGTTATTTAGCCACCTATTTTGTAATATATGATAATCTCACATTAAAGTATTTATAACAGGTCACATAAGACCATGATTGCATGATTTATAATGAACTTTATCTTTGGCACACGCGAACACTTCTACCTTTGAAGTGCAGCAGTTGAAAAAAGTTCAGACTATAATTGAGATATTTTACCATATTGTAATCAAATTCCTTAAAAAAATCTTGCAGATTTGTTTACTTTTCAGCAAAACATGCACAATCTCCAACAATATTTTGTTGTGTTCTATGGTCATGAACTCAGCTATACTGAACATTAAAACTGGTGACGAAGAGAATAGATTTTGGAACATGCCTTTGGAATTTGGAACTTTTAGTTTAGTCAAAAATCTATGAATATTACAGCTCAAGCAAAAAATGCTGAAAGGGACAGCAGAACAAAATCTCTTCAAAGCAGATTTTCATAGTTTTTAATGGTCAGACCTTCCTGACTGAACCACATATAGAGTAAATTTAGACCTTTGATATTATACGGTTTTTAAAATTTTCAACTGGGTGCAAGATTTCAAGTCTAAAAAAATCAGCACTCGCTACGCTCACAATATCTCAGTGTAGGTGCTTACTTCACTCATTCTTTAAATCAGAAGTTGAAGTGCAGATGCCAACTGGGTGCCAACTGGGGGGTTTAAATCAATTGTAATTGAAAACATGCACTTTGTTTAACATGTGCATGCATGTCTAATGATCTCTGAACTTCAAATGCTTTTTCCTATATGAGTTATTTTTTTCTTGGTTCAATATTAAAGCAAACCAAACTTTGTGTCATATTTGAGCAAGTGTGAGTAACATGTTTCAATGATTATTTTTTTTATGTTTTCTTCTAAATTAAGTATAGTGTGCCTTTAAGCTAATGAGCCATTGAAATAAAAATGTCCATAATTGTCAAATCCTACCCATTTGATGCTGAATGTCAATATTTCTATATCCCAGTGTTCTCCATAGGACTTTTTCTCAAGTGGGTGCAAAATTCACATATGCCAATGTTTTTTGGGGTGCAAATGATTCTTTTACTAAGAGGTTTGCTAATAATGGAGCCATATAATAATTAATTAAAGAAAGAATCAAGTAAAATTGAGATTTTCCATGTGAGCAGCAGATGCTATTTTGGAAGGATAAATTGGCAAAATGTATTACTACTGTTGTAAATCATATTAAGGATGGCCAGTATTTCTAGTTATTATCCCTATGGTAAGATAACAATGAATTGTACAATAAAACCTGTCTAATCTGAATACCATTGGGATCAGTCAAAAGTGTTCGGATAACAGGTGTTCACATTTCAAGTTTTTTTTAATATTAGGTGAGAGCAAACTGGGAACATGTGTTCACATTAAGAGGTGTTATCAGATTTTAGGAGTGTTCTTGAATACAGGTTTGACTGTATGTGCATTGAATAATCTATCAGCAAACACCTTTTATTATACTATTATTTATAGATTTATTGCAGTTGCAACAGAACTATAACTCAATGTCTCTAATATTGTTTACTGGCAATTTTGCAATTTAAAGCTATAAACACTATCAGATGTCTTGCCCCAATGTAGGCACAAGATTTATGGCTGTCGAGCAAAAATGTGTGGCTATATCACATTTCAATGTATTTTTAAATTATTTTTCAGTAAGAATCATTGGGTACTTTGAAAAGGAGTTATTTAGCCACCTATTTTGTAATATATGATAATCTCACATTAAAGTATTTATAACAGGTCACATAAGACCATGATTGCATGATTTATAATGAACTTTATCTTTGGCACACGCGAACACTTCTACCTTTGAAGTGCAGCAGTTGAAAAAAGTTCAGACTATAATTGAGATATTTTACCATATTGTAATCAAATTCCTTAAAAAAATCTTGCAGATTTGTTTACTTTTCAGCAAAACATGCACAATCTCCAACAATATTTTGTTGTGTTCTATGGTCATGAACTCAGCTATACTGAACATTAAAACTGGTGACGAAGAGAATAGATTTTGGAACATGCCTTTGGAATTTGGAACTTTTAGTTTAGTCAAAAATCTATGAATATTACAGCTCAAGCAAAAAATGCTGAAAGGGACAGCAGAACAAAATCTCTTCAAAGCAGATTTTCATAGTTTTTAATGGTCAGACCTTCCTGACTGAACCACATATAGAGTAAATTTAGACCTTTGATATTATACGGTACCTGAGGGTATGTTTTTCACTTAACAAGTATTTTCTTTGTGAATCTTGATGTTGTCTGAACACCCTTTTATTGAACACTTCAAATTAAAGCCCACCTAACTTTTCTTGGAGATTTTGGATCATGCATTTTCACTGTCAAGAACCTCCAGTGACACCTTAAGGGGATGCTCCATACAGGAAGCTTTGATAAACTATGACATGCCTAATATTAACCTAATGAACCCCAGTGTCACTATTAAGAATTAACTCATTAACTCTCTCAGTTATTAATGCTCAACTTATAATGTATATTTATGCACTCTTCATGCAATACTGAAATATCTAGACTACGTAGAGGGTAATATGCACCTGAAGATAATATCGGACAAATATAAGACAATGCAGAAGCCATTTCAAATCTAAATGAGGGTTAAGGTTGATCCAAGACTACCCTTTGCATTCATTTGACTTTGCTTCTTAAAAGAGAGCTTCATCTTCACTTTTTCAGTTTACAATAAATCTCTGAACTCTTCATCGTTGAGATATAGACAACTTTCTAAATGTGGTAATATCTTCTGACGTCATCGCATAGTTGCATAAGCTCTTCGACATTTAAAAAGTTACTTGACTTTTTTGTGATTTTGAATCACAGAAAGCATTCTGAAGTTTCAAATTGGCCCTATGCTTAATTTTTGGCATTCGCCTAATGTTTACCACTTACCTTTTATTGATTCTTTCCTAAGTTTTGTCATAAACTCAGTTTGACCAGAAGTATCTTTGTTGCCGCTCGATTTTTTTTGAAAAAGTCCCTTTTCTAATCACCCGGATGTATGGTTTACTTGGACTCGCCCAAAACGAGGTGTGTCAAACGCAAGATGGTAAAGATGAAGACATGTCGCCACTCTCAGAGAATCTATTCCAAAATTTCAACATTACTATGCAGTTTTACGAGCAAAAAAGATAAGGGCAGGTTGTATATAGGACTGGACAAGATGAAAATAAATATTCTAAATAGATGACACCCCTTTCAAAATAAGATGAACTGAACCGTGACGTGACCAATTTCTAAGAAGCAATTACGTCAGAAAAACAAAAGCTCCATAGAGAATTTTCGCATGTAATGTTGAAAAGCAAGCCCAGTTTTCTATGGGAATATACCATTATTAATAGTTACGTGTACAATATTACCGAGTTTGATGGTGCATAAGTTAGGCAGTGGATCGTTTTATAAGTACGACAATGTGAATTCATGCGACTGTTACTTTTTGGAAGTTTTTTTGCAAAAAAGTCGAGTAACTTTTTAAATGTTGAAGAGCTTAGTTAATGAGCACACATTTAGAATGTTCCAGCTTGCTGATTGGTTGAGAAAAGATCAGCGTGGTAGGTTTGAAATGATTTATGAGCGAGACTGTCATAGGCATAGGACAAGGGCACAGGACTACTAAACTGTAATAAGGTCTTTATTAGGCAGAGGGTAGTTTATAACTAGACTCTGTTGTAGTCTCCGCGCAGGGTAATCCTTGACTAACATATTACATATGCACTCTATTAATAGGACAAAGTCCTACATTCTTATGGAGTCTCATTAAGAGATAGATTCTTTTAAAAATAATAATTAACTGTTTCAAGGTTCTTCCCAATCACATTTGTACGCGCATGCAGTCTAGTTATAAACTGCCCTCTGCCTATTTTACAGTTCAGCAGCACCGCCCCGGTTGGGTTGACCTATACCTGTGACAGCCCGAGTCATAAATCAATCAAAACCTATTACTCCTACATGTATGTCTATGTCAATAATCTGCAAGAGGCTAATAAGTCCATATATAGCAGATATATAATTTAACAGTGATAGAATTTGAATAGAATATAATTTAAAACCTTAACATTTAAAAATGACCTTTTCTCAACCAGTCAGTAAACTGGAAGAATCTTGTGCTAAATCCATGCTCATTAATGAAATTAACTATATCTGATGACATCAGAGGAAATGACCATATATAGAGGGTCGTCCATATTTCGACAACTTAGTCTGATTTGCTCAGTGATTTATTGTACACTGAAAGAGTGAAGACGAAGCTCTCTTATAAGAAGTGAAGTCAAACGAATTCAAAGGGCAGATCACACTTCAGGATCGGTGTGGCCCATCAATGAGGCCAGTGATGTAGGAAACATTATGGGATATAAAGTGAACACCTGATTTCAGTATTTCATTTACATACAGAACAATTATATTGTAAGTAAGCCAGAATATAGGCTAATAATTCAAGTATTGAATATTTGCTGTTGTGTTGCAGGTTGTCTTTGGGCGAAGAGTCGAATTTGTATTTACATGATTGTGACTGCACAAATACCGCCATTTCAGTTTTAATGAATAAACATTGGGAACTACATAATAAAATCTATTTACATCAGATTTACACACAGACTCTCATGAATGAAGAGAAAACTTGTTAAAATTAGAAAAATTCAAACAAACCTCCAAATTTCAGCAACCCGGAAGTGCCACGTAACAGCGGAAATGTTTACGCGATAAAATAAACATCATCTTGCATTATATTGAATGGTATGTATATATCTTCAAAATAATCATATACCATGAGAAACACTTTGAGATATCAAATCTTATCATTTTTTTGATTTGGCTACCATAAACAAGAACAATTAATAACGATCGATGGAACTATTTTTGCGCATTGTTTTGACCTATTTTCTCCTTTCTACTTCCTTTTTACCTTACCTCCATTGACGGTCTGGTGCAACAATTTTGGTAGTGTCTATCAAGACTCATCCAACACCAATACCGTTCTATATTAGTTTTATACTACTTCAAATCAAAGAAAAATGCCTCCCAAATTTGATCCCAATGAAATCAAGATCGGTAAGTATAATTTTCACATCGTAATTAGAGCAGTAAAATAAACATGTTGAAATGGGATCCTGGTTGCTTTGGAAAATTAATGGTTCGGGGTAGGATGGTAGGGTCTCAACGTATACACTGACAGTTACTTCACATTTAATCACATAGTATTAAGAAAAATAATAAGGTAATACAATAAGTCTCAGCTGGAAAGTAACATTTTGCTATACCTGCAATGTCAGATGTTATTTTCTGGTACAAAATTAAGTATGAAGGCATGTGTGTATTTCCTTGCTTTTTTCAGGAAATAGTACACTGTCTACTTTTAGTAAACCTGGAAACAGGTCAATGATAGCTCCTGTGTTGTCTAGAAACTTTAAAAGAAAATTTGGAAAAATAGAAAGTGTGAAATATTTACTCGAGCACGGACATCTAATACGTTCTTCGAACTGCCCTGGAACTATATCTATACCAGGACTGGCATCCAGATCCAAGTATTTTTTAAGACCGCCGACTCTCGTTGGGCTATTTATCCCTATTGACTCAGTTGTTCATATAAATTTACGTACCTTAGATGCTTTATAATCGACGTAGATAGAAAATATTGTTTCCTAAATTATTCTGAAAAGCGATAATTATTACTAAATATACTTTGAACAGGTCGACTGACCAAAAAGTCGGACTTCTGGCACAAGGTCACATGACCAAATAGAATTTGTATAGATAAAATTGATGACGTCACCGCCATCGGTGTAGGTCAGGTCAAAAGTCATCCATCTTGCCATTTGCCCAGCATATTCTTACCAGTCGACAAAAAAACGATGAAATCACGTTGAAAATAAAATATACACTTTAAAATTGAGGCTGATTGAATATGACAAGACTCCATTGAATACAGCTGTGCAATTTACAGTCACCAAGATGAGCTAATTTCGGAGAGATTCGGTGAGATTCGGGAATTAAAAAAGGTAAGCCCTTCCGGTTTCCCAACTTCATAAATTTAAAATCCCAGAAGCTCCTTTCGCCAGAAACATTCTCTCTGACTGTGTACTCGAGTCTCTAGCCAATACTTTTAGAGGGGATTTCATCTGGAATACTGTGAACTCCATTTGAAAAAACCTGGCTGCCATGTCATAAATATATTGAATATTTTAAAAATCGCCAGATAAATAAATCATTAATCAAAACGGACCCTGCTCGGCTCCTTGATGAGATATGACATGAAAACTGGACGAAATGTCGTTAACGTCTGACATTAGTAACTGGCTGTAAATTCTAAGATAGCGATCCAGAAGATGTGAACTAATACACTGATCACTTTGTTTGTGTTTTGGAATTTTTGGTGAGATAATAAGACCAAAACTCGCAATTCAAATTGTGATGTGGAAAAATGGCGGACATAGGATTTCAAATTTTATGATTACGACATGACCAGTTGTTCATGCAGGAATATATCTTAACTGGAAGGCCACGATACAGTGGCCTTAGAAGAAGGTAATGAAATATCAGAATTTTCTGATACTTCCCTGAAAAAAGCAATGAAATTGACACATGCCTTCATACTTTATTTTGTACCAGAAAATAACATGTGCAGGTATAGCAATTTTTTACCAAAATGTTACTTTCCAGCTGTACCTAGAAGTTCTTGGGTACTTGCTTATATTGAGTTTTCTAGTTAAGAATTTTTTACTTGTAAGTTGCATCACACAGTATTCATAGGCCAAGGGAAAAGTAATCGTAAGCTGTAGCCTATATAGAAGAGACTGTCTCTTCTATATAAGGCTTACTATTACTTTTCCCTTGGCCAACGAGTTGCATTTAGATAATCTAGTCTTTTTATTAGTCAATTGCAGAGGTTCAATCAACTCTTAGAGGACATACAGTAGGGTTTCTTTATTGAAACTTGACACATTATATTATCGATGTGGTGCTATATATTGTAAAAAGTCTAACAATGCCCCGGATTTTCACCTGATACCAAGGGTTTGTCCGGGAATGCCCCGTGGCTGATAATGCCCCTATCTCCTCTGGAAGAAACTTCTGAAGGGATGTGATTATAGGCATAGGTGAAGGAATGGGGACTCTAGCAGGACAAGTTCTATCCAAAATCCTATATAATATATCTGCGATTTTTGGGACTGTTGAATGCAAGTCAAAACTCTTGATCTTTTTATTATAATTATAATTGTTGTTCTTCTTTTATCTATTCTTCTATTCTACATTCAGTGTACTTGAGAGCCGTAGGAGGAGAGGTTGGTGCTACCTCATCACTTGCTCCCAAGATTGGTCCCCTCGGTTTGTCACCCAAAAAGGTTGGTGACGATATTGCCAAGGGAACCCAAGAGTGGAAGGGACTCAAGATTACAGTACAGTTGACTATCCAGAATCGTCAGGCTAAGGTCAGCGTTGTACCAAGTGCTTCTGCTCTCATCATCAAAGCCCTGAAAGAACCCCCAAGGGACAGAAAGAAGGTGAAACATGGTATGTACAAAGTACAATAGTTTCCCCAGGCTATTTAATTTCCCTATCAATATAGTTTGATAGGGATATAGTGAAGCCTTTCACCTATCAGTCCAGATAATAACTTGAATACTAGTAGACATGGTACAGCCCATTTCACTGTTTTATTGCGTCAGTAAAACTTTAAAAAACCAGAAATCAAAGGATCATTATGCAATAATGTATGGAAAGATATATTTCTATTGTTCATAAATGATATTTGTTTATCTTGGATTGCTTCTAGTTTGGCTAATAAAGTATGTGGCCTCTTATATTTTGATGCTTTTCTGCCATAGTATTTTCAAAAAGATTAACATGGCTGGAATTCTTTAAATTACAAGAGGGCATAGGCTTATTGCGCAAAAAACTAAATAATCTGAAAAATACAAATGTCATCTATCATGTACAAATGAATATACTTTTCCATATATAATTGGACAATGGTCTCCTGATTTTTTATTTTTGGGGTTCTACTGACGCGATAAATCAGTGAAATGGGCTGTAGTCAGGGCTCTTGCTAGGCTTTTAGACTGTGCTGCTGCACCCCAGTCTATTTAGCTCCCATCACAACCTATTGGCAAATAATGATCGTTTCCACAGGCTAAACTTGACTGAATTCACAATTGAATGGTCATGCTGAAGATGTTTCCACCAGATCCTAATTATTTCCTGGTGAGAGCCCTGCTACAATATAGTTTTACTCAAATTTTTTCTTAATGTCAATATATGAAACAATACATGTTTGTCAATATGTCAGTTACCCAGGCAGGGTAAAAGAAGAGTACCACTATTTCAAAATCTGTTCTAAGTATTGAATTTCAGTTATTTGATACATTTCATGTTCTAAAAATTAAGATGATTTTGAATCTTGCCTTTAGTAAAGCACAGTGGAAATATCACTCTTGATGACATCATCAACACCGCCAGAATCATGCGTCCCCGCAGTTTGGCTCGTTCACTCGCTGGAACCTGCAAGGAGATCTTGGGCACAGCCCAGTCTGTTGGCTGTACTGTAGATGGCAAGGACCCACATACTGTTATTGAGGAGATTGATGACGGAGAAGTAGAAATTCCTGAAGTAAGTAAACTTGGGTTTGAAATAATCCTTGTGAAAGATAATGGATGTTCTCAACATGCAGATTTGCTTTAGTCAGCTTCTTTTAAAAATGTTGTTGCTACAATTTGTGAACACTGAACCTATTCAGATAAATAATTTTGAGTAAAGTTGTTACTATAAATGGTAGTATAGAAAATATATTTCAAGTAAACTGCAAAACCTGATCAAAATCACTAAACTGAAGAATGCTGAACATAATTATTTTTGGTCAGTCTGGTATGTACACAAATTGGGTGTTGCATAATAATTTTGCTCTAAAACTTTCATTTATTAATAACTTTTGCTTATCTTCCATTGTTACTGCTATACTAGATGTAGTATGTTATCTAATGTTCAAGAAAAAATATTTAAAAAATACTTTTGTATTTTCAGGAGTAAATGAAAGCTGCTCTTCAACAGACCATACGAACTAAGAACACTAAAAGAGAACTTAATACATAATTCAATGTATATACGTTCATGAAAGGTCTGAAAAATAAAAAATAGAAAAAACCTAAAATGTTTTATTATTTATATCATAATTATCCCCAATGAATAACCACTACAGCTGTATAGATATGGAGATTAGACGAGCAATAATCTGATAATATAATCAGAAGATGCAGGTTGAATAAAACCAACAAATATCAGTCGGCTTCTGGAAGAAAATAATTGAGAAGGGACTTCATGATTCGATTGGCGGCAATTACACTAGTAAAATGAATTAAATGGAGAATCAAAAGTTACTTTTAATTTGCTGACATATTGTTACAGTCTCCAACTTTATTTTGGACGGCGGTGGGTCGGAGTTGGTGTCTAACAATCGACAGGTTCCGACATTTTGTCCAGAAATTTACTAGATATTTGAAGTTAAACTTAGTGGTCTCCAATTAAATTCCTATTAAAGAGGGACGTGGGGTATAAATAGGAGGCAGACAAATTGAACAGCCAAAATAACTGTATTTTTTGATATTTTCACAAAGCTGGTCAATTTTCTCATATTTCACTATCACCCTTGGTATACGCAGCTAACGAAAATTGACCGGTACGGGTCAAAAGCTGGACCGGTACAGGTTAACGGTTTTATTTGAATTTAAAACAGCCATAACTTGCTCAATATTGACTTCCTCGTGTCTAATTTGAAATATATGATGCCTCCCGATGCTTTTAAGTACCCCAATTTTTTACAGATTTTTAAACGTACCAAAACTCTCTAAATGCGCATTTATGCTCTTTTTCTCTCAGGAACGACTTCTCGCTGCAAGCAGGATGAAATTCTTTGTCACAAAGTTTGGCATTTTTTATAAAATCAAACGCGCGTCATTGAAACTCACAAGATGTAAATAGCATGTCATTTACATCCTACCTTGATGGGGAAAAATAGATCTTATATGTTAGAACTACTAAATAAAAGTTATCGTGAAAATGAGACCGTCGTTCCCACTGTGCAATGGAAGGATTTCTCACTCAACCATCACCACATGTGAATGAATGACATATCATTGCAAAGAGGAGAGACATGGCTTTATGGTACATTGAATGAAGTTAATTGATGTAGTCATCACTAGTTTTGTTATTTTACGAGATAACTACTTGTTGCGTTTTTTTGATACGCCCTGTATAGTATTCATTTTGTGCGAGGTGTTCTGACAGTATATAAACCCATTTTATGCTGACTTATTTCTACTTAAAACATATTCTGGACATTACAAATTAGCCTTTTCAGATCTGATACACTGAACACATTAAAAACTGGCACCCAAATAATGTTGCTTAACTATTTTGTCTGCATGCTTTCTGACTTGATCTTCAGAATATTAAAACTAGATTCTATGGAGCAACTCCACAAGTAATTTCAGATGATTAGCTTAGCTAGATGTTCTGTTGTGAGCGTTATAATGTGCTCTTTAATGTCCGGCACACCGGGATTGTATGGGCAAAGTTATTGACACCCTAATACATTCCTCCACAGAAATGGCCATGATCTTTTTGGTGATCTCACCAGGTGTTCTATCGTTTGGAGGCTTGTTAAACTGCACACATGTCTTAACGAGTTGCTCCATGGAGTCTAATTTTAATGTGCTAAAGAACAAGCCATACAGTGTGTCCAGAGTCTAGTTGTAAGACAATTGCAAGCTCTCTTTTGAGAAGCAAAGTTGTACGAATGCAAAGGTTAAACAAGTCAGGAATCGTGGAAAGAAGTTAAATGTATGCAACCTGATGTTGAGACCTAGTACATTATTAGTAACCCCATCGAATGAAGTTCGGGCGATACAGAGAACGCATTCGTCCGTCTGTCCGGGCAATAACACGAATATTTTATACGCATATTCTCTACGTGATAACAAATACTGCTGGAAAGCTAATTTTGAAATCGTGTCCATTTTATATCGTTTTGTTGGCATTATCATGCATTTTTGCGTTAAACGTGTGTTGACAACTGTTTCTAGATTTTTCATTATTTTGGTTCATTTCCTTATACTAATAGAATGGTTGGGTAAAGTGTAATTTATTTCGATCAAATTGTGACACTTGCCAGAATGCAATATGTGATATGTGTTGTTTTATACCTTCTTTACTTCGTCAATTAACTAAAAGACATATTCAATAAATTAACCCATTGAAATAAAAAGTGCTGAAAATGAACTGATAGCGAATAATTTAAGAATTTACAGTATAATAACGTTTTTGAAATCAACTTTATTTTTGCTGTTGTTGATTACATTGCTTATTTATTTATTGTTTTCCGCTTATCTTCAAGGTCTCGTTGCTGTTTTTTGTAAGGATGTCAATGCAGTTCTGAAATGAAAAGCAACATTAAGATAGCTTTACACAGCCAATCTCAAACGGTACCGTACGGTACCATACTGGAGAGGTTAAGCTTTGCATATATAATCGAAACTGAACCTGTACGTATCACTCGACCATATACAAATTCATGTAGCCTTCTCATATAAATAGCCGTTCAAATCCAGTGTTTGTTTAGACTACACCATAGCGTGTAATGATTCTATAGTATGTCATTGATGCGGTTTTATAGCTGGTTTTCTAATACATATTTTAAACGAGCTCATTTCGTAAGATTTTTGGCGCTAAATCATGCATGACATACATCATCGTGTTCAGCAAGAATTCAACTGTACATCGAAATCAAAATTGACAGCATAGTGTTCAATAGACACGAGTAAAATGGTTCCCGTTGACCCAACGTCAAATATTCAAATCTCCCGTTCTAAACCCGAAACTCTGAAGCTGAAAGAGTATCTGAAGTAGACTAAGCGCGCATAAAACTATGAGCGCTCGATACATTCCTTTGTTAATTTTTGCACTTTGCGTTCACGGTTACGTTGTGAAAAACATCGTTAGCTTAACCTCTCCATCCTTAATGAACCGTACGGTACCGTGCAAATGGTACCATACGGTACTGTATG